CTCACCTCACCTCACCTCACCTCACCTCACCTCACCTCACCTCACCTCACCTCACCTCACCTCACCTCACCTCACCTCACCTCACCTCACCTCACCTCACCTCACCTCACCTCACCTCACCTCACCTCACCTCACCTCACCTCACCTCACCTCACCTCACCTCACCTCACCTCACCTCACCTCACCTCACCTCACCTCACCTCACCTCACCTCACCTCACCTCACCTCACCTCACCTCACCTCACCTCACCTCACCTCACCTCACCTCACCTCACCTCACCTCACCTCACCTCACCTCACCTCACCTCACCTCACCTCACCTCACCTCACCTCACCTCACCTCACCTCACCTCACCTCACCTCACCTCACCTCACCTCACCTCACCTCACCTCACCTCACCTCACCTCACCTCACCTCACCTCACCTCACCTCACCTCACCTCACCTCACCTCACCTCACCTCACCTCACCTCACCTCACCTCACCTCACCTCACCTCACCTCACCTCACCTCACCTCACCTCACCTCACCTCACCTCACCTCACCTCACCTCACCTCACCTCACCTCACCTCACCTCACCTCACCTCACCTCACCTCATCTCACCTCACCTCACCTCACCTCACCTCACCTCACCAATACTATTACTAATAGCAATGTGTTTGATTTCAGGGCGATGATAGTCGGAGCTGCACCGCGACATTCACTGAGTGGGAGTGCAACAAACAGTGTTCACTCTACCTCTCCCAGAGTCAGCAGTAAGTAGAATTCGATCGGAGATTTGATCTATCACTGACCGAATAACATCAAAATAGAATGTCACGGATTTTGTTTTACTTCGAGTTCAATACTTACAGCAAGCATATTCTCATTGACTCACTCTAAACTTCTCAAATCTTCAATCATACCATGTTTTTACGAAAGCATAATCAAATACCTTAATTCCCAAAAATTTGGGCGACCAAAAATTTGTAGGTTTACAACCTACCAGGACGCGCGCCGAGTTGGACTCGTCGACGGTCCTCGTCGACGGTTCCAATATATGGAACAGATATTTTACGAGTATCACCCGTTAACCAAAAATTTGAGCGGGCCTCTCGCCCAAATTTTTTGCAGACCAAATTTTTGCATAAATCTTTTCTGTCTGCTAAATTTTTTGCTAACCAAACTTTTGGCATTTGGCCTGTGGCCCTGAAATCTATAGAAAGATGGCTTTTTCTTCATATAATCCAAGTGAAATAATATTTGAAATTTTAGTTTTCTAATCTGTCATTCATGGCTTGACCAAGTAAAAAGGCTTATATTTTAAATGAATAGAAATAACTGGAATTAGACTTCAAGACCTTTGGTCCGGGTTTACAGTAGTTCGCTACACACAATTATGTACACCTTTGTTTCCCCCAAAGCTAAGCGTATGTGCCGCTTAGTTTGATAGATCATGATGTAAACCTTCTAATTTTCTTCCAAACCTTTCGACCATCTGGTGAGGCGTCATAATGATAATTGTATGTGAAAGGGGTATGATAAGATATGCTGAGTGTAAGTAGACTAAACTATCTGATTGAGAGACTAAATATCACTATTTTATATCTATCATTTTGTACTGTGCCATCATCACTGTATTTTTTAGTAGTTACTGGGCAGATCGTAAATTTCATAATGTGAAACAACTCAGACTACCACCTACATGCTTAAAATTGAAAGCAAAATGACTGGAATAATAAGGAATAATAATGAACTAAGGCAAATATCTAACTGAAATTTTAGTTGAAAATCGTTCATTTTTCGAAGAATTTGTGCCCAAATTTTCGGTCGCCCAAATGAGTTCAAATTATCTGCCCAAATTTTTCGGGCTCAAATAAATTGTGCTCAATATAATGGCACACAAATTTTTGGGAACTAAGGTAAGCTACATTAAAACACATTAAATAACTAAAAACCAGCAAAGAAATATTCTTCACTCCTTTATAATATTCTTTACTCTTTTAACTGTGTTTAATCATAATGTCGATTCTAACAGTTCGCTAGAACTTAAAGCCGATTACTCAGTTTCGTCAGCCACAGTAAACTCGAACCCTAGTCGACTAAACAGCGCCAACGGTAAGGTTTATTCCATGTTATCTGCAAGTGACGTAAATTATAGCGGTGACATTGTGATTTGACGTGGTTATTGGTTATCAATCAATAATCATTAAATTAAATATAGGAGGTTTTTTAATGATTAACGGTGAAACGTGACATAGCCCGTAGTACTAGTATTATATAGGTATACTAGGTTAAGTAATTGTGAGTATGTTGTATGTTGATCAGCGAGTGAGGCATGAATTTAATTTGAGGCCCGCTTAGGGCACTCTAACCTAAGATCGCCATCCTTAATCAATCAATCAATTAAATTTAACGCAAAATATTAATAGTTGCTCTATTAATTCTGTGACACTGACACTCTGTCATACTCATGTCATTCAAAACTGTTAAATGCAGTGTTACATAAACATTGCAGGGTAACATTGTGATGTTAAATAAACTTTTAGTTTAGTGTTTACAATGTTATCAAAATAAAAACTACCTTTAACTTACTTAGTTGCTGAGTTAACGGATGAAGAAAGAAAGAAGTTGGAAGAAAGGAGGCGTAGTTCTTTAGCTAAACGCGGGTCCCAGGTATCTTACTATATATAAAGCGACACGATATATAGCTTTAACACGACTTTCCGCAAAAACCGTACAAAACATACTTTTGAAACTTTTTTGAGCGGTCACGTGATGTGGTAACTCGTGGTTTAATTAGTAACCGCACTAGTAACTTAATTTGTGATAACGTACATTCCTGCAGAGTGTGATAGTGTGTGATGTAACTGTGGGAGATGACAAAGTGACGACCAAACAGAGTGAAATAATATTAGAAGAGGAACTGGAAGAGAAGAAGGAAGAAAATAAGAAGAAAAGATATTGTCTTTGCTGTGTTATATTGTAGCCAGAAGCTAGGATCACTTTTCAAGGGAAATTAGTGTCCCGTTCTGGACATAGAATGTTTTGCGATTTTTCATAAAATTGTGATTATTGCTCATGCTATTTGTTTGCGGTATATAAATATTGTTATAACGTTGTATTTCGATACTGGATATAAGGCTTATTTTGATGGAAAAAGTATGAAGTTTTTAAAATCGAGTTTGGAGGTGAAGATCGAATTTTCACGACCCCATCTAAAGAAGCCTTATTGTGTTTGTGAAATTCTTAACTTTCTTTTGACATTTTGGAATTTAGAAAATTGACTACATTGGTGGCGATTTAATTTTATGTGTTATGGTTTGTCAAAGTGAAAGTTTTTTAGATGAAAGCGATAGTTTAATCATTAATTAAACTATCGCTTTCATCTAAAAAACTTTCACTTTGACAAACCATAACACATAAAATTAAATCGCATATTTTTTGTTTGACCATTGTTAATGATCTGGCCCGGCGCGCGCTACTTCGTAGCACTTGCCATCGGGCCATAACATTTCGAGAAGAAAGCGGCGCGCGCTACTTCGAAGAAATTTAGACGAGTAACATCCGTCAACTGACACCTCTAGTCTGGCTTTAATAATTTGCCCAGCCAGTAAGGTTTGCTTAGTGTATTTAAAACGGTCAAAATTTAATCGCGCCCTAGATAAAATTATATTTCGAGCGTGCTGCCACTGCCATGAATTGCATGTAGGATTTTCATTTTTCAAATGTTTGTACCAGTGTACCATTGTATTTGGTATTACAGTTTTTTAAAATGCAATGTATGGTGAGCCTTTTCATAATACCAAATTTGTCATACTTTTTAAAGAATGATTACTCAATTAGTGAGTTCAATTTCGTTTTAGTGCCATTTAATTACAAATTAAAACTGATACTCCTCGGCCACTTTGTCATACGTTGTATGACCCGCCGTGCACGAAGTGCGCGGCTCCCCGGCCCTGTATCGTCGAAGATACTATAATGTATAATAGTGAACAGTGAATCGACCGTGGGGGTCACCACGTGATACAACGGCCACCATAGACGCGCGGCTTTTGGAGCTGTAAAATTCTCTTAATTTGACAAAATTTGTTGATTTTCGTTTGAATAGTCAATCTTTAGTTCCTAGAATGGGATCATATGGCCATATGCTGTATATTTGTCAAAACCTTTTGATGACGGGTGATACTCGTAAAACTAAAATTGAAAATATAAATATTTGTTCTAAATACCAGAATAAAACAAATATTCAGAATAAAACAAATATTACCGTTTAAACTCCATGCACGCACTAAAACCATCATAGTACTAGTAGCGCGATGCGCTACTTGCTACTACATACTAGTACTGGGCCGCGCATCAGATAAATCTTCTCGCAACCACAGTAGATCGGCGAGATGCACCATTGGGCCTCACCTTAATTGACGATGTCAATTCTTCGCAGCTTGGCGAGGCCCAGTTATACAAGGTTATACGAGGTAGCGCATCTCGCCGATCTAGTGAGATGGTTGTATCACGTGGTGACCTTAATTGACGAAGTCAATTCATGGCAGCTCGGCGCGGCACAGTAGCGCATCTCGCCGATCTAGTCGCTGTGAGAAGCCTTATTAAGTGCGCGGCGCGGCACAGTAACGCATCGCGCTACAAGTGGTGACCCCCACGGTTGCTTCACTATAGTGTGAAGTCTTCGCACTTCGACGTGCGCGGCGTGTCATACAACGTATGACAAGTGAGGTGGTTTGTGGTTTCGAGGAGCATAATTGAGTGCGCATCACGCTATATAAGGCCTCATCACGCTAATAAGGCCTCATTCACCGAGCTGAATCTAAGACCGTCAACGAGTTCAACTCGGCACGCGTCTTCGTAGGGGGGGGGGGGGGGGGGGGCAGGGTAAAAATTGATTACCTAATATGATAACGATCCTCTATTTGTTAAAATATTTTCCACCTATTTGCGCGCCATACAATCTTAGTGAAAATTAGTTATTAAAATCAGAATGACACAACAAATGAAACCAACTTTCTAAAACACGAAGGAACAGTAATAAATTAATAAGGCATAAAAAAGGTTGTCTGCAGTTATTGTCGATTGTTCGTGATAATTATTGGGTATCCACTGTGTAGAGGCTTATGTACGAGGGTCAAGGAAAATTCCGGAATTGCTGATCCGGCAGGCCGCAGGACAGACACGAATCTCATTCCGATGTGACTTTCACAAACTTTCCGAGTATTTCCGAATCTCTGATCAACAGATATTCCTGAGGATTTAGCGTCGTTGTATAAAAGATTTAGTGGCTATATAAGTTTTTTTTAAAATGTCCACATCATGATAGGGATGTAATTCTATGTATAATGTATTATCTACAAATGGAAACCGGCAATCGATATTCGAAAAGTATAGACATAAAATCTCGTACCTCATCATCGAGATTGAGTTTGGTACCACCGTATTCGGGTAAAAGGACTTTGTCTCCGACCGCTACCGATACTGGGATAACCTGGACAAGTGATTTTGAGAAGCTATCAATATTTTCGCCTACTCTGTCTTTAGGAACAAAGTTGCAAAAGTTTAGTAGTACCAAAATTGTAGTTAGAAATTCTGCAAATTAACATGCTTATCCACTTTCAAGGACTTTTGAGGACCACAAGGTAAACAAAACCCCGCTATAAATAGATAAAAAAGAGACGGATAGAATGAGATTCACACAGCGATTAGATAATTAGATAAATACTTACATCACCATCAGCGTCCAGAGCACCAGAACCACATGACACGACAGTTCCTTCGTTCAGCTTCTTTTGAGAGGATTCTGGCAACATTATTCCTCCTTTTGATTTCTGGAGAAAATTCAGGTTTAATATTTTAATAGGTTCAAATGGCTCTGTTGTATGAAAACCCAATTCTACAAGAGTGTTTCTATTGACTTGATGGAATGGATTGTATGGAATGTATTGAATTGATTCATGATGCCTGAACTGCAAGAATGTTGGCACCTGTAATACAGAACAAATAATGGGAGGAAACATTAAGTGTATTTAGTAATACATATTACTTACGGAGGCAGCTACAGCTCGGGTTACAAGGATTCTGTCAAAAAGGGGGATAAACCGTGCTACTGCGGACTGAAAACAATAGTTTTATTACTGGTATAATACTTTAAAAGAATAGCTAACTGTTATTCAGAAGCTACAAACGAAGTAGGGTACGTAAGCTAGATTTTTAGCTTATCATAAAACTCGTTCGTAAGCAATTTTGCACAAAGCTATGTGAAGCTTTTCCAACCCCCCCCCCCCCCCCCCCCCCCTGGGCTGGCTCTTGTAATATGTGAACGAACTCTAAATATCACAATGATGCAGCTGGGACATTCTTCATGGAAATATTTTCAGTGCACGTGCATGTCCGTTGTTCTAATGATAATGTAATGTGATATTACCATCACATGGCAAGTAAAAATAGTCTATTGACATTCCTTCAATAACACACATTTCTCGTGGTGTTTACAAACAAAAATATCAATAAACTAGGTTCGAAACAGGAATCACAAAAAAGTAACTACATTACAGAATACAGATTGTATGTATTCAATACAAAATGTCTAAATCAGTCATCAGATCAAGATCAAGGATTTCAAAGCATATTTTAAACTAACCATTGTAAGAAGAGGTGGAAGCGTGAACTGGGCTTTAGCTAGAAATCAGTTTAAGTTAGGTAATAAACTGACAAGCAAGTGTCTTAACTGACATTCATAACAGATATATTTGTGCACTAACTAATAAAAAGCAACAATATTTTTTCTTAGAATGAGGTATTGATAGAAGACGATGGGTCCCGTTGCCAAATGGTGCAGAACCAATATGCTTGTTCCGTGCTTTCTTCGACTATGTACTTCCGGATAAACTAGTTATGATTAACTTTGTGTATTACAATGACTTTGTGTATTAAGACAAGGAACGAACTAAACTGAACGAAACAAAAGATCGATAAACAATATCAGACTAAGGGTAAAAGGTACGTGAGGTTTTGGATAAGCTTGCAGCGTTCGAAACAACAATCAGCAGCGGTAGATTCGAACGTACATCAGCTCTTACAAAGAAGAAATGGCTAGAACGTTCTCGTTCAAAATATTCATATTGTTAGCATTTTAAAGCCGCGCGCTTTGTAAACAAACAGGCGTTTGAATTTAGTAACTTTCAATTATTTTGACAGTAAACTGGATATTTTGGAATGAAATTTTGATTTTATAGGCAAGCAATACTGTTAACAGACCGATTTGAGTCGGTCTGAACCAAATTAATGAGTAAAAAGTCGATTAAATAACCATTCCACTTGCCATCATCAATTTTGAACGCCTGTTTTGGACCACGACCAGCTTCCAGCAGCTTCTAGCACGCGATGTCCCATAGCGAAGTTCAGTATCTGTCGTATTATTGCTGTTTGCGTTGATTTTGATCCTCCTCCGTTCTACCATGTTCCGCAAAATTGGCTTGAGTGGTTTGACCCCTGCTAAGCAGTGTGTCCGAGGTTTGGCAAAGGACCTCAGATTTGGTAACGATGCCAGGTCTGAGATGCTCAAGGGTGTAAATAAGCTAGCTGATGCAGTATCAGTCACTCTTGGACCCAAGGTTGGTTGATGGTTTGAACCGACAACTTGCTGCTTTTCTCTGACGGTTATACTTGATTCACCGAAAGCTGTTTTGCTCCTCCTATTGCTTAATTCTATGTTATTTGAGACCAAATTTCCGGCAGGGTCGCAATGTTATCATCGAACAGTCATTCGGTGGCCCCAAAATCACAAAAGATGGAGTAACCGTTGCAAAAGCTATCGACTTGGAATGTAAACTTCAGAACACTGGAGCTCGATTAGTACAGGTGCAGTTCTGCTTTCTCGAATATTTCTTGAATAATTCTTATATATATCCCAAAGATTACTGATGAATGTTTCTGGGATGTTTTCAAAATCACAATTTTTCACTACCCCAGGATACCACATTTTAAACCATTGTTTGGTTTGATAAACCTTTAACTAACCATTTGTATGAACTATAAAGGAGTATTGAATGTATGCCCACCAGGATGTAGCAAACAACACAAATGAACAAGCTGGAGATGGAACCACTACCGCCACCATCCTAGCCCGCTCCATTGCCACTGATGGATTTGCTGCTGTCTCCAAAGGTATGTTGAAGTGCTTGTCGAGGATCAATTGTTTCTTAAACACATTGGTCAGGCAAATATCTGTTTCGACTGATATATGAAAGCCGAAAGATGTGTGTGATAAAAAGTGTAGGGTAAATTAATGTGAACACTGCACTGGTATTTTCAACACTAGTCCTTCCCACTTATTTTGATACGTTTTATTTAATTTTATTCGGTTTCAGGAGCAAACCCAACCCAAGTGCGAAAAGGAATCATGATTGCTGTGGATACCGTCGTTGAAGAACTCAAGAACATGTCCAAACCTGTGAGCGAGGCTGCAGAGATTGCCCAGGTAAAAACCGACTAGTTGTGGGGGGGGGGGGGGGGGGGTTGACATGACAATGACTTTTTAACTTGATTAGTTTCTGAATTGTATCATCTCGTTTCAATTCATCATCCAATTGTGTTAGTGCATATATTTAAATTTGTTTCTGTCTAGTTCTAATGTACCGTCACAATAGTGACTTTAATATACCGTCGTGCAGATTAGCAGATATTGATCCCAGGCGAACAACGCCCTGCCAATGTAACTGAGCGGATTTATTTAATTGCAAACCAATATTCATTAGATTTCGATTGGTAAATATTCAGCCAATCAGTCAAGTTCACAATTGAAATAAACCCCTCTATCACAATAACCCCCCAGGTAGCCACAATCTCAGCAAACGGTGACAGCGAAGTCGGGGAACTTATCGCCAAAGCAATCGCTCGGGTCGGCAAGAACGGTGTTGTAACTGTCAAGGATGGGAAAACTCTTAATGATGAGCTTGAGGTTATTGAAGGTAGGAATTTAAATTAATTAATTAATCAAAATTAGAAATTCAGTTAATTATGTGATAAGGTAATTGGTTAAGGTTGAATTTTCATTTAATTCTTCGCTCGAAACTGTGATCTATTTTGATGTCATAACTTTAATTTTGTTGTTTTCTAATTCTATGCCTCACCATGACTCGATTACTTGCAAAATGTTCCACTTGCTTGTTAAAATGTCTGATAAGTTGATTGGTAATAGTTTTGGAAAAAAATTCATATTTGGGACTGAACCTGGATCCTAGGCTTATTTACTTCCATTATTCACACTACTATTACTGCACTACTATACTATACAGTATACACTACTTTACAGTATACACTACCATACAGTATACACTACTATAGGACATGTTCAAACCTGGTTGGTGGTTTTGTTTCACTGCCGAAATGGGCGATTTTCTCATTTTTACAATAACTCCATTAATAATTACTCGATGGTCTTGAAACTTTCAGAGATGATTATAATTGTGATAACAAATAGTCTCAGGTCATCGGCTATGAATAATATTGTAAAATGGCCCAGTTGAAAAATGTAACATTTGGTTACACTTTTCAATGGCTCAGCCAATTATTAAATTTTAAAGATTCTTGCTTCACAAAAATGTACTTTAGGTATTTGCTTAGCTGTGGAATGAAAAAAGGCCCACTTTTGATTTCATAAAAAGGCCCAAAATGGACATTTTGTAACATCTTGTTTTCATCAATCTATCTTTATAGTTTGTTGCAACCACAGCTAGTTTAGGATATGTATTTAACTCTCAAACCAGGTTATTAGTGCAGCAATTTTTGTATAAAGGCATTACCACAATCTTGGTATATGGTTCATAATCAATAAAAGGCCCATTTCTTTGAATAACGTAACATGGTTACAAATGAGTATGTTATACAGAGTTGTTTGATCTAGTATTGGTTTTAAGTTGGTTGATGCATTAAAATAAAGACATGAAACAACTTAACAAATTTAAAAAAATGATAATTGGGACCAAATTATTGAATTTTGTAACAATTTAAATGTAATTGTATATGTAATTTAAATTGACAATCCGCGACAGAACGCGGTAAATTTAATCAAATGAATATAGCTAATGAGATTGAAGGTTGGATATTTGAAAACTTTTAGTTTATATATTAAATTGTATAGAAAATAGAAATTGGGCCCTATATATTGAAATTTGTAACAATAAAATGCCAGGTCACGAGTTTATCCACTGAAATGGCAGAGTTCCATGTCCATATGTGGACTTACAAAATTCAATGTTTTGGGCCCAAGTACAAAATATGGTCAATAATATGGTTGATGGAACCCTTATGACCTAGGCAAACTGGTCTGAACTACAAAAAGTATAATATAGCTTGCCTAACAACCCTCACACTAGGATACATACTATATACTATAATACTCTATACATTTACTTTCTAATGTTACATTATTCAAGTTCCGCAGCCATTTTATCAAAATATACGAATAAGGATTGCTTTACAATCTAAAAACCATGTTACCAGTACAAGATTATATTGAAAATTCCAAATATATGAGCTTTGTAGTCAAAACATAAATATGTTACAAAATTCAATGTTTTAAGCCCAAGTACAAAATTTGGTCAAGAATATGGTTGATGGAATCCTTTGTGACCTGGAAAAACTGGTCTGAACTTCAAAAACTATAATATAGCTTACCTAACACCCCTCACACTAGGGTACATACTCTATACACTTACTTTCTAATGTTACATAATTCAAGTTCCGCAGCCATTTTATCAAATTATATGAATAAGGATTGCTTCAGAATTTTGTATGAGAATCTAAAAACCATGTTACCAATACAAAAAAATATTGAATATTCCAGATATGACCTTGGAAGTGAAAACATAAATATGTTACAGAATTCAATGTTTTGGGCCCAAGTACAAAATTTGGTCAAGAATATGGTTGATGGAACCCTTTGTGACCTAGAAAAACTGGTCTGAACTTGAAAAACTATCAAGAAGCTTCTCTAAAAACCCATTGAAAAAGTGTAACATAGAAATGTGTTACAAAATTCAATATCCAGGGCCCCCAACTAAACTGCTATATCTCAGGACCTGAATATGTTACAAAAATTCTGATTCAAGGGTGCCCTCAGTCAAAGGGTCTAGTTTTTGTCAGTAGTTTCAGTTTTTCTTAAAATGTTACAGATTTCAATCTGGGGGCCCAGAAGTAATGAGTGGGAAAAATGAAACAAAACCACCAACCAGGTTTGAACACGTCCTTTACTATACACTACTTTTACCATGCCTTGAGGAAAGTTTAGTGTGCAGACATAAAATGTTGTGCAAATAGGATTCATATCAGTTTGTTCACAAAAATGTGGATGTGCAGTTAAAATTTGTCTCTTGCAGGCAACAAGGTTACCAGGTTCAGGTTTTTACCCATGACTATTAAATTACACTACTAACTACTGAGTGAGCTGTAATTCCTGTTTAAGTTTTCAAATCCTGAACTTTAAACCTGTTTCTTGTTCCACGGAATAGCATTAGGGTACGTGTCGCACTACAGTACGGGAATCCACGGAATACCAATTATAAGTCAAGTTATGGAACTAGAGGGAAATAGAGGTTACATATATGTGGGACATGCTTATGACGTGTTGAATATGTAAGATCAAATGAGTGGATGATAAAATTAAAGATTACTTCTCGTACTGCAGCAGAAAACTCCTGGCATATCAGACATCTCTTTCCCTATTACTCGAAGCACTCGTGTACGTACGTGTGTGTACGTGTAAGTTTGAGTTATCTTCGCTTACACCGATAAAGTGTATTAATTTCCTAGTACATATTGTATCTGGTCCCTCTAATTTGATCAGTTTGGTGCGATAAGGATATTGCTTTGCAAGTAGATAAATTGGGGAGGCAAGGACTCGGGGGGCCGCGAAACTTAGCTGATTATTGCCGTAAATAAGCTTAAAGGCTACACTTCCTTGCCCCCCCCCCCCTCCGGGTTACGTTAGCTTGTATGCGGGTATCTGAGTGGCTCAGTGGCTGATAAGTGATACCACTGGGTGCAATTACTGATTAAATTCCTATTGGCCTTAAAACTTAAAGGAAATAGTCTGAAAAAGTTTGGTCAATAGCTAACTAGTATAGGTGACATCAGAGCAATGTAACCATGGCAGTTGGCACTATTATAATGAGACATGTGCCCTGAACATTTTTTACAAAACTTGTTTTCTTATCGTCCTCAATTTCAGGAATGAAGTTTGACAGAGGATACATTTCTCCATACTTCATCAACTCTACCAAAGGACAGAAGGTTTGAAGAATTTCAAGTTTTTACGGATTATCAGTCATTATGGGCCACCATATGTTGGAATAAACAATTCAATGGTGCTATCTCCAATAATTCACATATACCCCCCCTCCCCCCCGATTTATGTTCCCCTAACCTCACCAACCCCCTCCCCACCAGGTCGAATACCAGGACTGCCTCGTCCTTGCCACCCAGAAGAAGATCAGTGCTGTACAAAGCATCGTGCCTGCTCTGGAGATGGCACATCAACTTAGGAAACCTCTCCTGGTCATTGCTGAGGATGTTGAGAGTGAACCTCTTGGTGCTCTCGTTCTTAACAGGTGGGAGATTGGGTTGTTTTGACTGATTTCTAGCGAATATCGGAGGAAAACTGGGGGAATACTAAATTGGGGTTCTACTGCAGTACTTGTTCTAAAAAGCGAGGATACTGACTTTTTTGTTGTACTATTTTTTACAGTTATATACTTTTTGTGGACTGTTGTCAGACTCTTGGTAGCGCCCCTCTTGGCCTCTGATTCTGTAAACAATACAGATAGCGCCCCTCTTGGCATCTGATTCTGGAAACAGAGAGTGGACACTCTTTATTGACAAACACTGGTGGTATATTCTTACAATCACCGTTAATCAGGTTGAAGATCGGACTTCAGATTGTTGCAGTAAAGGCCCCTGGATTTGGAGATAACAGAAAGAATCAGATCAGAGATATTGCCATTGCTACCGGTGCTACAGTGAGTTAATTGATACAATTCTCAATAAGCAAATTCGTTATTTTAATTGTTATTTTAATTTTCAAAACTTTTTTATATCAAAGTTTGTAATGTTTGTGATCCGAAAACCATGATTAATTTAAAGTGTCACTTAAAACATTATTATATCGACAATACTGCAAGATTTAACAAATTATAACGAGGTCTGATCGTCATCTTCTTACAGTGTTCCATGTCTGTGTGATGGTAAAATGGTGACATCCTCTGGATCAGGCAGAGGTGGAGTATTATAATCGGGATTACTTCTGTAACATTTAACAAACTAACACAACATTCCTCCCCAGATATTCGGTGAGGAAGGAGCCGAGTTGAAACTTGAAGATATCCAAGCTTCTGACTTTGGGGAGTGCGGTGAGGTCGTGGTCACTAAAGACGACACTCTTATCCTCAACGGCAAGGGTAAGAGTCTTACTTCTCCGTCTAATTATCATGCCTAGTGCAATACGTACCTTGAGGACAACTTTGCAGCTTGAAAGCTAACATCTGATATATGAGAACTTATCATACAATATTCCCATACATTTATTTATAAGCCGTAAAAATGTATAATTAAAATTTTGATGTCAGGTAACAAGGAGGCACTTGAGAAGCGAGTATTGGAAATAACAGAAGAGCTGATCGAGTCAAAGTCTGAGTACGAGAAGGAGAAGCTGAATGAGAGACTTGCTAAACTCAGTAACGGAGTCGCTGTCCTCAAGGTACGTATTAAAACGTCATACCTACGTCATACCTACGTCATACCGGTTAATTTACATGTTTTCTCTTAGGTCCCATCTATGATATTTTCATAAGATTTATACTTAAAGTGTATCCCCCGATGTAATAATGTTTATCCGGCCCCTGTATATTAGTGTTTGTATTTATCATGTAATGTATACCCCTGTAAAGTGTACATCCTACTGTATAGTGTATAATGTATACACAACTGTATAGTGTATAATGTATACTGCGACTGTATAGTGTATAATGTATACCCAACTGTATAATCATATAATGTATACCCATTACCCAACTGTATAGTGTATAATGTATACTCAATTATATAGTGTACAATGTATACGCAACTGTATAGTGTATAATGTATACCCAACTGTATAATGTATACCCCAACTGTACTACTTACCCCATCAGATCGGAGGATCAAGTGAGGTAGAGGTAGGAGAGAAGAAAGACCGAGTACAGGACGCGCTCTGTGCCACACGTGCAGCAGTAGAAGAGGGAATAGTAGTTGGAGGAGGAACTGCACTCCTCAGGTGCTCAGCGTCCGTCGAGGCTCTTACTTTCCCTAACAAAGGTGCGGTGTAATTTAGTATATTGTTTGTTCATTAATTATTAAATAAATAATTATCTGCGATTAACTCGCTCTAGTTCAATTATTTTGACTTTCAAATCGTGTGTTTAATTTGGAAACAAACATGTACAAACAACGTGACATGTGTCCAACTTAACCAATCAAAACCAATTATTAACATTTCAAACTTTTCAGACCAAGAAATCGGTGCTGAGATCATTCTGAAAGCTCTGAGACAGCCAGCCTACCATATTGCTGCTAACGCTGGGGTTGATGCTAGCAGAATAGTAGAGCGAGCTATGAGGGAATCAGGTAAGAGATAACGGAAAATTCTGACTACTGGACACCCCTGACCGGATTGGGGGTTCTATTTTCATTTCAATCGCGGGGGTGGGGGGGGGGGGGGGGCTTGACACAAATAGTATAGAGTGTCCTCCCAAATCATTTTGAAGTATTTGTTGTTCCCATCTCACTTGATAACCATTGGACTGTTCACTTAACATTTGTACTCCAGGTTCAGTAGGATACGACGCTGCAATCGGAGAGTTTGTAGATCTTGTCAAAACTGGAGTTATCGACCCTACCAAGGTTTGATATAACGCTGTTCTTATGAGTTTGACTTTGATCACGCAATGAGGGACATCATTCGAATTGGGATTGAAATTATTTTTAAAATAAGAACAGTGCCGAAAAGCTGCACCCATTTTTGGGAATTTTAATAGCACCAAAAATTCTAAAATCTCACTCCCGCCTAGGTTGTCCGAACAGCACTTATCGATGCCTCTGGGGTAGCTTCTCTTCTCACGACAGCAGAGTGCGTCATCACCGACCTCGCTAAGGATGAACCCAACCCCATGGCTGGAATGGGAGGTATGGGCGGCGGAGGTATGGGAGGTATGGGAGGAATGGGTGGTATGATGTAAACTAACTGTGAACAGTTTTTGAAACTTACGATTAATATCAGAAATGTTTGACTGAACCACAGTTGCGAGTAGTTTTTGATGCTCGTTTTATGTTTTTTACTTACTCAACTCTCGTGATCTCCTATATGACCTTAATTTATTGAAATTGTACCCTCATTTAAGACCCGTTCATGTTTTTATTGAAATTTTTATGTTTTGAATACATAAATGTTTGTTTCACTTCGATCATTTACTGTTCTTTCCTCGCTCCAACTGAAGAGTTCGGTGGCATAAATAATAAACTGGACTGGAGCCTGATACATACAGTAGCTGGAGAACAAGTGCTGACAATTATAATTATCTTACCTTTGCTTTGTACTTTATTATAGCCGTAATTCCCGCTCACACTAGATCGCTGATCGCCAAATTAAGAAAGAACTTGTGTCAGGGACTGGCACGCCAATCCCTATGATGTAGATTTATAATTATAATCTACCGAGACACTTACTTGATTGACGATGTCAACCCATCGAGATCGTTGTTCTGCGAAGCATAACATTAGCAACGATCGTACCGTCGATGCGAAGCAAGAATGATAGTCGAAGCGGCGAAGTCCTCCAACCGAGACACCCGCTGAGTTGGAGTTGGACTCGTCGACGGTCTTGGAACAATATTTGGAACAAATATTTTGTGAGTATGGAGTATCATCCGTTAGATCTATCAGTATCGGGACACGTCAACTTAGTGCAAAATCAAGCAAGTCATACAATTGTAGCGCGATGCGTTACTGGGCCTCGCCGCGCACTCAATTATGAATTATGCTTCTCGCAACCACATTGCACATCACACATTTTCGCTATATTAGATCGGAGAAATCAAAAATGCGCTATAACTTAACTAGACTGGGCCTCGCCGAGCTGCGAAGAATTGACATCGTCAATTAACGTCCAACGTCAGTGTCATGTCGCGAGCGCTGAATCGCTCGTCCAAATTTTAAAAAATTTGTGCAAAAGCTCTGCGGGTATATTATGAAAGTAATTTGGTTTGGTGTATTACTATTTTTAAAGCTAATTCCTAATCGCACACATCGGCCTCATGACGTATTGATTGTTTATTGACAATGTCAATCTTTTTAGAGTGTTGCTCCATGCGAAGCTAAAATGATAGTTTGGCGTTGAAGCGGCAAAATCCTCCAAAAAGTAATTGGTAAACATTTTATTATAAAAAATCATTGTCATGCATCATGGGCAAAAAATTATTTTGCGTATAAACCATTTTAGTGTTGCTCATATCATACCTACAGTGCATTTGAAAATACGATTACGACGTACCTAAAAGGTTTATTTGTTATTTTAACAAGTATAAACAAAATTATCTGATAACATGAACAGTTATTTTAAATTTTGGATCAGTTGTAGCGCGATGCACTACTGGGTCGCGCGCGCATTCAATAATGCTTCTCGCAACCACAAATCGGCGAAATGCGAAGGATTGACATCGTGAATCAAATTTTGGAGCTATGTCACCTTAAAATGACCTAGTAGACTTTTACTTAGGTTTATTATCAATTATTAACGGGTGATACTCGTAAAAGATTTGTTTCAAAGACCATCGACGAGGCCAACTCAGCGCGTGTCTTGGTAGGTTTTACCTGAGGACCCCAGGTTTTAACAACAACGAATAGAGATTAGGCGGAATGACAGGCTGAGCGCGGCCCAGTAAGATAGGTTATACTTATAAACCTACAAGTTTATATTATGTAATTTATCAAAAGGCACGCCGAGTTGGACTCGTCGACAGTCTTTGAATTTTAGGTTTACAACCTACCAGGACGCGCGCCGAGTTGGACTCGTCGACGGTCCTTCCAACGACGGTTCTTCCAATATATGGAACAGATTTTTTACGAGTATCACCCGTTAATCTCTGAAACACATATTTTACGATTATCACCCGTTAACCTGAGAAAAGTGGATTCAATTTTTTTCTTTGAGATATTGTACTTACCAAAAAGTGAAATAGACCGCCCAAGTTTTTCGAATTTTGAATGTTTCCACGAAATGATGGCATGAGTAATTGTGGATGGAAAAAATTTATGTAGACGTTATAAATATTATATGGGTCGATAGCTAGCTTGCGTATGTAGCCTTTTCTTGGAGAGGCGAAGAAAACACTTTTGTTTCTCACATACACTTAGTCCACATGCCTTGCAAACTTACAGCACGGTATTTATATTTGTAATGGTCTAAGTTCCTAATACTCGCCAAAGATGGTTCCACTAGTCAACCGTAAGAGAAGAGAAAGCTTAACAACAAATTAGATGGCTCCATTTTGTTTCGATTTTATTAGGTCCTAGTATTTATTCCTGTTGTCTTAAAGTTTTAAGAGAACTCTCCTTAAATTATTTTAATGCAGTCACTCAGATAAGTTTATACCAGGACACTTCAACAAAGACACATACTCTGCCCACAATAAGGGGCCATAATTGTTTCAATTATGTAACTGTATAGAATTATTATTATTATTATAATTCTCTCATACACACATACTTTACCGGGCGGCGCTTAGCCTGTCATTCCGCCGAATCTCTATTATGTTTATGAACATAATAGCCTGGGGTCCCCTAGCCCTAGGTAAACACAAACTATGATACAATACTAGTACTAAACAACAGACAGATACTTTTGCTATTAGCTCCAACTTTTTACGCTTTGATAGAGTCGCTGCAAACAACTGTTTCAAACAATTTAACTTGAATAGAGATCTAATTCATCGATTAATGATTGATATAACTATTATGTATTAGCAACCTTCACTGGGTATTACATGCTCGTATAGTTGGTCACTTATAACAAAAAAAGCCACCTTGCTCGAATATTAAGCTATACGCTATGGAAATTAAAAATATACTACTTCTTTTAATAAAGGGACTTGGAGTATAAACGACCAAGTTTGCATAAATGTCTATCAGGAGGCAAGGGTGGGTGCGTAAACTTTACTTGTTGTTTTCTTGAAATTGTTGTTTTCTTGAAGGGGTTCGGGGCAATGTTACTACACGCCCTCTCGAATATTTTTGAGAAAACTTTACATAAAATTTAGTGCTAGAAACCGCTTTGAATTTCAAACTAGATAATGCTGTGGGTGGATCCAGCCAGACCATTTTTAACCTTTTTCCAAGCATTTTAGTGCACCTTGGGTTGCTTTTAAAGATAGACTTATTTCTATCACCACGATTAATATATGGTAGTATATAAATAATGCATCCGAAATTAACCTCACAATATTCCCTTAGCTAGGTTCAGTGTCAGACTTCAAGTTAACAGCTTAAGGGACAAGTTAGATTCCCTTTAGAGCACGTGTTCTTGTGTAACTAAAGTAACCCTGTTGCTATAGTGATACACACACGTGTAAAACAGTGCTTCATCATTTGACAAGCTGGAACCCATCCACAAGTTAATTGAGGTATACTTAATTGAACTAATTAATTAACAAATAGATAAAGCAATACAATCAAACTCCATACGTCATACCAACTATGGTTAATGTTAATAAAAGGGAATATTTTTACAATCATTTCGAATGCTTTGCTGGGCTTGTCGTTCTTGAAAGACCAATATAATGAACTCATTATATAGTTGTTTGAAGAAACTCGTTTCTTCAAACAAATATTTTGAACTGTGACAAGTCATAATTTATAACACTACATAACGTCGCGATGCATCGGTTGTGTATTGTGAAATTAATCAAGATGGAGTTGCAAATGTGTACTCCTGTTGAAGTTTTGAATGTGTTAGTGTTCAAATGTAGAAGTACAACTGTTGAAGTTTTTAATGTGTTAGTGTTCAGGGAGGGCTCCTGCCCAATTTGACTGACATGGATACAGCTTTAGAAACTGACAGACTCTGGGAGGATCGAGATGTCAGATTTGATGTGCCCTTGAGGTATGTATGATGATATATGTTTTCCTATGACTCTGCATGTTCCTGTATGTTATGGAATGCTCACTAAATTATTGTTTTCCAATGAAGTTCAGTCTTATCATAGCCTGGTGGACGGTGGTTGCATATCGTATAGTAATTTCTCCCACTTAGTCAGATGAAGATGCGACCCGGTGAACGTCTTATTGACCACTTGGATAGTATAGAAGATACAAAAGGAAACAACGGAGAGAGAGGACGACTCATGGTCACCAACTTACGGATTATCTGGCACTCTAAGACATTACCTCGCATAAACCTATGTATGAACTTATGATGGCTTCAATTCATTATTTTATGGGTCGTTTATAACTTTATTTGATATCAATAACAGTATTTTAATTGAATCGGTGGTTGTGTTAATAATTATCTTTGAACTGTTTTAAAAAACTTTATACTTTAAATATTTATTTTTTTTTTACTGTAATTTTTACTGTTCAGCTGTTGGATTTAACTCTGTGATCAACATATCAACACGCTCGGCAGAGTCCAAACTCCGTGGTTCAACAGAAGCACTTTACATACTTACTCGGTGCAACAACACCAGATTTGAGTTTATCTTTACTAACTTAGTTCCTGATACTCCTCGACTCTTCACTTCCGTTCTGGCTGTGCAAAGGTGATTTCAATTATAATTTATCATGTCTTTATGTGGAATGGAGTGATATTTATATCCAATCTGATTGCAGATCACTTACAAGTTTTAAAACAAGGGCTCACTACTTTTCATCAACCATTGGGTTATTGATGCAGATGGTTGGATTATATCCTCTGTTGGAAGAGACAAGGACAAATGAAACAGGAAGTTAGGAATGTAGGCAAATTTTCGGCGTCAACGCCATCTTCAGGCTCAAATTATTTGTTATATAGTAGTGTTGAAAGTATTAAAACTCATTGGGTTATTATTTCACAACAATGTTTATATAAGGTCAGCTAATTTAAAATTCAATACCCAGAGCATACGAGACTACTAAGATGTACAGAGATCTAAAGTTGAGAGGAGCTCTGATTGCAAATAAGACATTAAGGCTTCTTCCTTTGGAAGAAGTCTATGATAAGGTGAGAAATCTGACTGAATATTATATTCTGACTGAATATTATATTCTGTTCAATGATCTCGAAAATTATCAATTTATTAATTTGAATTATTATGGTGGTTATGGACTCGTCCACTAACCATTTATTTATATGCTGTTGCAGGTAAATGGAGTGTGGAATTTATCTTCTGATCAAGGAAACTTGGGAACCTTCTACATCACTAATGTTAGACTAGTTTGGCATGCAGAAATAAATGAGACTTTCAATGTAAGTTGGATTCTTTCAAAATTAAAGTACATTTACTTGAGATTTCAATGATTAGGTTGATTTGAGAATTGTACGGAGATGGCATCCAGAAATTCAATGATGATTCCTAATACATCACACGACTTTTATTGCAGGTCAGTATACCCTACATACAAATGAGAGCTGTTAAAATCAGAGACAGCAAGTTTGGTACAGCTCTTGTAGTCGAGAGTCTGAAAAATGTAAGTTATTTTGAGTGAATTTAGTTTTTAACTCTTAATTGAACTCATTAATTGGTCATTGAAAAAAAAATTTAGTCAAAACAGTGAAATTTGGGTCGAGGAAAGCTGATTATATATGATATATCTGAAACCCATTTATTCCCCAACTTTTGGTCAAATGGGCCAAACGCTACCCGTAACACCACACGTAACTGATATCTGGATATTATCCGGTTGGAAGAGACAAGGACAAGTGAAACAAGGAAGTTAGGAGTAAGGGCAAATTTTCGGCGTCAACGCCATCTTCAGGCTAAAATTGTTATAAATGTTAGTATATAATAAATGCTTCTATACTAGTTAAAATGCTAAATTAAAATTACACACACTGAATACAGGTTACATCAAATGGTATTATACATTACATTGAAAATAGTGATGTACACACGTTTTACACTCTGTCCAAGTACATAATATCTACTGAACAGCAGGGTCGTGTGCTATTTGTTTAAATTTGTCTTTGAATATGTTGTAAAAGAAATCCCTTAAGCTTCTCGCACTCTTCTTTGTTATTGATACTAGGTTTAAATAAATTAATGTAGTAAGCTTCTGTCACTTTACGTTTAATGGTGCTATATAAGTTAATTTCTAAAATATCGAAGGAAATATCTGGTTCTATGTTATCGTGAAACTCTGAATAATGAGCAGCCAACGCATTATCAGGATAGGTTAAAGGCCTGTTGACTGCTCTTCGATGCTCTGAAAATCTATCGTGTGCTGTTCTACTCGTTTCCCCTATATATAGCTCTTGACATAATTTACACGTAACTTTGTATATGACACATTTTGGTTTGCAGTCGTGATTTGTTGTGATGAGTGGACATATGATACAGTTTGGTATGGTGCAGTGTGGTTTGTCGTGTGGTCGTGATGAACATAAGATCTCTGAGAGTTTCTTACCTGGTGTGAATATGAATTTGACCGGTAAGTTGTGTGAGAGGGCAAATTGAGTGACTTCTTTGGAAAATGGCTCGTTGATGAATGGTAGAGTGCATGTTACGTGGTCGGTATCTTGTATGTTTGATGATGAAGGGTTATGACGTGTTGTAGGTGAGAGAGGGTGAAGTCGTCCTGTTTTGTTTATACGTCGTGGGTCTTGGTAACCGTTGTTGACCAACAAGTTGTCTACTATCTTCATGGACTCTTCTTTATACTCTGGTGTTGATGAGCAAAAAGCAGCCGTTTTGTAGAAGTTCTTGATGGTTGCTACTTTAGTTCCCTCATTGTGGTGGCTGTTGGCGTGCAGTGTGATATTCTTTTTCTGCTTCTTTCTGTAGAATTTGTGGTGTAGTGTTCCCTGTTCGTCGATCTTTATCTGGGTGTCGAGGAATGGGGTGAAATCCTGACGGCTTTCCGGATAGTCAATTTCCCATTTGAGCAACTGGTCTGGGTCCTCGTTTGAGATGGACTCCACTATCCTCAGAGCTTCTTCTTTGGAGCTGGCTAGACTCCCGGCATCATCCACGTATCTCCGGTAGAATGAGACGTGTAAATCAGTGTAAATCGATCTTCTCTCGAACATATATACTCGTACTATCGCTCCTATTGGTGATGGTTGGCACCCCATGAAGAGACCAATTTTCTGGAGGTAGAGTCTTGAGTGATATGTAAAGTATGAGTTGGTGAAGACGAATTCAAGGATCTTGTGGATGTGCGTGAGTGTTAGACCCCAGGTGTCGAGGTCTTCCCAATGTTCTTCGGTGAGTGTAATGAGGTCTTGAATGCAGCCACTGATGTTGATGTTTGTGTACAGTGCTGTGACGTCAGCTGTGAAGAATGAGAGACCTGAGAGTTGTTGATGTGACATGTTTTGAAGCTCTTCTAGGTGAGTGTGTATATTGCTCAGGTGAGATGGAACATGATTAAGCAGAGGAGATAGAATAGATTTAACAATCCAAGCAAGCTTCTCAGAAGGGGAATTTATACAAGACACAATTGGACGTATTTTACAATTAGAAATAATATCTACATCTGAAACTAAGACATTACAATCAAATTTATGAGTTTTCTGTATTAAATAAATAGTCGGTAGTTGGGTATTATGTGATTTAAATAAGTCTACTGTTTTGCTGTCATAATTACACATCCTACTTATCTCTGTCCATAACACATTACTCTCAGTCTCTAGTCTCTCAGTAACCCTGTTGATGAGGCGGCTGTAGGAGACTTCTGAGGGGTTTGCTATTGGTTGGATCCGATTTTGTCGCGTGGTGGTAGGTGCAACGTAGGTGTACGCTTCTTGCGAGGTCATGTCTGACAGATGTTTCTGCGTAATCTGCTGTTGTACTCCACTGCTCATAATCACAAACTCACCCCCCTTGTCGCTTCTCGAGAAGTGGAGTTCTTCTTTTCTTGCAATCAAGGATTTGAGTCCCTCCCGTTGTTTTGCTGTTAGGTTAGAGGGTACTTTACTGTGTTCTAATCTGGTGTTAATGATGTAACACAGTTGGCGGAGGTGATGTTCCATGGCGAGGTTGGTGGTGGGTGGAGCACCAGCAAACGGTCGTTGAAATGGCACGTTTTTCGACTTAATAAATGCGAAGCTGGTCGGGCATGTATCATCTGGGATCTCATCTGAAAAACAGGTTTTCCAGCGGAGCCGGTAGGCGGTCTGAGCAAGGCTGATCTGCACATCTTTCTTGAGGCGTTCATCTACTCGGGGTGCTAGGGCGAACTTGGGGCCTAAGCTGAGGACGTTAGTCTCATTCTCGTTGAGGACAACGCCTACCGCAGATACTTTGCTGCTAGGTGGCTCGATGGTAGAGGTGGAGTCGTGTGACACATTAGACTGATAGGTGTGGGTGGGAGTACTGAGAGCATTAAACTTATGAATCAATCTCTGTTTAGATGACTCCTTAACATCGTGGTTGTTATCACTAAACATTTGACATATTTCATAAAACTCTGGTCTCCCAGACAGTCTACATTTTAACAAATAAATGTTTTGTTTACAATTATCGATCTTATAATATAAGTCATCAATGCACTGATTCAGTGAGTGGGTATATAATTTATTTACATAATAATTTAAAAAGTTAGGTAGTTTCACAGGAAAAAGAATATTAATGTTAAGATGAACTGAGTTCGAAATAAATTTAGGAATTAAATGGCAATGTTTACAATGTTTTAGAAAATTCAGTTTTTGTTCGTAGGATTTTAGGTGTTCACCGAAGGATATAAGATCTTTTGCGGAACTGAAGGTTTCCCGGTCGAGGTTAAGAAATATCAAATAACGGAGTAGTTCGCTGTTTATTAGTCTCATGATTGAAATACTGATATCTGGATATTATCCGGTTGGAAGAGACAAGGACAAGTGAAACAAGGAAGTTAGGAGTAAGGGCAAATTTTCGGCGTCAACGCCATCTTCAGGCTAAAATTGTTATAAATGTTAGTATATAATAAATGCTTCTATACTAGTTAAAATGCTAAATTAAAATTACACACACTGAATACAGGTTACATCAAATGGTATTATACATTACATTGAAAATAGTGATGTACACACGTTTTACACTCTGTCCAAGTACATAATATCTACTGAACAGCAGGGTCGTGTGCTATTTGTTTAAATTTGTCTTTGAATATGTTGTAAAAGAAATCCCTTAAGCTTCTCGCACTCTTCTTTGTTATTGATACTAGGTTTAAATAAATTAATGTAGTAAGCTTCTGTCACTTTACGTTTAATGGTGCTATATAAGTTAATTTCTAAAATATCGAAGGAAATATCTGGTTCTATGTTATCGTGAAACTCTGAATAATGAGCAGCCAACGCATTATCAGGATAGGTTAAAGGCCTGTTGACTGCTCTTCGATGCTCTGAAAATCTATCGAGAGTAATGTGTTATGGACAGAGATAAGTAGGATGTGTAATTATGACAGCAAAACAGTAGACTTATTTAAATCACATAATACCCAACTACCGACTATTTATTTAATACAGAAAACTCATAAATTTGATTGTAATGTCTTAGTTTCAGATGTAGATATTATTTCTAATTGTAAAATACGTCCAATTGTGTCTTGTATAAAATCCCCCTTCTGAGAAGCTTGCTTGGATTGTTAAATCTATTCTATCTCCTCTGCTTAATCATGTTCCATCTCACCTGAGCAATATACACACTCACCTAGAAGAGCTTCAAAACATGTCACATCAACAACTCTCAGGTCTCTCATTCTTCACAGCTGACGTCACAGCACTGTACACAAACATCAACATCAGTGGCTGCATTCAAGACCTCATTACACTCACCGAAGAACATTGGGAAGACCTCGACACCTGGGGTCTAACACTCACGCACATCCACAAGATCCTTGAATTCGTCTTCACCAACTCATACTTTACATATCACTCAAGACTCTACCTCCAGAAAATTGGTCTCTTCATGGGGTGCCAACCATCACCAATAGGAGCGATAGTACGAGTATATATGTTCGAGAGAAGATCGATTTACACTGATTTACACGTCTCATTCTACCGGAGATACGTGGATGATGCCGGGAGTCTAGCCAGCTCCAAAGAAGAAGCTCTGAGGATAGTGGAGTCCATCTCAAACGAGGACCCAGACCAGTTGCTCAAATGGGAAATTGACTATCCGGAAAGCCGTCAGGATTTCACCCCATTCCTCGACACCCAGATAAAGATCGACGAACAGGGAACACTACACCACAAATTCTACAGAAAGAAGCAGAAAAAGAATATCACACTGCACGCCAACAGCCACCACAATGAGGGAACTAAAGTAGCAACCATCAAGAACTTCTACAAAACGGCTGCTTTTTGCTCATCAACACCAGAGTATAAAGAAGAGTCCATGAAGATAGTAGACAACTTGTTGGTCAACAACGGTTACCAAGACCCACGACGTATAAACAAAACAGGACGACTTCACCCTCTCTCACCTACAACACGTCATAACCCTTCATCATCAAACATACAAGATACCGACCACGTAACATGCACTCTACCATTCATCAACGAGCCATTTTCCAAAGAAGTCACTCAATTTGCCCTCTCACACAACTTACCGGTCAAATTCATATTCACACCAGGTAAGAAACTCTCAGAGATCTTATGTTCATCACGACCACACGACAAACCACACTGCACCATACCAAACTGTATCATATGTCCACTCATCACAACAAATCACGACTGCAAACCAAAATGTGTCATATACAAAGTTACGTGTAAATTATGTCAAGAGCTATATATAGGGGAAACGAGTAGAACAGCACACGATAGATTTTCAGAGCATCGAAGAGCAGTCAACAGGCCTTTAACCTATCCTGATAATGCGTTGGCTGCTCATTATTCAGAGTTTCACGATAACATAGAACCAGATATTTCCTTCGATATTTTAGAAATTAACTTATATAGCACCATTAAACGTAAAGTGACAGAAGCTTACTACATTAATTTATTTAAACCTAGTATCAATAACAAAGAAGAGTGCGAGAAGCTTAAGGGATTTCTTTTACAACATATTCAAAGACAAATTTAAACAAATAGCACACGACCCTGCTGTTCAGTAGATATTATGTACTTGGACAGAGTGTAAAACGTGTGTACATCACTATTTTCAATGTAATGTATAATACCATTTGATGTAACCTGTATTCAGTGTGTGTAATTTTAATTTAGCATTTTAACTAGTATAGAAGCATTTATTATATACTAACATTTATAACAATTTTAGCCTGAAGATGGCGTTGACGCCGAAAATTTGCCCTTACTCCTAACTTCCTTGTTTCACTTGTCCTTGTCTCTTCCAACCGGATAATATCCAGATATCAGTATTTCAATCATGAGACTAATAAACAGCGAACTACTCCGTTATTTGATATTTCTTAACCACACGTAACACCACACGTAACACCACACGTAACACCACACGTAACACCACATGTAACACCACACGTAACACCACATGTAACACCACACGTAACACCACACGTAACACCACACGTAACACCACACGTAACACCACACGTAACACCACGTGTAACACCACATGTAACACCACACGTAACACCACGTGTAACACCACATGTAACACCACACGTAACACCACACGTAACACCACACGTAACACCACACGTAACACCACGTGTAACACCACACGTAACACCACACGTAACACCACACGTAACACCACACGTAACACCACACGTAACACCACACGTAACACCACACGTAACACCACACGTAACACCACACGTAACACCACACGTAACACCACACGTAACACCACACGTAACACCACACGTAACACCACACGTAACACCACACGTAACACCACATGTAACACCACACGTAACACCACACGTAACACCACATGTAACACCACACGTAACACCACATGTAACACTACACGTAACACCACACGTAACACCACACGTAACACCACACGTAACACCACACGTAACACCACACGTAACACCACACGTAACACCACACGTAACACCACACGTAACACCACACGTAACACCACGTGTAACACCACACGTAACACCACACGTAACACCACACGTAACACCACACGTAACACCACCGGTAACACCACACGTAACACCACACGTAACACCACACGTAACAACTAACACCACACGTAACACCACGTGAGTATCTCACCCTCTAATAATCCCAGGCAGGAGGATACGTTTTAGGGTTCAGGATAGACCCTGTTGAGAAGTTGAACGAAGTAATGAAAGAGATACACAGTTTGTACAGAGTGTACAGTGCTAACCCTGTTTTTGGAGTTCAGTACCAAATCGAGGAGCGGGTAAGAAACAGTTAAATTGAACAGGGTTTTCAGGGAAAGGAAATAACTCTGGTAATTAACATTTCCATTTTCATTGGCTTGGCTACTTGTTGGCGCAGTTGGTTAGTAATATGCTAATCGTTCTGCCCATGGGCACTGAGGTAGTGTTCGATTCACAACAAGTTGGTGATTAGTGTAACAATAATCAAACCATTACTCATTTTTATTGATTATTATTATTGTTTTGTTAAGATACTTAACTAATTTATTGATCTTAGTTGGAGCCGATAGATCAGCTGACTATACAATACGAAGAAGATGATATTGAGATAACTAACGATAACCCGTCTAGTGATGCATTTGTGGTGAGTAGATAACAATAGATAACAGTGACATTTATATCATTTATTACACAATGTAAATTGTAAAACACATATTGCACCCATCATAAAGTTATGATTTATGCAAAAAACGCAAAATTTTTCCACCCAGTTTCAGGTTTTACTTAAACGAAAATTGTTGTCTGTACGAAAATTGTTGTCTGAACAACACTGACTTCTGTAATGATTACTCTCTCGTCAACTTAATAATTTGCAGGCCTACTATGCGGATAACAACAAAGGGACGGATTCAGAGCCAGTTTTCTGTGAACAGTTAGGACTTGCAATAGAAAGCATTAAAGATGGTTTCACCTTGGAGAGTCTGTGGGAAGTCACTGGAATTTGAACTTTGCTGATCATACCAAATATTATCTATAGACTATACAGTATACAGTATACGTCATGTAAGTTTAATGTAAGATACTTTATGTAAATAATAAACTTGTTTATCATTGTTAAATGCTGGATCATTTTCAATATTTTCACATTAGATTTTTCAGCTTATTTGTTGTCGAACGTTTCAGTTTTTGCTCAGAATTTTACATGGAAATTATGATGACGTTTGGCTCCGACATTTTAATTCCAATTACTTGAGGGTTAAAATTTATGTTTATTTTAAATGTGAAAATTCAAAGGTTATTCTGGCTGAAATGTTGAATGCATTATCAATTATGTTTCAAAAAATAAATGTATTATGTACTCAATTTTATGAAATTCGTTTAATCATTGTGTTTGGTAATCTGCTTTGCAATTCCTGAAACAGAGAAATTGAAAATGTTTGATAACGCAACAGTTATCTGTACATAATCGTACACAATTAACTTAAAACGTCGCCTATTTCAATTCTTATATTTTTAAAATATGTTTAAAGACTTTGACCGCTATCAATGACCAATTGAATTGCAGAAATCTCATAGCTCTCAAAAAACGTACATCACATTATCACAACGAAGTTGGCTTATCATACAATACAACTGATACATGATGAAATTTCAGAGGAGTGGTTGTGGATCATAAAGGAATAGTCAAGTCGCCGTTAAAACAAGAGCTGTTATATATTAGTTGGTGGACTGAAAATGTATCGTCAATACATATATTTCTGTAGTGGTCTCATTTGTTTTCTGCTTGTTATACTTTTAAATTGCTTTATTTCTGATTTCTCTTTCTGCTTAATACTGTCTCACGTACTGAAATTCTTGAATTTGTTAGTTTGTGCCGTCGTTTTTCAGTTTTCACTATCAAGATTTCCAATCCAGTTGTTGGACAATGTAGGTACCCTCCCTGTAAATATACATGGTATCGAATTCCCTGATCTCAATAAAATGCGATTAAATGCTGTTACTGTACAATGTACATGGCAACAACGTTAGTCGAACAACATAATGTGGACGCTGAGGATGCGAATTGTTATTCGTTATCATTTTAAGTTGTGCAGTGATGAGTGACGTGTTGTTGTTAGGGTTGTTATTTTAACATTATAGGGCATATATAATATGGGGCATATATAATACGATTACAAGAACTCAGGATGTTTCAGATCATGCTGTTACTTTAAAATAACAATTTGCTTTGTAGTGACGCTGCGTTATTGCATAATATTTCCTAATTTTCTCTTAAATTCTTATCTACACCAGATGATCGACCGGACCACTTTTTTGGCGTTTGCTTTTTAATTAGTTTCCTTTAAGTGTTTGCTTAATGCTATGTTTCTAGTTTCAACAATTAACTCACTGGTCCCTGGTGCACAGCCCTGATTCTCATCAGTTGGAAAGCTGGAACCCATCCACAAAATAATTGAGGTAATCTCACTGGTGAAAAAAAAATAGTAAAGAGCATCTTTTGAAATACTTGTTTGTCTAGTTGCTATTTTAATCTTAAATATGATTTAATTATGTGACCAACTAATGTCCCATGTATATTCAACAGAAGTAAAAGGACCTGTTTTGTTTAAGACGGTTTGTGTCTAGCAGTAAACATCTCATGTTAAATGAAACCTTACCATTGTAAGATTATTCACATTTGGTATTATCACTGCTGTTAAAATATTAATTATATAGTGACCCAGGGACAGCTTCTGCCCAACTTGAAAGAAATGGACTCTTTAGAGACGAATCGATTATGGCAGGACCGCGACATCAGATTTGACGTGCCCTTGAGGTATTATATATGAAAATAATTTTCTTGAGGTATTTGAACTGTCGTCTGTCTCTTGTCGTAAGGAATTTTAATATATCGTTATGATTCCGATTCTAGGAATCATCATCAGCTGGTTAGTGTTTCTCAATTTCCCCCACCCAGTCAGATGAAGATGCGACCCGGTGAACGTCTTATTGACCACTTGGATAGTATCGAGGATACAAAAGGAAACAACGGGGAGAAAGGAAGACTCATGGTCACAAACTTGAGGATTATCTGGCATGGAAAGATATTCCCTCATATTAACCTATGTTCGCTTCCTTTTAACTTTTGATAGGATTTTGTCATTGATAATGAAACGAAATGAAAGATCAAAGTTCAAATTCATAAGTGAAGTTGTCTATTAAACTAGGTCCAACTCCACTGCTAACGTTAAATGTTTTACCAAGCTTAAATACTATATAATACAATTCAGCTCTTGGGTTCAACTCCGTGATAGAAATAACGACACGCACAGCCAAATCCAAACTCCGTGGTTCAACAGAAGCACTTTACATACTTACTCGGTGCAACAACACCAGATTTGAGTTTATCTTTACTAACTTAGTTCCTGACACTCCTCGACTCTTCACTTCCGTTCTGGCTGTGCAAAGGTGATTTCAATGAAATATTTCATTTGAACTTGATGGAAGATGGAACTAAGGTGTCTTCGAGTAAGTTGTCTAATACCAGTGCGTGCTTGTTGGTGGAGAAACGTCACGTGACTAATATGGCATTCGAGCATCAATATTTGCAGAGCGTACGAGACTACTAAGATGTACAGAGATCTAAAGTTGAGAGGAGCTCTGATTGCAAATAAGACATTAAGGCTTCTTCCTTTGGAAGAAGTGTATGATCAGGTGAGAATGTTTATTTTATGTATTTAATTTGATATATTTGTTTTTTTCCCTAAGTTGTTGATAAGTAGGATAACTTTTGATAATCATACACTGTTTAATAACTTCCGCGTTGTTTTTGTGGAAGCTTCAGTGTACAATCATAATCGATTCCTTCCCTTTCAAAATTGCAATCAGCTTTAAAAATCACTTCAATAAATATTCTGCCCACAGGTAAATGGAGTGTGGAATTTGTCCGCTGATCAGGGAAACTTGGGTAACTTCTACATCACTAATGTTAGACTAGTATGGCACGCAGAAATCAACGAATCTTTCAATGTAGGCATTTTTTTTCGTTCACATTTCCTTTCACGTCCATATTTTGCGGTTTTAATAAATCTGTACACACTTGACAAAGCATCAATTTGAAAATTGATGAGGAATATCTTGACAAAAGTAACAACTGTTGGTAAAAATTTGTTATATAATTGTTATAATCCATATTCAGGGTCCTAATATTATGACAATCCAACTAATATTTATATTACCTTAATTAATTTATTAAACCCTTTGTTCTCCTTACAGGTCAGTATACCCTACATCCAGATGAAGGATGTTAAAATCAGAGACAGCAAGTTTGGTACAGCCCTTGTTATAGAAAGCCTCAAAAGTGTTAGTCCCTTTCCACCAAATTTGGAATTTTCAACAACAAAAATCTCGTAAATCACACCAAATCAATCGAATGATATTTAACCTACATTTTTATTTTATATATATAAATGATTTTACATATATTTTACATATTTTACATATTTTAAATAATTTGATTTTGATCCAACAGGCAGGGGGATACGTGTTAGGGTTCAGAGTAGACCCTATTGAGAAACTAAACGTAACATTTAAGGAGGTTCACAGTTTGTTCAGGGTCTACAGTGCTAACCCTATCTTTGGAGTACAGTTCAAAGTTGAAGATAGGGTCAGTGAGATAAGGCTTACTCTTAGAGTTCAGGAATCAACTAACTGATTCAATTATTCGTTCACATAAATTATCTAGATAATTAGTGAGTTAATATTGCTGGAATCCTCGGACTTTAGTCCTTTCGTTCATTTAATCTGAATCCCAGATAGAGCCTCTAGATGATGTTACAGTACAGTATGAGGAAGATGATATTGAGATAATTACTAAAGATAACCCCTCAAGTGATGCGTTCCTGGTGAGTAGATACTAGATTTTAGATATAGGATTGTAGATTGTAGATTGTAAATTGTAGATTGTAGATATTGGATTTTAGATATTGGATTGTAGATTGCAGGCTGTAGATTGTAGATTGTAGATTGTAGATTGTAGATATTGGATTGTAGATATTGGATTGTAGATTGCAGGCTGTAGATTGTAGATTGTAAATTGTAGATATTGGATTGCGGATTGTAGATTGTAGATACTAGATTGTAGATATTGGATTGTAGATTGCAGGCTAGGCTGTAGATTGTAGATTGTAAATTGTAGATTGTAGATTGTAGATATTGGATTGTAGATATTGGATTGTAGATTGCAGGCTGTAGATTGTAGATTGTAAATTGTAGATATTGGATTGCGGATTGTAGATTTGTAGGCACTAAAATGTAGGCACTAAAATTTAGGCACTAAAATTTACATGCTCTGAGCTCCATAGTCTTAGTAAATGTAATAAATACTTGAAATAGTATCAGGTATTATAATAGATAAAGAAATCCTTAAATTGTTGGGTAGATTTAAATTTGCTGTACTCCTAAATTATAATTTCAATTGTTAAAATAATGGTTAAATGTTACAGGCTTACTATGCGGATAACAACAAAGAGACAGATTCAGAACCAGTTTTCAGTGAAAAGTTAGGACTTGCAATAGAAAGTATTAAAGATGGTTTTACCTTGGAGAGCCTGTGGGAAATCACTGGAATTTGAACTATGCCGATTTTCTGTGATTTTAAGCGTTTGATTGTTACACTTTTAATGATAACTGCAGGCTTTTAATGATTAAGGTTTTGTGATTAAGGTTTTATTATGTTGGTTTACCTTGTTTTGGGTCCTGTTTTTATGTTTTTGAAGGTTATATAATTTTCACTCGACCCTCGGTTATTTTTTGATATCTAACTGCAAATGTAACATTAAGCTATTTAAATTGTGTGGTTAAACATCAGTCGCAATTTTTTTCAGATTGTAAATTACATGTTTATATCCCGATTATACTTAATATAACATAAATAGTTCATATTCTAACTTCATAGAGGATTGTTTTCATTCTTCAAATCGATGAGAGTACTTTTTAATCAGATTGTTTGATCGATAGGATATTTATCAATCGTTCTTCAAAGTCAATATTCTGCACAGTCCTTATAAGGTCGCATTTTTCCGTGTCTTCCCAGTTCACTTCATATTAGACCATCATGTAATTAATCACGAGTTATAAGATGTTCAAACTTAGTTTTGCGAGGGTTACAGTAGCCCAGAATACTGGATCATTTTAGTTGTTTAGAACTTAGAAATTGCAGATGAATAAATGGTTAAGAGTCTTCGGCAGAGCCAAAGTATCAATTGAGCTCTTCAGGCCTGACAGAATATTGAGAATATAAAATGTACAAGAAATTATTCCTCACATAGATACTATTATTATATGTATTACTATTAGTATAATATTACGTTCACTTTACCAATGTAAATGTGTGGTCTTCCACTGCAGTACACCATGGATGATATTGAGTTGTTAGGTTACTATACTATAGGTGAGACCAGGGAGGGTTACTAAATGTAATAACACAATAATTAGTGATCCACACACGGTATATTTTGTAGGAGACACACGGGCCAGTTGTTGAGATGTTATTAAACCTTCCCGTCAAACCCTCATGATGTTACTTTAAACCCTCATGATGTTACTTTAAGATATAGTTGCCATTATAACGTACATGCTATTCTGAATATCTAATCTCCATGCAACCTAAATGAAGTACATCTTAAGGGGGCATACCCCAAAACAGTGGTTTGTGCCGTCCAGACCAAATGACCTCATAGGCAGTTCAGTGACCTTCTAGCGCACCGTTTCCACACAAAAACAAGAAATGCGGCCGCTTTTTTTTTGTGCATGGCCGCTCAATTTCCCGATCCGTGATGGCGTATTTTATCATATTCTATACAACCTGGGGACCCCAGTTTTTACTGTTTATAAGTATGCAGATATGGCGAAGTGACAGGCCGAGCGCCACCAAGTTAATATAATTCCATATTGAATTTGAAAATCGTGTATATTTTTAAAAACCATATGATTATGCTCATTGTTTATGCAACCTGACACCCGACACGGATGTGTGCAAAATAGTATAAGTAACTCAAAATAATAATAGTATGCTATCAATTAGTGCCTAGTGGGATATGTACATGGTGAAATTAACAATGTACTTGGTCAGTTCAGCGCCGCGCGCCAACAATTATTTAAGTCGGATTATTCCGCAAAATAACTTTGCGCAGGTAGTCACGTGGGCGATTACAGTGTGTGCAGGCAGGTACGGTCGCGCTCACGCTCGCAGGTACGGTCGCAAAGCTACCATATACAAAAAAAAACCTCGTTCGCTAACCCTTGTCCTTGACTCTTTTGTGCCTTCGGCACTTTGAGTCATGGATCGGGAAAAAATTATTTTGAGAATACCCATTTTTGTAATCGAGCATTTCCTGGTTAAGAGTGCAATTTTCGGAAAAAATTATTTTGTGGTTGAGACACTATAAGTTAATCATTTCTTGCGGTATCGGGTTGAAATTTTGCTCGCCGTTTATTCACATCTATGTCAAGGTGTGTGTAAAATCTTGATCATATCGTATCTAAAAAGGCTGGTGTGTTATGAATTTTTAAAGTCAAAAATCTAAAATTGTCCTTTTCAGGCTTATTTTAACAAAAAGTCAGTCAGGGAAGATCGGATTATTTGATGCTTGACATCAAATTGTTCTCTGAATTCTGGCGCAGTTTTTGATGCCCTCAAAAATGTTTTTACTCATTCACCTTCTGATCTATTGGACCTCAAAGTCAAACAACAAATTTAGGCACATTTTTCGTTTTTAATATTTACTGATTTTTCTAAAATTTTGATAGGAATGTGCTAGTGACTTTTTGAAGGGTGCAAAATAACCGCAACTAGCACATTTATATATGAGTTATGAACAACAAAACACCCTAAAATGCTTCCCTTTGAAGTTATGGGAGAAAATGTGATTTTTTGGCTTTGCAGATAAAAAATCACATTTTCTCCCATAACTTCAAAGGGAAGCATTTGAGGAGAACAGAATTCAGAGATCAATTTGATGTCAAGCATCAAATAATCCGATCTTCTCTGACTGACTTTTTGTTAAAATAAGCCTGAAAAGGACAATTTTAGCTTTTTGACTTTAAAAATTCATAACACACCAGCCTTTTTAGATACGATATCAAGATTTTACACACACCTTGACATAGATGTGAATAAACGGCGAGCAAAATTTCAACCCGATACCGCAAGAAATGATTAACTTATAGTGTCTCAACCACAAAATAATTTTTTCCGAAAATTGCACTCTTAACCAGGAAATGCTCGATTACAAAAATGGGTATTCTCAAAATATTTTTTTTGTGTGTGGAAACGGTGCGCTAGAAGGTCACTGAACTGCCTATGAGGTCATTAAGTCTGGACAGATTTGGGGTATGCCCCTTAATGTAGGTTGCTCTGGACGGAGTTGTAAATGAATTGATTTATTATGCTGCTCCTGTGACCTGTTGTGGGGGGGGGGGGGGGGGGGGCACAGTGAGGAACGTGTTCACCACGGGATTCAGCGTCCTCTGGTTCATTATTTATCTACTTCTTATCTTTTAAGAAAGTTGTCCCGGGAGTATTCTACAGATTTAAATTAATAATTTGTATGTTTAAGTAATTTGTTTGTTTAAGTAATTTATTTGTTTAAGTAATTTGTTTGTTTAAGTAATTTGTAAGTTCAAGTAATTTGTTTACTTAAGTAATTACTTTGTTCGAGAAGTAATTTGTTTGTCAAGATATATTTAGTTGGAATGAAGGACCTGCATGTTATCCTACTAAAAGTAATAAGTACCTTACATAATGTACACATAATGTACACGCCTCACCAATCACCATTAAAATGTGAGTAATATGATTGAGAGCAGATCTATTCGGAAATGAGAAGTTGGTTACATTTAGACGATGAGTGTGTACTGTATATTATGTGTGCGATTTATGTTCGTTTTTGTGGGTCCTGGTCAGTCTTTAGTCCTCTAGTCTAAGACCCAAGGGGAACTATTTCAAAAGGTCAAAGGTTTCTCTCATTGGAAGTGGTCAAACTAAATCGATAGAGATAAAAACACACGGATAGAGAGTCTCGTGGCTGTTTTATCGAGAGTTTCTTTAATGTATTTATGTATTTATGTACCTTCTATTATGCAGTTTTGTATTAGCTAAAGTGAGCCACCTTCTACTGCCTACTACTTCCTTCTACCAGCTTGGCTAAAACCTAAAAGTTCTAGAAGCTCTGAATTCTCGAACTTATCCTGGTATCACGAATAATCTACGGGTCGAGACGATGCTAAACGCTGCTCTGAATCGTCTGAATTATCGTGCCATCAAGAGGTTTCTACAGGACACGACATTGCTAGACTTTGTCAAACTGAGAAGTGTAGATTGTTCATGAGCTTCTAGAATCCCAAAGTTGGTCTAATAACTTGTCGGAGAGCAGCTGCTGCATCATTATGTTATTAGCTCTTGGGCTATTGCTCTGTAAGTTACATATTCAATTTCTTGTCTAGCAAATTTGCGTCGTGCCTTATCAACTTTGATCCTGTAGATTAGTTTACTTAGTCAGCAGAAATGGGGGCCATTGCCATAGTTAGTTAATATCAATATATCACTTGACAGCAGGATAGTGCTTCATTATTTGTTTCGAACATTTGATTACTTGAACTTGCTTATTGTTAAATGTTATTACCGTCCGGAGGTAACTTTATTTAAGAACACTATATTATTGTTATACTTGGACTACCAAGTTTAATATTTAACACAGACTTGATTGGCCGATTTTAATCCAATGTATGTATTTTCACATTCTTACGTTACTTCACCCATATCCACAAAGTTGGCAAACCCACCAGATATCTGGGAGGAAATTTGGGAAGAATGAGGAAATTTTTGGCATCTATGAGAGGAAATTTCTTGGTTAGCGACTGACAATTGCAGTCCGCAAAGAGCAGTTCAATCATTGGGTATCGAGAGGAAATTTTTCCTCTCTAAATGACTTAAAATTCGTGCCATCTTTAATTTTAATTTGTCCAATGTTTTGAATCCAAAATATTACCGAGTGTCTAATCAACTACTTTGAACCTTCTCTATTGATATCCTATTGGTCTATCATATAATCCAGTTAAAGATTTTCCGGATGCTGCGCCCCCTGCCCCCTTAAAATATTACTAATAACCAAGTGTCTAATCAACTGTTTTGAACCTTCTGTATTGATATCCTATTGGTTTAGCATATAATGCAAATGCAGTTAAAAATTTTCAGGGGCTGCGCCCCCTGCCCCCTTAAAATATTACTTATAACCACTTGTGTCTAATCAACTGTTTTGAACCTTCTGTATTACTATTGATATCCTATTGGTTTAGCATATAATCCAGTTAAAATTTTCCGGGGGCTGCGCCCCCGAGCCCCGGCCGCAGTAGCCTCGCCCACCCCTTATAAAAATCCTGCACACGCCCCTGTTGGGAAAGTAACTTAGCCGCTGCGAGCGAAGCGATCAGGCCACAGCGAGCGAAGCAAGCGGGCCACAGAAGGGTCTGAAAATGGGTTTGGGAGGAAATTTTTTCCCGATCCATGACTCGTGCCGAAGGCACAAAAGAGTCAAGGACAAGGGTTAGCGATCGAGGTTTTTTTTTGTATATGGTAGCTTTGCGAGCGAGCGTGCGTGCGTGCGTACGTGCCTGCGAGCACTGTTATCGCCCACGTGACTACCTGCGCAAAGTTATTTTGCGTGATAATCTGAATTATATAATTGTTGGCGCGCGGCGCTGAACCAACCAAGTACATTATTAATTTCATCATGTACGTATCCCACTAGGCACTAATTGATAGCATATTATTATTATTTTGAGTTAGTATTACTATTTTGCACAGATCCGTGTCAGGTTGCATAAACAATAAACATATGGTTACATAGAAGTATACACGATTTTCAAATTCAATATAGAATTATATTAACTGGGCGGCGCTCGGCAGTCGGCATGTCACTTCGCCATATTTGCATGTTTATATAAACAGTAAAGACTGGGCCGTCCCCAGGTTGTATGGAATATGATAAATACGCCATCACGGATCGGGAAATTGAGCGGCCATCCACAAAAGAAAAGCGGCCGCATTTCTTGTTAAATATGTGGATATGGGTTACTTCATTACTTTTCGAGGTAACATTTCTTAACCCAAATAATTTATAGTAGCTAGGATCAAATCATGTCGGCAGAACGGAAGTTTTTCGTGGGAGGTAACTTCAAGATGAACGGGAATCTAGAGTCCCTCACTGCTATAGCAGGTAGAATCTAATTATACTGCTAGTATTGTATTGCCACATTGGTGTACCTAATTATACCGGTCAGTGCAGTGTACTTCAATCTAATTTTGTATTCTCCCTGATTGTGTTCAAGATTAAAGAGGGTATATATAACGGATATGATCTAAAAATCAGTGCATTGTACCAGCTAACTACCAATATTGTAACTTTTTCTCTTCAATCGTGTACAATTATGTTCACCTTTATACCGTCCGATTATTGGTTTAATCTTGAAATAAAGTTTGTAATAAATGATGCCCTGACTCTGAAAAGTAACATTTGTAACAGTTTCTTCCTGCAGATAGGCTGAACTCTAGTGAACTGGATGCTAATGTGGAGGTTGTTATTGCTCCCCCGGCCTGTTACCTCGCTAGTCTCAGCTCTCAGCTGGCTCAAAAGGTTATTTTCAATTAATATATAATAATGATTCTTTATGTAATGTATTTCAATTGCGCGCGATTGAATTTATTTCTATATTTTGCCCCATTTTATAGATCATGTATTTCTAACTGTTCGTGTCAGCAGAGAACGTACTGACTAATTAACTAATTATTTAAATATCTAATTAACTAACTAATCACCCAGGAGAATGTGAACGTATCAGCAGAGAACGTACATCAGGCAGCTAAGGGCGCGTTCACCGGAGAGATAAGCTGCTCCATGGCACTGGATTGTGGTGCAAGCTACGCTATCCTAGGACATTCCGAGAGGAGACATGTCTTTGGGGAGACTAACAAACAAATTGGTAAGTTTTGGGAGAAAACGGTGGGAAATTGTCAGCTTTGAGAAAATGCTTGTTATCTGATTATCATTTGCAGTGGAAACTTTCGTTTTGAAAAGTCATTAGTAGGTAGTAATTAAATCGTACTTTTCGTTTATCTAAGCTTATTAATAATCTTGACAGGCGAGAAGACAAAAGCAACGCTAGCTGCTGGCCTCGTTGTTATTGCTTGTATTGGAGAAAAGGGTGAGGATAGGAAATCAGGTGGGTTGCTGTCAGTTCGTAATCTCTTAGTTTTACGTTTTAGACTGTTTCTAATGTAACATAAAACATCATGCAGTATGCACCTTAAAATTAGTGTATTATATATAGATAGAAACGAGATTTTCTGATCACATACAAAAAGATTGCTTGCGATATTATTTTCATGTAAAATTACTACTTCGTACAAGTTACTATGTTATTATGCACTTAAAGTTTAATAATCTAGAACACACAGGTTTTACAATATTTACACACAAGTTTTACAATCCACACAAGAGTTTTACAATATAATAATTACAAATGTACATGACTCACTTGCTTGCAGGCAATACAATGGTTGTGTGTGTTGAACAGCTAACTGCTTATAAAGATAATGTGGAAGACTGGAGTAAGGTGGTGATTGCGTACGAGCCTGTTTGGGCCATCGGTAGGTTGACTAATTAATTTAATAATTAACTAATTGAATAATCGAATAATCGACGAATAGGTGAAGAAACTTCAAACTCTTTCAAGTTTCAGAGAAACATTTATAATATGCAAGAAGTCTCAATTCCTAAGCTACATACATTTTTCAAACTTCATAACTTGAAATGTAAGAAATTGTTACCCCATTGGTTAAGCAATTTTACTGATTAGCTAATTAATCAACAAATTAAATTACTAATTAACTAATTACTACAGGAACGGGTGAGGTAGCAACTCCCGAGATAGCCCAAGAAACCCACCTCAACATTCGCTCATGGCTCTCTGATAACGTTAGTCCCGAAGTGGCTGCCTCAGTAAGAATAATATACGGAGGCTCCGTTAACGGAAAGAACTGCAAGGAACTGGCATCCCAGCCGGACATTGACGGGTTCCTAGTGGGTGGCGCCTCGCTGAAACCAGAGTTTGTTGATATTATCAACTGTGATTGTTAGGACGTTATCTTGATTTTGAGATAACGATTTGATGATGCGCGGGACTTTACAAGACTCTTTTTTTCAATTTCTGATTGAAAAACGTTTGATTTTTTTGCAATCGATTTTGAGATTTGGATTTGCATGGTACAAGAGATTTCATTTCTTACAGAAATCTTTGCTAAACTCTTTGTTCAATATACGTTTTTTTGTCTTGATGGCACATTGTGTTGACTCACCCCGCAGTTATCTTAGCCGTTTTTATTTGGGTTTTTATAATTTAAAAAGTTGAAATGATATCTAATTCTATTGATTTACCTGATATGAATTTTTTTGTTATTAATTATGGTTACATGACAAAATTCCTCATCGGTTTTTTACTTTTTGTCATTGAAAGTCTCATTTAGAAGATATAGAATTTGATATATTTTCAAGAATACATTTTTCATTCATCACAATAACATGTTATATTTCAAGAGATCTAAAATAATTTATCAATCGTTGATTTAAAATATGATTATAAATATTATATTATTATTGTCCCAAAATAAATAAAATTTGTTTAATTCTAGAGTATTCTGATTTTCTCCAACATTATATTCTTCTCTCTAGTACTTACCCGGATAATACTTCTGTATCCATGTTGCCATGGCACTGCCAAGTTTGGGCCCGTAAAACTCAGAATCATCTCTGATCCACTGTGGGAACTCAATCTGAACGCAGTCAATCTCCCCTCCATTCAGTGAACCCCATTTTCTAGTAATGTAGCCGCCCCGCATGTATTTCCCTTTTATTCCCATCTCTGGACGAGGATACTCGGGAGAGGGTACAACTCTAAACCCCTCCTCTTGAACCAGTTTTCCTAGACTGTCCTCTCCCCGGACCAGACTATCAAACTCTATTCCACGTGCTGCTGCACGTGCAGCTAATGCGCGCAGTGAGGACTCTTCCGCAGTGAAGTTATCAGCGTTGAGGCGTGCTGGCTGGATATTGTAACCTATCTCTGTCCAGTTGTCCGTATTATGGGACGACAGGGCCCTGTAACCATGGATATCAAAATGAACTGCCGGCCCTCCTGCAGCCAAGATGTTGTGCACGCGTTTAATTATCCCATGGAAAGTGTCGTAAGCTCCCTCAGCTACAGAGTTATACTGAGCAGCATCATCTTTAAATCTGTTGGGATCCAGTTTGGATCTGTGTAGTCTACTGACCACCAGATGAGGTGTCTTCCCTGTTTTATCTGATATTGTTTTTCTCATCTGTTTAGCAAGGACGGAAGAAAGTGTGTCCGAGTGAGTTGTAGCTTTACATTTTCCTGTCACGTGTTCACCAGGACAATCGTGTCTCCAGTCGCACGTGTCCGTTATATTGTCATAGCAACCCTGGGATTGCGTTTTGAGAGGATGAAGTAGGTAAATGTTCGAGTAATCAATAAATTTTCATATTGGTGCACCAATATGAAAATTTATTGATTACTCGAACATTTATCTAGGCACCATGGTGCCTTGCCCTGAGCTGGGGAGCCCAATTTATGGAAAAAATGCCAAAGTTGACCCACCTGGCGTCTATCTGGTATAGAGTCAAGTTTAATCCAACCATCATGAGAGGCAGTGAGGATAACATTAGTGTCTTGGGAGCCCGGATAGTAGTCCACCAACTTGAAGTATTTGTCTTGCGAAGTGCAACAAAGAGCAATGACCGGCAGGAGAAGGAGTAACATTTTCATTACACAAAACAAATTCCAAATCGAATAAATGGTGATAAGAGGTATTGAATTAGATGTTGGACGACCATTTAAGGGGGCATACACCAAAAATGTCCAGCCCAAATGACCTCATAGGAAGTTAACTGAAATTAACTGTAGGGTCACATTTCACTGATCAGTTATCAAGCACAATAATATGTATACAATATAATAATTATGTGTACAATGGTTAGATTAACAAGCTTTTGTAAACAATCCACACAATGTAAATGTCTTTACATTCCAATTCCTTTGTATTCCAATTCATCTCATGATGAAGGTGGATTATCGTTATGGCAGGCCATTGTTAACTGACTAATTAATTAACTAATTATCTGAATAATTAACTAACCAATTATCTGCCAGTTTAGCGTTACCCCACACACCATGACTGATTCAGACCCCTACTCCCAAGCTCTCCAGTACCTTGAGGAACACCATATAGTGCCCCTGTTTCACAATCTAACTGCTAACATTGTCTACCATCAACCTACTGATCCTGTCCAGTATATCATCGAGTAAGTGGTGGTATTTAACACGTGACAGTGATTGTGGGGTTTGATTGGTCTGTATATCATCGAGTAAGTGGTGTTATTTAACACGTGACAGTGATTCTGGGGTTTGATTGGTCTGTATATCATCGAGTAAGTGGTGTTATTTAACACGTGACAGTGATTCTGGGGTTTGATTGTTCAGTATATCATCGAGTAAGTGGTGTTATTTAACACGTGACAGTGATTCTGGGGTTTGATTGTTCAGTATATCATCGAGTAAGTGGTGTTATTTAACACGTGACAGTGATTCTGGGGTTTGATTGTTCAGTATATCATCGAGTAAGTGGTGGTATTTAACACGTGACAGTGATTCTGGGGTTTGATTGGTCTGTATATCATCGAGTAAGTGGTGTTATTTAACACGTGACAGTGATTCTGGGGTTTGATTGTTCAGTATATCATCGAGTAAGTGGTGTTATTTAACACGTGACAGTGATTCTGGGGTTTGATTGGTCTGTATATCATCGAGTAAGTGGTGGTATTTAACACGTGACAGTGATTCTGGGGTTTGATTGTTCAGTATATCATCGAGTAAGTGGTGGTATTTAACACGTGACTGTGATTCTGGGGTTTGATTGTTCAGTATATCATCGAGTAAGTGGTGTTATTTAACACGTGACAGTGATTCTGGGGTTTGATTGGTCTGTATATCATCGAGTAAGTGGTGTTATTTAACACGTGACAGTGATTCTGGGGTTTGATTGTTCAGTATATCATCGAGTAAGTGGTGGTATTTAACACGTGACTGTGATTCTGGGGTTTGATTGTTCAGTATATCATCGAGTAAGTGGTGGTATTTAACACGTGACAGTGATTCTGGGGTTTGATTGTTCAGTATATCATCGAGTAAGTGGTGGTATTTAACACGTGACAGTGATTCTGGGGTTTGATTGTTCAGTATATCATCGAGTAAGTGGTGGTATTTAACACGTGACTGTGATTCTGGGGTTTGATTGTTCAGTATATCATCGAGTAAGTGGTGTTATTTAACACGTGACAGTGATTCTGGGGTTTGATTGTTCAGTATATCATCGAGTAAGTGGTGTTATTTAACACGTGACAGTGATTCTGGGGTTTGATTGTTCAGTATATCATCGAGTAAGTGGTGGTATTTAACACGTGACTGTGATTCTGGGGTTTGATTGTTCAGTATATCATCGAGTAAGTGGTGGTATTTAACACGTGACAGTGATTCTGGGGTTTGATTGTTCAGTATATCATCGAGTAAGTGGTGGTATTTAACACGTGACAGTGATTCTGGGGTTTGATTGTTCAGTATATCATCGAGTAAGTGGTGGTATTTAACACGTGACAGTGATTCTGGGGTTTGATTGTTCAGTATATCATCGAGTAAGTGGTGGTATTTAACACGTGACAGTGATTCTGGGGTTTGATTGTTCAGTATATCATCGAGTAAGTGGTGTTATTTAACACGTGACAGTGATTCTGGGGTTTGATTGTTCAGTATATCATCGAGTAAGTGGTGGTATTTAACACGTGACTGTGATTCTGGGGTTTGATTGTTCAGTATATCATCGAGTAAGTGGTGGTATTTAACACGTGACAGTGATTCTGGGGTTTGATTGTTCAGTATATCATCGAGTAAGTGGTGGTATTTAACACGTGACTGTGATTCTGGGGTTTGATTGTTCAGTATATCATCGAGTAAGTGGTGGTATTTAACACGTGACAGTGATTCTGGGGTTTGATTGTTCAGTATATCATCGAGTAAGTGGTGGTATTTAACACGTGACAGTGATTCTGGGGTTTGATTGTTCAGTATATCATCGAGTAAGTGGTGGTATTTAACACGTGACTGTGATTCTGGGGTTTGATTGTTCAGTATATCATCGAGTAAGTGGTGGTATTTAACACGTGACAGTGATTCTGGGGTTTGATTGTTCAGTATATCATCGAGTAAGTGGTGGTATTTAACACGTGACAGTGATTCTGGGGTTTGATTGTTCAGTATATCATCGAGTAAGTGGTGTTATTTAACACGTGACTGTGATTCTGGGGTTTGATTGTTCAGTATATTATCGAGTAAGTGGTGGTATTTAACACGTGACTGTGATTCTGGGGTTTGATTGTTCAGTATATTATCGAGTAAGTGGTGTTATTTAACACGTGACAGTGATTCTGGGGTTTGATTGTTCAGTATATTATCGAGTAAGTGGTGTTATTTAACACGTGACAGTGATTCTGGGGTTTGATTGTTCAGTATATCATCGAGTAAGTGGTGGTATTTAACACGTGACAGTGATTCTGGGGTTTGATTGTTCAGTATATCATCGAGTAAGTGGTGTTATTTAACACGTGACAGTGATTCTGGGGTTTGATTGTTCAGTATATCATCGAGTAAGTGGTGGTATTTAACACGTGACAGTGATTCTGGGGTTTGATTGTTCAGTATATCATCGAGTAAGTGGTGGTATTTAACACGTGACAGTGATTCTGGGGTTTGATTGTTCAGTATATCATCGAGTAAGTGGTGGTATTTAACACGTGACAGTGATTCTGGGGTTTGATTGTTCAGTATATCATCGAGTAAGTGGTGTTATTTAACACGTGACAGTGATTCTGGGGTTTGATTGTTCAGTATATCATCGAGTAAGTGGTGGTATTTAACACGTGACAGTGATTCTGGGGTTTGATTGTTCAGTATATCATCGAGTAAGTGGTGGTATTTAACACGTGACAGTGATTCTGGGGTTTGATTGTTCAGTATATCATCGAGTAAGTGGTGGTATTTAACACGTGACTGTGATTCTGGGGTTTGATTGTTCAGTATATCATCGAGTAAGTGGTGGTATTTAACACGTGACAGTGATTCTGGGGTTTGATTGTTCAGTATATCATCGAGTAAGTGGTGGTATTTAACACGTGACTGTGATTCTGGGGTTTGATTGTTCAGTATATTATCGAGTAAGTGGTGGTATTTAACACGTGACAGTGATTCTGGGGTTTGATTGTTCAGTATATCATCGAGTAAGTGGTGGTATTTAACACGTGACTGTGATTCTGGGGTTTGATTGTTCAGTATATCATCGAGTAAGTGGTGGTATTTAACACGTGACTGTGATTCTGGGGTTTGATTGTTCAGTATATCATCGAGTAAGTGGTGGTATTTAACACGTGACAGTGATTCTGGGGTTTGATTGTTCAGTATATCATCGAGTAAGTGGTGGTATTTAACACGTGACAGTGATTCTGGGGTTTGATTGTTCAGTATATCATCGAGTAAGTGGTGGTATTTAACACGTGACAGTGATTCTGGGGTTTGATTGTTCAGTATATCATCGAGTAAGTGGTGGTATTTAACACGTGACAGTGATTCTGGGGTTTGATTGTTCAGTATATCATCGAGTAAGTGGTGTTATTTAACACGTGACAGTGATTCTGGGGTTTGATTGTTCAGTATATCATCGAGTAAGTGGTGGTATTTAACACGTGACAGTGATTCTGGGGTTTGATTGTTCAGTATATCATCGAGTAAGTGGTGGTATTTAACACGTGACTGTGATTCTGGGGTTTGATTGTTCAGTATATCATCGAGTAAGTGGTGGTATTTAACACGTGACAGTGATTCTGGGGTTTGATTGGTCTGTATATCATCGAGTAAGTGGTGGTATTTAACACGTGACAGTGATTCTGGGGTTTGATTGTTCAGTATATCATCGAGTAAGTGGTGGTATTTAACACGTGACAGTGATTCTGGGGTTTGATTGGTCTGTAGTGGATGGTGATTGGTTTATTGTCGTCATGTGTCAACAATATGCCTTACCTCACAAGTATAATCTATATCTGTAGAAGTATAGATAGAGGTTGGGTATATGTTTTTCTTTTTATCTTTTGAATAGGCCAGGGGTCGAGGAATATTTGTAAAAACTTGCAGGACAAAGAGAAACAATACGAGCCGGATATGTTAGTTCCGGCCGGCGTGGGATTTCCCCCTGATTCCTGGCCGCAACTAACACATCCCACGCCGGCCGAAATTAACACGTCCTTTGAAGTATACTTTATTTATTGATGCAGTTTATTGATAGAATACAGATTGACGTGAAACTAATTATCTTTCATTTAGAAACTCAGAATAAGCAAATCTTTGTGAACTTGGCCTCTGGTGCCACTCTATTTTTATTTGTACATAGTTAAATGGTACAGAGGTCATCTTAATCTGATAACATCACTCAGTATTGAATCTGTAACTTATCTCCTCATCGATTAACCTTGTACTTTTCAGTGAGATCGAGAAATTGGTCGACAACGGAGGAATCTTCAAGGGAGACGAAGGAGAAATCCATCCAATTCCAAAAGAAGAAAAAAAGGAAGAGAAAAAAGATAAGAAGGAAAAAAAGTGATTAACTAATTCGGGGTTATTATTTAACAGGGGACTTCCAGAACTTTCTACATTTTATGGGGAGTGAACCAGAAATTCAGAACTTTGTACATTTGTAAATATTGTAAGATATATAATATACTGGCTGTCATACTTTTTAGAATTCACATTCTTTGTCGATTATGATGCAAATTGAGCTTCCATGTTGTAATTTGCTGGATTTTGGGCCAGCACTTAAAAGCCCATAAGTCACTACAACGGATTAGTGGAAGAAAAATGATTGCCACGTTTGAACAGATTTCGAACAAATTGTTGGTTCCCAAAAAATCAGCAATCAGCTGACGGACGGCTCTCTGGCGCTGCCGCCGAATGTTTTTATTATGGTAAAAGTTTTTACGGGCAGAGCTGTGTTACGCCGCGCGCACGTGTGTGAATTCGTTGCTAACAGCCTGCGCGCTGGCTGCATACACGAAATTAAACGTTGTGAACCCCAACTTAAATTATAGGGTATTGACTATTGCTAGATTGAATTAAGCCCTATCATCAATGAAGTTAGTTCCGAACCCATACAATAATGCAGATTAACCAATTAAAACAGCTGAATAATCTTCAAAACCATAGATTTAATAAGAAGATCTTGGAATATCAAAAATAAAACCCACTAGGTTTGGATCAGTATTGCACAAGAGTCACGTGACAAGACCATGATCAGTATTCTGTAAAAAGGTTATGCGAGGACTGGAGGTGGTCATAATGACTAAATATTAAAATAGCTTCTCATTTTTAAGCTGCAGCTAGCAAATCGGAAAGGATAAAACCACGAAATCAATGCAAAAGTAATTTAATTTTTAGCAAGAATTTAAAATAGTACGATAAATTGAAGGTTGAACTCTGTATCGGCATATTTTCAGTGTCAAAGGTAAAATACAATGATCATCGCTTCTGCAATACAATAGCCCTATTGTTCTATATACATAGCAAATACACAAAACAACGATTACAAGTTGTTCACAAATAATCAAGTCAAACACGATAATATTGTTCCAGTCGAAGTTCAACTAGATAAATCATTTCTTGCCCCTCTTGGGAGTTGCCTTTGCGGCAATCTTATCGATCCTAGCGTTTACGTTCGCACAGTTTTCGGAGATTTGCTTCAGATTTTCAGCGATGTTGTCTTCAACCTGAGATTAATCACGATGAACAGTTAATCAAAATGAATTGTAAGTCACCAGCAGCTCACATATTGTTATTGAATGATCTTATTTAACGACTTCATTAAACTTCGCCAGCAGTTCACATCTTGTTATTGAATGATCTTATTTAACAACTTCATTAAACTTCGCTAGCAGCTCACATCTTGTTATTGAATGATCTTATATAACGACTTCATTAAACTTCGCTAGCAGCTCACATCTTGTTATTGAATGATCTTATTTAACAACTTCATTAAACTTCGCTAGCAGCTCACATCTTGTTATTGAATGATCTTATATAACGACTTCATTAAACTTCGCCAGCAGCTCACATCTTGTTATTGAATGATCTTATTTAACGACTTCATTAAACTTCGCTAGCAGCTCACATCTTGTTATTGAATGATCTTATTTAACGACTTCATTAAACTTCGCTAGCAGCTCACATCTTGTTATTGAATGATCTTATTTAAGATGACCCCCCTAAATATTATAACAGGATCTCACCTTCTTAACGAGAGCACCTTGGTTAGCAAGGTTCTTGGTTACATTTGCTTGGGTAGTTTCAAGAGTTGTCAGGTTACTGGCGAATTGGGCAGCTGAGAGGGGAATCATGGTATTACATTGTGTAGTGAATTATGAATAATATCATTAATTGCTTATACTTAAATAAGATGAATTAATCATCACAACATTACCATGATAGTATCAATTTATAAATCATTTTTGTGGATACTATCATGTTTGCAGTTCGATAATAATTGCAACACCATGTAAAGATTTCAATAGATGAGACTAAGGTCTTTTCCTAATTGATAATTCGATTATCATGATTACATGGTAATAGGATGTCACATTTTTAATGAGAATCTGAAAAACAACTGCAACAATCTTCAAGATCATTATATGACGTTTACCTTGTTCATGAAGAACTTTGAGAGCTGTCAGTCTATCAACAATGTTTGGAAGAGTCGATATTACTGGCTCTATCTTTCTAACTGTGTCAAACACTTCCGAAACCTGAACAAATAATTAGTGAAATTATTTAGTTAATTAACTAGTGGAATTATTTGTGCTCTTCATTAAGGAATGAGACTCAGCTTAATATGCTAGTTTTATAAAAAACCAGGTTTCTTTGTCAAATCGAGATTCTTATGAAGGTTTGAAGACACATCACAAACTTCTGTAACCATGGTAACACAGCACAGAATTCTGTTACCACGGTAACACAGCACAGAGTTCTGTTACCACGGTAACACAGCACAGAGTTCTGTTACCACGGTAACACAGCACAGAGTTCTGTAACCATGGTAACACAGCACAGAGTTCTGTAACCATGGTAACACAGCACAGAGTTCTGTAACCATGGTAACACAGCACATAGTTCTGTAACCACGGTAACACAGCACAGAGTTCTGTAACCATGGTAACACAGCACAGATTTCTGCAACCATGGTAACACAGCACAGATTTCTGTAACCATGGTAACACAGCACAGTTATTTACCTTGTTGTTAGTCTCAGGAATGTCCTTAGCTTTAGACTTAAGGTGATCCATCTTGTGAAGAACAGCCTGCAAGAAAGGTTCAAACATCAATGTTCAGTGTTTAAGTATTTGATATCAGGTACGACAGAAGTTGCAAATCCAATTTTGAATTTAGAAGGGAAAAAATGCAATAGAGAGTATGTTCCCTGCAAAAAGTAAACAGTTGGGCGATTTATCTTGATTTTTAACAAATTAGATTTATTGAATTTAGAAGTTTAATTTGAATGATATGTTACAGTCAACTGCTAAAAAATTGGTACCTGAAGTCTCGTATCAATGTGGGTGTAATCACTTGGCTCAATAAGAGAAAGCTTTGTCTGGATATTGTTAATGGCACCCATTACACTCTTCTCGGAGGAGTCGGCTGATATCGTACTCTGAATTATGTGAAATATTAATTATCTAATTAATATTATTACTCTGAAATATGTAAACAACATATCTAAACAACTCCTTCAAAAACTTGATGTCTGCCACAGGAATCATCTCCGTACGATCATCGGCATGACCTACCCTATTGTCATACGAAATGTGACTCTATACAAACGCTGCGAAGTTGTTCCACTAAGTGAGCGTGTTGCTCGTGCACGGTGGAGAATGCTCGGTCACATCCTCCGCAGTGATAATAACTCACCTGCCCAGCTTGCCTTACATTTTGCTGTAGAGAGTCAGAGTTTGATGAGAGGTAGAGTCGGACGACACCAGTCAAACTTGTTAAAAACTATTTTGAACGATTTAAGTGACAGAAACTTTAGACTTGTAAATACAGACGATTTATACCATTTAAGACATTTTGCAACAGATAGAAAAGCATGGAGAGAGTTAAGCATGATTTAGTTTATTCTGTGTTATTTTTCTCTTGGTGACTTATCAGGTCATCAAGATGTTCTTTATGTTCTATTTTTGATTTGAATAAAGTTATATAATAATGAAATATGTGAATTATGTGCAATATGTGGTTAATTAACTCCACTTATCTGACAATGAGCTTCTCTTTAATAAAAGGTTGACAGATTGCGGAGACAGTAGCTAATCTGTATTCTTGTTAATTTTGAGCACATACCAAGAGTTTGAGATCTTTTCCCATGTTCTTTTCCATATCAGCAATCCTTTTCTCAAGGGACGCCAACTGAAATGATAAACCATGATAAATACACGAAAGAAGCGGATTATGGATATATAATTTAAAAACTTACGACACATTCATTTTCAGACAAATGCTCTAAAAAAATACACGTTTCTTGATGACGATGTGTATCTTTAAATTCACGTCGCTTGCAAAAATATCCACTTTTTTCATTACTATCAAAACAGAGTAACGATAAAAAACATCCCTTTTTTAATACCACAAACCTTGGCAGCCTCAGCAAACTTTGCATGGTCCCCCCGGTAGTGCACTTCATAGGTGAGGGAACCCGCGCTGGCACCCTCCTTTGCGGACTTCTCTTTGAAGGTTGATATCTGGGATTCCAGTTGCTTTGTGAGGACTGCATGGCCTGGAAGAAGAGGAGTTTGTTGATAGTTTGTCAATAAAAGTGAATCGGGGACTTGAATTTGGTTGGTATGGGGATCGTTCGCCATTATTTAGATGGGAAACTTGTTCTCACACATTTTTGGATGGTAAAATTTGCCTAAATGGTGAGCCCCGCGATGATCGAGCAAACTTGGTTCGGTTTCCGACAGTAGGAATATGCATAAATAGATTCCTCGTTTTAGTATTCAAAATATATTACCTGGTTCTTTAAGTTTCAAATTTCCGACCATTTGCTCAACTTTCATCTCGCTGAGGTTGTTCGATAGTTTCCGTACCTGGAATAACAGCGATTTAACAACAAATTTACGTATTAAGTGAAAACATCGACCAACCATAGTGCCGTTTATCTTGTGACAATCTTGTAACATAAACTCGTCTGCAATAAGATTCGACTGAATTCCTGGTAAAACTATAACAAATAAAATACCTCTTCAGCGAGTTTCACATTGTTGGTGTTCTCCACATCTTCAGTCTTGAGTTTCTCAAGATCCGCCGAGAACTCCGATATCTCCAATTTTAATCTCTGGTACCTGAAGTTTGTTTTGAATTTTAGGGGTCCGGGACTCGTCGGGGTGGGATTTGTGGGCGCAAAGATGTGGGGCTCTAGGGTGGGAAAATGATCATACTCTAAGTTCTAACCATATTAATCTGCGTCGACGAGTCTCATGCAAACAAGTCCGGACCCCGACTTTAAAAATAGTTAAGCTGTTCTTAAAGCTACTTTATTCCAAAACAGTACATAACACACGACTTGTGCTTTCAACAGTAGATCAATCAGGTGGGATGTAGGGTGCTTCTGAACAGTATCCTAGTTGGGCTAGTTGCATGATCTACGGAATCATAAAAAAGCAAGACAATATCCTACATATAATTCAGTATCCTACAATATCCTACAATATCCTACAATATGGCACCTTGGAGTATTCAAAGACAGGACAAAACCTGTCATGCTCCAGCTTAACAAATCCTTGATTAGGTCCAGAGTGGAGTACTGCTGTCCGCTCTGGAATCCAAACAAGACCTATGATATACAGTTTATCAGGAGCGTACAATGCCAGTTCACCAGACGGATTCTAGGGCTCAAAGACACCGACTAGTGGAATAGACTGAAGGAAATGAAACTTACATCCCTGCAAAGACGCCGAGAACGCTACACCATCATACATATGTGGAAAGTTCTCCAGGGTATATATCCAAATGACCTAGCTGTACAGTTCAGAGAGAATACCAGACTGGGATTTAGAGTAATACTTCTCTCACAAAAAAGCATCAGCTGCACGCTCACCCCCCGACTACTCATTCACAATGAGAGCTGGAAGACTATGGAATGTTCTCCCTAAAATTAGCAATACTCGAAAGACTCTGGCAATCTTCAAGACATTTCTCGGAAACCTACTAGACACCCTTCCAGACAATTCCCCTACTCCTGGATACAGTGCAGAAACTCTAACTTGATAATCGATTGGTGCAGACCACCAAGGAGGTGGTCCGCAGATTGAGCGATAACCGTGAAAATACCTACTTCTAAACTTCTCAACAATATCCTACCTCTGAAGGGGAGTCTCGTTGGTTGTACAGGACAATAACTCGTACTGCACCTGTCCTATACCGTAACCACTGGTATGTGTCTTCATTACATTGTCCGAGAAATCTGGGTTTATTATTCTTGAGTTATTTTTCGATAAGAAACCCTTTACCTAGAGATTTTTACATTTTGACACTGATCATAACTAGCTATCCAAATTAGAAATTAGCCTCTCTTAATCTTAAGCTCTCCGTTGTTGAATATAACACTCGTATATAAGAATGCATAAATTTTAAGAATATATAATATCTGATAAATAAGAATGTATATTATATAATTATGCGTAGATAAGAATATATTTTATGTGCATACATAATAAGACTTACCAACGTCCTTAGCGTTGACAGTTTCCTTGCCAAACTTAGCCTGGGCAGCTGCTAGATCTAGCTGTATCTCCTCGATTACATTACTGTCGTGGCCCGCGTTCTGGGTTATGATTGGTTACTGGGTTATTACTGTTAAATACTTTAAGACACGACAGTTAATTTGGGCGAGTAATTCATTTTCGCGACACGAAAATTCAGAAAAACGAAATCGGTTGCTTGTGACTCAATTCTTCATTGAATCATGTTAATTCTCGAATTTGTGCTGTGAAAATAGTAAGTTATGTATCGGTATTCGGTACGGTAATTTGCTGATTCTCTCAGACAAGTTCAAAAATAAAACAGGCATTTTTTGAAATGAAAACTTAACATGTATTATTATAGAAGTTATAGAAATAAAAAGAAGAGAACATTTATAAATGCCTAAACATTATACAGATCTCACCTGATTATATTCAGGGATAGTAACATCTTTCGTCTCGAAGACCGTCGTGGTTCCCAAGTAAGCTAACTGGTCCTTATTGGTCGCCATTCTAATGAGAGTTTTATTTTTTAAATGAAAATGTTCTTGTGAATAACGCATGTATTATGATAGCATGTGTACTGTGTAGTGTGTACGATGTAGAGAAATAGTACTGATTGTACGTAAGTCAGCAGTTTTATGAAAAGTGCACGCACGTTTAAAACGCGCCAATATAGACTCAATGCGCGCTGTCATGATAAGCAAAATGTCTTGGAGCCGGACAAACTCGTAACATTTTCATCGTGACCGCGTTGGCGAGTAAATATTTTAGAGATTGCTGTAGAGGCAAATAAAGACAGGTGAAAAGTTTGAAATACAATAAATCATGATTATGAACTTATCAAATGAAAATCGTACAATTTAACAAAGCTAAAAAGGTGATACATCGGGAATTCAAAGAATGAAACTCAAATTGCAAAACAGGCAAAAACGTCAGTTATCAAAATGTTCATGAAAATCGTCAAAATGTTTATACAGGATCGAAGAAGGGACAAGATATACCTCATTCCATAAACAATCAGAATGGAGTCCAGCTTCAGATTGCAAAGTGCCAATCTTACTTCGTGGCAGCAACCAAACCCAATGAAAACACAGCGTTGGCCTCATGTTACCTCAACTAGCCAATAAGAACACAGAATGCATCTCACGTGACACCAACCAACCAATCAGGAAACAGCATTTGCTGCACGGGGGATACAAGCCCCAATCAAATCCTCGGGTGTTACCGTTGAAATGAACTGTTTTCCGACAATTGCGTGGAGTGATTTTACAACAGCTAAAGTCTCTATATCCGTTACAGCGTGACTATGAGATGTGGAATCAGACAGGGTCATCTTTATGTACTGAGACAATATCTGCAAGGGTAATTATCTAATTAGTAAATTAATTCAATTAAGGTACATAATATGTTAAAAGCGGCGAATACTTGCGACGAAAAAGAAGGATTAAAGCAGGGTAAAAAGATAACAGTTCATTTAGGTTGTTAAATGTCATATAATTAATGTAACCAAAAGATAAGCTATTTAACGGGCTATACTCAGTTTGTTTTATAAAGACGCCACAACAAGTCTCAACATAGATGGGATGTAATATAAATCACATTTCACACACTGACCATACTTCCACCAACAAATTTAAAGACGAGTTGCGATTCAAATTAAAGACCTTTAAAATGGTGAACATTAAAGACGCTGAAGCCTTCACCAAAGTTAACCATCTTTATATAACAAACTAATTAGTTAATTAACGAGCTAATAGTTAAACGACCTGAGCAGGAGTATCACAGCCGGGGAAGAAGAGCGCAGCACCAAGTGAAAGTAGAGTACTGGTAACCGATATTCTTTGATCTGGACTAGACAATGTCATGTCTTGAAGCAGTGAGATACTCTGTTGGAGGAGGAGTTTGTGAGACAAAACGTTAAGATTACCCTGTTAAATATACTTAAATCAATTATTGTCGTCCGGAGGACGGGTACCCTGCTAGTATGTGTAATGGGTGTAATGGTTGGGATTAGGAAAGTGGTGCGAGTTTACTTTATCACATGATAGCGATTTATCGATCACCTCAAAATCAAAATTCTCCGAAACTTCTGAAAACTCAAAACGGACTCACAGACTTTGGTGGCCCAAAGTCTATTCTCAGGCAGAATTTAAAAAAATTGTTATCACACGTAGTTATTAAATTATAAGTTAACATTTTGTGAACGGGAGCAGTATTGTATTACCTAAAGTTGTAAAATAATCTGTAAGTAGAGTTTCAAGCGATAGAAACTCCGAAAAAAGACAGAGAACACATTAAACAGCGCAAAGCAACGTTCCTGTACAAAAATGTACAAAACATGGTGCAGGCATTCTAGCTAATTGCTAGTTCCTATACATTGCCACAATTATTGTACTACTTAGCATTTTAGATGGATAATTTTATGCTAACAATTTACCGTTATGAATTAAAAAGAAGGTAAGAATTAGGATAACGATTCAGGGTGAGAATCCTAGGTGGAAACTGTATTCTTGATATAAACGAAAGTGAAAGTGAAAGTGAAAGTAGAACAAACCTCAACAAGATGAGGCACTGAAGCTAAGTCGACAGGACACTGAGCAAATCCCGAGGAGTCTTTCTCAACAAATCCTAACACTTCAAACACTGATAGAAACGTCTTGCCTGAAAAAGGGGGATCTTTTAATATTTGGAGGAAAAATTAGGATTTTGGTATGATTAAAACGTTTAATTTATTCATTATATTTTTCATCAACTAATCAACCAGTTCATTAATTAACCAATTAATAAGTTAATTACCTAAGGTATAGAGATCGCTCTTATCATATACACTGCTGAACAGTACAGGTTCATTGAAACTGTTGTGATGGAAACTAATTTCAGGAGACCATGCTACTGGGTTACCTGAAATAGTAATTAACTAATTAATTAGCAGTCATTAACGAATCAACTTCGTCTCTGAGTTGGATATTATCACTCGATGTATTTTCACTTTTAATTGTTTCGTTAATTATTTACCTAAGTTTAAAATCAGTTAAATAGTAATGGTTTACCTGCGATTATTTCGTTTTTATCAGTAGCTATTGCGGGCGAACCATCAGAATTATTCAAGTTAACAGCCCAACCAAAATCAATCAGTATCACCTAAATAACAACAAATCAATTAATAAACAAGTACAATGATTTGACTTCAAAATTTAAAATACAAGCTCAGTCAGTGGACAATTTAAATTAGACTTACACTATTCTACACTATATAATATCTAAACGCTGTAAAAAGTGATAAAAAGTTATTTAAAAACAGCCACCTCCCCCCGAGAACAAACCTGGCCAGAGTGTCGCATCATAAAGTTATCAAGTTTAATATCCCTGTGCACCACATTGTGTTTCTTCATGTGGTGTAGCATGAACAAGCACTGTATTAGCAGGAGGAGGACGAGGTGGAGCTCTTCTGCTATACGGTCTGGAAAATAAAATCAATTAGTTTGCGAGTAATTAATTAATTATCCAAACAGCCAGCTGAACCCCTGACTATACGGTCTGGAAAATAAAAACAATTAGTTTGCCAGTAATTAATTAATTAATTATCCAAACAGCCAGTTGAACCCCTGACTAGATATTATCATAAGCTGGGTATCATTGAAGTGAAATAAAACCTACCCTTATCCATGAAGGCTAGTTTCACTTTCTGTTCCACAAATTTATTAACAAAGTTCTTCAGACTAAAAGGGTATTCTCTCATCGCTAGGAACGAGGTCCTGCTCGCCATGTCCACATCTACATCCAGCCCAGAGGGTACCAGCAGGGGCAAATACCTGTCAAGTGGACAATTTGTGAGGTGTTAAATGTGGTAAATTGTGGTAAAATGTGGTAAAATGTGGTAAGTATTTCGCTTTTTTCACCGGAGTCAAACAGTCCACTCCACTTGAATAACCCCGCCTACAATAATAAGACTATACATGCAACTTGTAGGCTACAGTATTACCTGTCAGGAACCTACTGTACGCGATAATTGTCAATACAGGTGTAGCGTAGTAAGTAAGTAGTCAGTACCTGAGCTGTAGTAAGTCTCTGTTGAAAGTGTAAACTTTTACAATATATGGTACAACCAATCTTTACTCTTTAGTAAGTCAATAGTTTGCAAGTTTGTCCGTATGTTCGTCCTGTCAGTGCCTCAATGTCTTGTACTGATGAGTATTGAGATCAGTGTACTAAGATAGACTTTATCAGATCAGTAACTTTAAACTGACAAAATAGCCATAGTTACTGACAAAACAATCAGAGTAACTGACAAGGCAACCCTGTACTGGATCAGCTGTATGCTTGTTTGAATGTTATTTCATATTGTGCTTGTACGGCAGGTCCACCGATTGTCAGTAAGTTTGTCATTGTGAATGTGGGTATATTCATCTTCATAATAATTTATGCTTGTCAGACGTCAGTGTTTTTGCCAGTATGTTATTTAGTCAGTATGTTTGTCAGTATGTTTGTCAGTATGTTTGTCAGTATGTTTGTCAGTATGTTTGTCAGTATGTTTGTCAGTATGTTTGTCAGTATGTTTGTCAGTGTGTTTGTCAGTATGTTTATCAGTATATTTGTCAGTGTGTTTGTCAGTGTGTTTGTCAGTATGTTTGTCAGTATGTTTATCAGTATGTTTGTCAGTGTGTTTGTCAGTATGTTTATCAGTATATTTGTCAGTATGTTTGTCAGTATGTTTATCAATATGTTTGTCAGTATGTTTATCAGTATGTTTGTCAGTATGTTTGTCAGTATGTTTGTCAGTATGTTTGTCAGTGTGTTTGTCAGTGTGTTTGTCAGTTTGTTTGTCAGTATGTTTGTCAGTTTGTTTGTCAGTATGTTTGTCAGTTTGTTTGTCAGTATGTTTGTCAGTATGTTTGTCAGTATGTTTGTCAGTATGTTTGTCAGTAAGTTTGTCAGTTTGTTTGTCAGTGTGTTTGTCAGTATGTTTGTCAGTATGTTTGTCAGTTTGTTTGTCAGTGTGTTTGTCAGTGTGTTTGTCAGTGTGTTTGTCAGTATGTTTGTCAGTATGTTTGCCAGTGTGTTTGTCAGTATGTTTGTCAGTATATTTGTCAGTATGTTTGTCAGTATGTTTGTCAGTATGTTTGCCAGTATGTTTGCCAGTATGTTTGTCAGTTTGTTTGTCAGTACACTGACCGTTTGAAAGGGGTGGTAGACGCGTTGTAAGAGTGTAACATCTGAACAACATTAGGATGATAAGGTAGTGAAACAGGGACAGAGTGTTCAGCGCTAAACTGTTTCTTCAGAAATATAGTTCCACTTTGACCGGTATCGTGCTCTGATTGGTTCAGCAGATTTACCTGAGACGATTGGTTTACAGAGCAAGTAAATATTTGTTGTTAAGAGGGGGGTATATTCGTACGGCCGCTAGGTATAAAAACAAGCAAACAAAATCACCAAAAAGTACATTATTATAATTGTTCAGTAACACTGAAGGCGGGAGCAACAACTTGATAGAATATGACAGATCATAATACACAAAGAATGTTAACCTTACTGTCCTTACAACTACGCAAATATGCATGCATGCGAAGAGTGGAAAGTAGATTGTATGAAGTAGTGAAGTACACTAAAGTAAATAAATTACTGAAGTTCATTATTTGGGTAATTTTTATCACTGACTTCAAGTCTCTAAAACTGAACTAGGAAGGAATGCAATTTTATATTAAACAAAACACACTACAATTGTTATGTTTATTTGAACTAGAAATAACATTGAAAAATTAATGAATAAGCGAATAGTTTAATTAAGTTCAAACCATCATTTTAAGAACCAGCGGGCCGTAGTGTTGGTGCAGGATCTTAAATACAAGGGAACAACTTCCTTCTCTTTCGTGCACATCTGAAAATTAACAGTTTATTGACAGTAATAAATAGCTAATAAATAAATTTTAGCATTTATTACATGCTTCAACATTAACCCAAAAATGGTATATCTAAGCAAATCATGCGAGTCTGATTATCAAAATATCGAATTCATGCGAGTTTAATTAACCAATTAATTGATTAATCAAAAGTCCAAATAACAGAGTAACTAACTTTGTACGTTGAGGGGGGTGTTAGAAACCAGCACATAGTCTTCCCCGTACAACCATTCTCCCTTAGAAACCTCTGAAATAAATACACAACTTTACTTATTCAGTAAACTAACTTTACTTATTTAGTAAACTAACCACTTTATGAAACTAACCACTTTATAAAACTAACCACTTTATAAAACTAACCACTTTATAAAACTAACCACTTTATAAAACTAACCACTTTATAAAACTAACCACTTTATAAAACTAACAACTTTATTACTGCAAAAGCCGCGCAAGGAAGGGATTCATTCTAGTGCAGCAGGCCAATAAACATCAAACTCAGGGGTAGATACGTTTTATCGATAATTAAAAACCGGCAAACTACCCAAACAGAAGTACTACAAACAGCAAGTGACAGCAAGTGACAATACACGCTCTCAAACTATACAGCAAGTGACAATACACGCTCTCAAACAACAGTAACTGAGTGGTAGGAGAGGGTATAACATACACAGCTCAGGTTACACTACATGTGCCCTGATAACAGTGGTTACGTAGCAACCGTTGCTATGTGATAACAGTATGAAGTAGTTTGTTATGGGTAGGTAGTTCATTCATTATGGGCCTGCTGTACTTTCCATTATTATGCTAAAGCAAACTTTCACGCTGTCTGTTTGCGGTAAAGCGGGCGCAGTAAATCGGGGTTTCACTGTAATTACTAATTAAGTAATTATGTCTAATGATAATATCTTATTCACTGTAATTACTAATTATGTCTAATGATAATATCTAAGAACATGCATCTTACCCACCGATAGCTCCAGACTCATCAGGCCAGGGAGGCGGTACACTTCTTGCTATGTTAACCAGAGCGGCTTTAACAGCGGACACAGTAGCGTGTTGCAGGACCGGGGACAGGTCTGATATAAGGTGATCTACCTGGAGAGGGGGGTGATATTAGGTGATCTACCTGGGGGTGATATTAGGTGATCTACCTGGAGAGGGGGTGATATAAGGTGATCTACCTGAGGAGGGAGTGATATTAGGTGATCTACCTGAGGGTGATATTAGGTGATCTACCTGGAGAGGGGGTGATATAAGGTGATCTACCTGAGGAGGGAGTGATATTAGGTGATCTACCTGGGGGTGATATTAGGTGATCTACCTGGGGGTGATATTAGGTGATCTACCTGGAGAGGGGGTGATATTAGGTGATCTACCTGGGGGTGATATTAGGTGATCTACCTGGAGAGGGGGTGATATAAGGTGATCTACCTGAGGAGGGAGTGATATTAGGTGATCTACCTGGGGGTGATATTAGGTGATCTACCTGGGGTGATATTAGGTGATCTACCTGATGAGGGGGTGATATTAGGTGATCTACCTGAGGAGGGAGTGATATTAGGTGATCTACCTGATGAGGGGGTGATATTAGGTGATCTACCTGGAGAGGGGGTGATATAAGGTGATCTACCTGAGGAGGGAGTGATATTAGGTGATCTACCTGGGGGTGATATTAGGTGATCTACCTGGAGAGGGGGTGATATAAGGTGATCTACCTGAGGAGGGAGTGATATTAGGTGATCTACCTGGGGGTGATATTAGGTGATCTACCTGGGGGTGATATTAGGTGATCTACCTGGAGAGGGGGTGATATTAGGTGATCTACCTGGGGGTGATATTAGGTGATCTACCTGGAGAGGGGGTGATATAAGGTGATCTACCTGAGGAGGGAGTGATATTAGGTGATCTACCTGGGGGTGATATTAGGTGATCTACCTGAGGAGGGGGTGATATTAGGTGATCTACCTGAGGAGGGGGTGATATTAGGTGATCTACCTGGAGAGGGGGTGATATTAGGTGATCTACCTGGGGGTGATATTAGGTGATCTACCTGGGGGTGATATTAGGTGATCTACCTGGAGAGGGGGTGATATAAGGTGATCTACCTGAGGAGGGGGTGATATCAGGTGATCTACCTGAGGAGGGGGTGATATTAGGTGATCTACCTGGAGAGGGGGTGATATTAGGTGATCTACCTGAGGAGGGGGTGATATTAGGTGATCTACCTGGAGAGGGGGTGATATTAGGTGATCTACCTGATGAGGGGGTGATATAAGGTGATCTACCTGGGGAGGGGGTGATATTAGGTGATCTACCTGGAGAGGGGGTGATATAAGGTGATCTACCTGGGGTGATATTAGGTGATCTACCTGGGGAGGCTAGGGGGTGATATTAGGTGATCTACCTGGAGAGGGGGTGATATTAGGCGATCTACCTGGGGTGATATTAGGTGATCTACCTGGAGAGGGGGTGATATTAGGTGATCTACCTGGGGGTGATATTAGGTGATCTACCTGAGGAGGGGGTGATATTAGGTGATCTACCTGAGGAGGGGGTGATATAAGGTGATCTACCTGAGGAGGGGGTGATATTAGGTGATCTACCTGGGGGTGATATTAGGTGATCTACCTGAGGAGGGGGTGATATTAGGTGATCTACCTGGGGGTGATATTAGGTGATCTACCTGAGGAGGGGGTGATATTAGGTGATCTACCTGGGGGTGATATTAGGTGATCTACCTGGGGTGATATTAGGTGATCTACCTGGGGGTGATATTAGGTGATCTACCTGGGGGTGATATTAGGTGATCTACCTGAGGAGGGGGTGATATTAGGTGATCTACCTGGGGGTGATATTAGGTGATCTACCTGGGGGTGATATTAGGTGATCTACCTGGGGGTGATATTAGGTGATCTACCTGAGGAGGGAGTGATATTAGGTGATCTACCTGAGGAGGGGGTGATATTAGGTGATCTACCTGAGGAGGGGGTGATATTAGGTGATCTACCTGGGGAGGGAGTGATATTAGGTGATCTACCTGAGGAGGGAGTGATATTAGGTGATCTACCTGAGGAGGGGGTGATATTAGGTGATCTACCTGGGGGTGATATTAGGTGATCTACCTGAGGAGGGAGTGATATTAGGTGATCTACCTGAGGAGGGGGTGATATTAGGTGATCTACCTGAGGAGGGGGTGATATTAGGTGATCTACCTGGGGGTGATATTAGGTGATCTACCTGGGGGTGATATTAGGTGATCTACCTGGGGTGATATTAGGTGATCTACCTGATGAGGGGGTGATATTAGGTGATCTACCTGGGGTGATATTAGGTGATCTACCTGGGGTGATATTAGGTGATCTACCTGGGGGTGATATTAGGTGATCTACCTGGAGAGGGGGTGATATAGGTGATCTACTTGGGGGTAATATTAAGTGATCTACCTGGAGAGGGGGTGATATTAGGTGATCTACCTGGAGATGGGGTGATATGAGGTGATCTACTTGAGGGTGATACAGTGAAAATTTGGAAAACGTTATGGAGGGTGGGGATTTTCTGGGAATTGAATAGGTTGAACATTTTAATTTGCTTGAGTTAGAAGTCCCATATATTTGACTGCTTACAAATAAAATTAAGTTACTTGATTTTGGGAAGGAGGGCTGAAGGAACTAGGCTCCTTCTTTATAATAGGTGTACTGTCAGCAGTGTTACAGGATTCTTTTGTGCCGTACACCGACTGAAGTTGAAAATTAAACAAATTTAGATATAAAATCAAATAAGGAATGAGATAAATTATAAATATTTACTACAGGATAGTGTCAAACTGAAGGTCAGTAATAGTTCACGGCTGTATCACAAAACTAATTGAGTACAGTGATTTTCATAAGAGCACAATGATACATACAAATCTGTATTAATTAATTATTAATTAATCGATCAATTAAATCACACACTTACAAAGCTGTTAACGGAGCTATGAAGAAAGCTATCACCAAGCTGAGACTTCAACCCTTGAGACATGAGAGCGGACCCGTTGCTCATAGAACTAGTAAAGTCCCCCATGTTTGACGGAAATGTTGGGTTGATGTCCCCTATTTCTTCACCTGGTTTAACTTTAATACTTTCAACACTACTATAAATTAAAATATGTATTTAAACAAATAGTTCGAATTATAAATATGATGTAACTATTCAGTTGCATTAAAACTTTGTCCATCTATCTATAAAGAGCAGTTTCCTTTGGTCGTATCTACGTTATTATCAGAAAATTTGAACGCTCAACATTACAAAAACGAGACTAATAAGTTATATCTAGGATATTCAGTGGCTGATGACGTCACTAAGTGCCTGATGACGTCACTAAGTGCCCTTACCTGGGTCATGCGTACCAGAGTTTATCTGTTTGAAGAGTTCGTACGTTTCACGGTACACTGCGCTGTCAATACTGTTACCTAGTGGGAGTATGTGGTGATAAGAGAAGATAAGATATAATAAGAAAAGATAAGATAAGATAAGATAAGATAAGATAAGATAAGATAAGCAACAGTGATTTTGTATGCATGATGAACATGATTACTGTTTTCCCCATCAATCATTTGGCGAGAAGTTCAAGAATAATCATAGAACCTTCAATTATTTAATACTGTCCCAATCCACTTTAAAACTATTCAATCCACACAATCCACTACACGTACGCAATCCACTAACTATTTCTCATCCCAAATAAGTTGTATGAATTACAAATTAAAACTAACCAGTAATACTTTTATTCTCGAAGTTTAGCATTTGCGATAAAGAACACGATGCCGTTAACAAATCTATACTTCCTGAAAAACTCTGCCCTGAAAAGAAATCCTTTTAACATCAAGTAATGTCTGTTCTACTACAAACAGCAATTATAAACGTGCAACATAAGAAATATTACATTATATATTGTACAATATGATGACTAATTTTAAAAGGATGGTATAGAAAACGATACGTTATGAACGTTCATCTTTCTGTTATCTTTTAATTAGTACCTAAAGTAAGTTTCGTTGATAGTATTCTCGCTAGGTCAGGTTGCTCAATCTTGTCTTGTCTGAAAAGTCACTCGGTTTATCAACCATTAAAAATCTCCATTAAAATCCATTGAAAAAAAATGTTTAGGCATTTTAAATTATTTTAATTCACTTTCTTCTTTTTTATCTGATTCACTAAAATTTGGTTATGAAATAACACACCTATCTGTTTTAACAAAGGAGAACTTTTGAGCTTGGTTCATTGACTTAGTGCCTGTGTAACTTTGTAATAAATCACTCGGTGGTTTTTCGTCAAACTCAGAGAGCTTTCCACCTGAAGTGTTTAAATAATAAATAAATAAATTCTAACATTTATTACACGCTTCGACATTAAAATATACCCAACAAAGATGTACATTTAAGTCATTCAAGCGAGAATTAGTGTTGAAATACCAAGACTATGGACTTTTTTAATCAGTTCAGATTTTATGAACAAATATTTGTATGAAGTTACTAAAATTATGCACTTTCATATCAGTTCAGACATCATGGACAAATATATTGTTTACTGGTACACCATGCTTATTTTACAGAACCTAATATAACATCGTAAATAATGGACAGTCTAAAGGAAAGCAAACTATAGCACAAACTACACATAATTAGCATAATTAGCGAACATAATTAGCATAATTAGCAAATACAATTAGCATAATTAGCAAACTACATACTACACATAATTTACCTGGGAGTGAGAACTGGTCTATAATACTGGAATAGCTTTCATTGGTGGGTACGTCAAAGTCAGGCACGAACTCTGTTTGGTTTAACAGAGGCGTGCATCCTTCCAAAAGAGGAGGCAACTCTTCTGGGACTTCTGAATTTTTGTGTGGTCAGAGAAGGAGTATGGTTTTATCTCTTAGAAGATTGAGCTAAAGTTACAGTTTAAATTAAAGTTTAAATTAAAGTCAACGTTCATAATGACGCCATACCAATAATCTTGTTTTATTGGAGAAGGAGCATTGTTTTATCTCTTAGAAGATTGAGCTAAAATTACAGTTTAAATTGAAGTCAACGTTCATAATGACACTGTACCAACAATCTTGTTTTATTGGAGAAGGAGCATTGTTTTATCTCTTAGAAGATTGAGCTAAAGTTACAGTTTAAATGAAAGTCCACGTTCATAACGACACCATACCAATAATCTTGATTTAGAAAATAATAATGACAAACAATAATGATGCTTACGAGATTTGGGGTTAGCCGAATCTAAAACACTGAGAAGTTCTGCGGAGTTGTCACTTTCTAAACTCTCCTCAAAGGCTGTGTTTCCAGCATTATTCTTTACTTTTGTGTCACCACCCGCCTTTAATAACTCCCTCACTATATCGGTGTGACCCTGATGTTGAGATAAGTTATTTGAAATATTACTCAAATTCAATTTGAGACTCCACAAAACGGTTAACAACATAAACTTGCACTATTTACAGAGTGGCCAGAATTAATACAGGCATGATGTCAATGCTACAATTAAGTGAAATAATTGCTATCTTATACATCATGTCCTCTTGACTTGGTGATAATTACATCCCGTCTGGCATTTCATACTAGCTAGACGTCGAACCTATAGATTTATTTGCCTATTAAAAGTATCACCAAAATTCAAACCTCAGAACAAGCAAGATGTAAAGGAGTGTCACAGTTATCATCACGTATGTTGACATCAGCACCCCGTTCCAGCAGTGCAATGACAATGGAGAGGGCTCCGCGGTGGGCAGCCATGTGGAGCACACTGGAGCCCCAACCTGTCAACTTGTTCACATTTCCACCAAACTTTATCAAGGATTTCACTATCTCCGTCTGAAGGAAATATAAATTACCTTGAACCTTCTTTCTCTTTTCAACAGGATAGCATAATGATAATTTGCCTACCTTTAGGGCGTGGTAGCACCCAAAAAGAGGTTGTATTGAATCTATTAGGTATAAAGCTCAATTTCTTACATTACAATGTTAATTGAAATAGAAGCTATCAAATAACTTTGATAAAGACGGAATTGATATTAAAACACTAGCTAGAAATTGACAACCTACTTCATCGTGCACAGCCGCCAGATGAAGACTTGACAGGCCAAGTCTAGTACACTCATTAGGATCCGCCCCTCGCTTTAAGTGAGTGAATACTGCCTCTGGGTTGCCTTCCTGCACTGCTTCAATCAGAGTAGCCATTCCCTACTAGGTAATGATTTCTTATTAAGAAAATGATACATACTTGATTTTATCTGATTCAGGGTATAATGTATATACCAATTAATAAATCTTATCATAATTAAGGAACAAAAACATCACCCTTTGATAACCCTCGGAAACGCATCCTACGGGACCCCAGCTGAAAGGTGAGTTTTATGACTGTATAATCGAAGTTTTATTTAGTGATAATCATTCAATTAAAGCAATTTAACCTGATGCTAATGACTGGGGTTATTGGCAGCTGTACCACCTCTCAGGACCAATGTCTCTTTCTATTTTGCATTTTGCATAGTAAATATGGTTACTACTCCTATACGTATATCATATTATTTGATTGGTATTCGATTTCTGATTATTTCTTAGGAATATGATTATTATATCTCAATTTGGCTTTAGGTAGGGTGCCCCTGGATTCTTCCAGGAAGCATCCCGTGCACAGACCTTGGTCTACATATATATATTAAATTATTAACCATTCATTCTGTATGTGCACGAAAATTTATTTCAATCAATTATAGAACAGTAAATTCAGTAGTACGATTTATCACTTTTTATGTAGTTAATTTATGTTATATAAGTCAGTTATAGCTTAAATTTCTTAAAACTGAAATAAACTGTATAAATCCCAAAATTATTACCTTAATTCAAAACAAGCAGCTAAAAATTAAATCAATACTAAACAAACCGAAAACGATCTCAATTAAACAAATAATCAAAGTTTTAGCACATTTTACAGCATAAGATTTAAACAAATGAAAACATATAATGCTCTTAGTGGTAAATGGCCGTTTGTTCTGAGCTGTATGATTTTTTGACAATCAACTAGTGGGGCAAGGAATGTACTGGCTGGTAGCTTTTGTACACACCAGAACGCTAGTCTGGTTGATTAGTGACCAAATTAGAGGCGTTGATAGGAAGGCATTATAATTTGTGGGTGTAAGAGGGAATATTTGGCATGCATTATTCTAGCAGCTATTTTGTAACAAATGGTCTTTACGATTATTAAGGACAGTAAGTATTTTGGGTGTTCAATACTAAATCATGGCTAAATGTCTAAGTGGGGGCCGGGGGTTTAAATTTAAGGGAGAAAAAGAAATGAATATTGGGTTATAATATTAAAATTAATATAATTTTAATCGAAATATTTCGCTTCTGTCGTTTGAACTCTATTACCGTATTATCTTGACAAAGTCTTCAAGTTCATTTAACAAATTACACAGTGACTGATTCTCTGATAAGATAATGTCACCTGAAGAGTAAATTTAAACAGCACATATATCCCTGTCCCCATCAGGGTTTGCAGTTCCTCTTTAGACTTTGTCCCAACTTCCTTCAGTAGCAACATAGCAAAATTATAGATAGATTATACATAGAAAAACTATGTTTATGCTGAAAACTGAAGTTTCAATATAAATGTTGCCATAATTTGGTATAGATAGTTTCAACTTTCAAGAACTTTTGCAAATGTCTTCGAAGTAATAACTGCTTCAGGGTAACTTAAGCTTCGCATTCATATTATTTTCAATCAGTGTGTCCATAAACACTAAGCCTTGGATCCCCAAATAAAACCCAAAAGAGTGAGAAGAAGTAGCTATCTGAAAATTCAAAGAAACAAATATAGGGGATTTAAAACAGGTTGTTTATGTAGCGCTCGATTTTACAGTGTGGTATAAATCAGTACAAATACGAAATAACCGCGCGGCGCGTCAATTATAATATGGGCGGCGTATCAGTTTTTATTCCAATTTTTGATTTTATGCATATCATTTAAAACGAAAAACAGTAATCACGCAAAATAAAAAATGCATTATTGTTTTTACAGGGTTCATTAAAAGCGGGGTTTACTGATTGGTGTTCAGCATGCCAAATTTAATGTTGTAAGTTTATAACCTACCAAAATGCGCGTCGAGTTGGACTCGTCGACAGTTTGATCTTGGAATAATATTTGAAACAAATATTTTACGAGTATCATCCGTTAAAATTTGATGCCTATTCTCTTAATAATCTTCAATCGTGTTTATATATGAAGTTAAGTATGAATACAGCAAAAATTAGCTAAGGTCCCCTTGTATCACGTTGTGACCCCCCATACCACGGTCGTTTCACTATAATAGTGACAATACAATAAAACAAATATTTAATAAAACAAATATTTATTTTTACGGCACAATATCAATAATAAATAAATCAGGGGATGTTTTGTGTTTGAAGAAGTTTCAAGTGCCGAAGGCCACTGCTTATCTTTATGATTTGAGAGTGACCTGTGCTTGAAACCCCTTCAACCATCCACTACGTCAATATAATTATTATACAAATATAGAAGAATATAATAATCTAAAATTACTTATTGGTTTAGTTTGGTGACAAAGGAGAGCCCAGTTGAGTTTTAGTTTAGCTTTAGGTTTTGAATCAGAGTTTAAAAGGTTAGCCATGTTTTATGGCAGAGATTAATTGACGATGTCAATTCATGGCAGCTCGGCGCGGCACAGTAGCGCATTTCGCCGATCTAGCCAGATGTCGCTGTGAGAAGCCTCATTGAGTGCGCGGCGCGGCACAGTAACGAATCGCGCTACAATGGCAGAGAGGGATATTATGTGTGCATAGCCGTACCGGATGTAGAGTTTGAGATATAATATAGATTAGTTACCATGTATTAGGGTCACTCGATTTTGGAGGGATAGCAAGTGCTTTTTAAGGTTAGATTTAATAAGGGGGAGCCGCGCACGAACGTATGACAAAGGTCCCCGACTCAGCTGTAGGACCAGGTCCCGGCTTTGCCACAAGTTGCTGCCAAATAAACCAAATAAAATCGTTCGCGTTTCTTTATTGTTTTTATATTTAACCTGATACTGACAAACCATGTTATGCGGGCCAATATAACAGTTATAAGGTAAAAGGTACCGGCAAAAACTGTCCGTTTTTATTATTATTTTAGGCAAGATTTTGCTAAAAATATGGTTCCTGTATTTTCGACTTTCAAGCGCGATCGTGGAAGCCCCCACAGGGTTGGGATTGATACGCGTTAAAAGTGGCATGCAACGTATGTCAAGGTTGGGACTAGCAACGTATGCAACATGTGCCGTTCAGTGATTTGAGTTACCAATTACCTATTTAAGCCGATTCAGTAGCAAAAAACTCTATACAGTGAAGTGCACACTAGTCTTTTGGAGTATATTATAAAGCAAGTGTTTGTTTTAACTTTTTGCTCTGATGAGGAAAGAATTTTTTTGTAGAGAGCCGCTTAGACATAGGCACCATATTGTTTAAATTATTTAGTTATATTTTAGTTAATATCTTTGTTGCATAGAAGCGGGGTAGTAAGTATTGTCTTTATTTTTCTTTCCTTACTGATTTATAACGTTATAGCGGGGTGTAATTTGTTAGGTGAGTATTTAAAATTAGTCTGTCGGAAATTACAGTTTTAAATTTCTACTATTTATTGTTAATGAAATGTTCATTGTAACCACTATCCAGTTAATTTAAAGACTTTCATCATCATAGATGTAAGTGCTAGGAGTATGTGGAACCCGTTGGAAATGATATTTTTAGATGTATTTCATGCACAAGCTTGTTCTAATAAGGCTGTTGGAGCTCCAACTAATATGTATATTACATATTAGAGGCAGAAGAAAAATGCTCACAACAAAATTATTAAGAAAACAAGTTTAGGAAGAGAGACCAACACTTTTCACAAAAAGCTTACTGATTTAAAGCTTTATAGAAAATTTGATCAACAATGTAGTGAGGCAATGAAATTTATCAAAAAAAGGTCATTGCTTCTAGAAAAAAGGATTGAAGACTAATCTTGTCAGCAGACTTAGACATAAACATAGAGCCTGACTAATTTTAAAGGGGTTTTTTACAATTTTAATTTATCAATAGTATTATATTTTTGAGGATGTCACACCTTTTTATTGTTTGGCAATCGTCAAAATAAAATATATATCATATACAGGGTGGGCCAAAAGTCAGTGGGCATACGTTGGCCTTAATAGCTCAGTCTTTAAGTGCCCAATTGAAATAATTCTTTCTGGTATGACTTACTACCACCACTGGTTCGAGGAATTTGTCAAATCAATAAATATTCGAGTTCATTTTTTTAAATGAAGGTTCATTTATGCATTTATTTGATAGTTTGGATAGTCAAATCGAGCTAAATTTTATTGAATAGTGTTTGGCCATTCAAATTACGTTTGTCCTGGACAAATTAGAATTGTAGCTTCTCAGATGACAGAGATATGAAGCATAACGATTTTATTCATTACGTGTGATCAGGTGATTGGTTTACCTAATCACGGGATTAGGTGACCCCGTTAAACATTATGGGAATTGTTAAGGGTGCCCAATTAAGGTGTCGTGTCACGGTGTCACATAATCACCCAGTCAATGTTGTTAACGAGATACACAAAATGCTTGATAACTTCGTCGTTTCTAGTCCGTTTTGCCTCATGTTTTCAGATCATATGCTACATTTTATAATCTACCGTCTCCAAAAAAAATAGGCGTTCAGCATGTTCAGAAAAACAATATAAGTGTTTTAATATTGAATGGGCGTGGTCTAAAATATTCGAATTTTCAAATTTTGACGACGATATCCTCGAACCAGTAAGTACAGTATGCCATCTGCAAAGCAACAGTTCTCAAATATAAATCACAGTGGAGCTATTAAGGCCAACGTATGCCCACTGACTTTTGGCCCACCCTGTACATTTAACAATAATTTACAATTAACCATAATTCTTACCAATTAGTACTATGATTGATGTTTATCATTCATTATATTGTTTACTATAGAATAAAGTTGTAATATCTTTTTTTGATTGGTATTTCTTTATGTTAATTTTCAATAACACAGCTTTCCTTGTGAATTTCCAGTCTTTTTCATGGTAGAAAAAGCATAATTTTAAACACAATACTACAAGACATTGTTATAATACACTTGAAATAAAATGATAGTTTTATCAGACAATTTTTTATCAACATTGTACTATGAAGCTTATTAAAAAATTATTCAGGAAGGAAAGATCATGGGGATTGAAAATTTTACAATCACGTTGGATAATCCTTCTGGAGTGTTTTATGCTGGCCAAGTGGTTTCAGGTAGAATACAATTTGTAACTACAAAGCCCTATGAGTCAGATGGAGCATTTGTTAAGTTCGTGGGGATGGCCGAAGTTCACTGGACTGAAAAGCATACTGAAAAGACAGGTATGTATTTATATTAATTTACATTAATGATAGTTTCTACCTAATCACTCTTTAAATATTTGATTTAGACAGCCTGGGTATATCATTTCTCAATAAACTTTATCACAATTCCTCTTTCTATTAGAATAATTTCATTCTGAAACCAGGCACTGGGCACTAGGCATACACACACTTAAAACTACACTTTAAGATATTTTAGGTAAAAGGTGTCTCACCATCATTTTCCAATAATTTTATTTTAAATGTTTTCGGACCTGTCCAATAATTATTTCACAAAGATATTTCAGGGGGTCATGGAAACCACGGTAGACACCACTCTGGAAATAGGAATAGACATGGTGCTTCTCATTCAGGAACCAAGACAGTTACTGTACACTATAGAAGCCATGAAAAGTATCTTGATAATAAGATTTGCCTGTACAGTCCACCTGGAAAACAGCTGCAGCCTTACAACTACGCATTTCCATTTTCCTTGCAACTCCCTCTCACACTTCCAAGCTCTTTCATAGGAACAGTTGGCAAGATTACATATCTTGTAAGAGCTAACGTTCATCGAAGTGGAATGCACATGGCAACAAAGGTCACTATGCCATTTTCTGTTGTTGGCATTAAGGATCTTAATTATCTTCCCCATCTTCAACAACCTCTGTCTTTAGAGAAACAGAAGACATTTGGAATGCTCTTCTGGAAATCTAAACCACTTACTGCCCAAATCACCATAAACAAGCAAGCATTTGTCTCTGGAGAAAATATCCTTCTGTCAGGGTTAATCAAAAATGAAAGTGATACTAAAATCAAAAACTGTGAGCTGAAGCTCATAAGAATAGTGAAGTACCAAGCTCAAGGGAAAACCAGAAGTGATAAGAAAATAGTCTACAAGTGTGATCAACCAGGTATCGAGAAAGAATCCGAGGCAAAATGGCAAAATGTTCCTGTTTTTGTGCCTGCTTTACCTCCATCTGGTCTTGATGGATGTAGCTTCATTCACACAGAATATTTCTTAGAAGTCCGTATCGTTCCACCTGGCGTGGCTTTTGCACTTGAACAAATGTTCAACATTACCATAGGTACCATTCCATCTCGTCAGCAGTATGCTCCTCCTCCACTTGCAGGAACTCCTGCTGGAGCAGGTTATGCAGCTGCACCTGGTGGTTCTGGTGGACCTATGGGAGCTGGTTATGCTCCTCCGCCACTTCCGAGTGGGTTTCAAGCTGGACCACCTGGACCACCTGGACCACCTGCTCCATACCCCCAGGCTGGCCCTCTTCCAGAAAAAGGTCCTGTTCCTTCTGCTCCTTATACTGACCCTTCTGCACCACCTTCTGCTCCTGTACCACCACCTTATGGAGATATACAACCAACTTATGGTGCATATCTTGGAGACTCCAACGAGCCACCAGCTTATGATGATCTGTTCAAAGGGGGTGATGATAATGAAGAGCACGATGACACTTCAAGGAATTACCAGCCACAATACCCATCATTTAAGATACTTCCTATATATTAAGTTATAAAGAATGCAGTGTACTCTCTGAACTGGTGATAGTAAATCATGAATCATCTCTTACAGTTGTGGCCCTCTCCAAAAACGGCATTATTTTGTATATTCAAGTTTACTGATTTGTATATATCTTTTTGGACAAAATGTTCTACTAAAGTAAATGACCCTGGTCATTAGAAACACCCCTAAAAGTTCGTTTTTTGACAAAAAATGTAAAACTTATGTAATTTCATTTCTGTTTTAGTTACGCATTTGATTTTTGGTCTGCGTATAGAAAATCAATACGGCTTTAAAATGAGATGTTCGGCGACCTCCTATCTCACTCAATTATAAGTTCTGCAAATACAAATAGCTGTGATACAACCGATCTATCCAACTATAAGTTCCATGTTTGTCGTTGTATCCTTTTGTAGCTATTGGATGTATGAGCTAGTAAAATTAATATTTCAGCTAAAATAGGCTCGCAAGTGTTTATAGTATATTATATATAAAAAAAATTATAATTATAATTTTGTAAAACAATTTTATTTCAAGATTTATTTCAAGATTTAGTTTGAATATTTGAAAATAATCTGTACCAGATAATCATGTCATTTAGATCTCACAAGCATACTGCTTATTTTATTACTCAAAAAAGAAATTGCAGCTGTGTTAAAATATATATAATGACTTGTTTAGTGTTATTAGATAATCAATGTATTACGTTAGTAATTTGATTTAAGCGTTTTGAAGCATATTTACTGTAGTTTATGATTAAAGGTTTTTACATTTGATTCTAATTCTAATTAATTCTAATTTGATTCTAATTCTAATTAATTCCAATATTTTGTTAACCTAATAGTGTTTTTTTGATTTTAAGAACTTTGTATTTGTTTGATTTTAAGAACCTATTTTAATAACTGTATAATATATTGTGATGATTTAATCTAGTCTCTGATTATGAATTTGGATATTGCATCAGCTGTATGAATAATTGTTAGTTACATGAATACGTGTAATATGATGATATTAATGTACCTTTATGATTTAAGGTTTCTATTAACTAAGTGTCCCATTGAGATAATTCTTTCTGATAGATTTTACTGTCTGAATCTCTCTGAAAATAGAGTGTCTAGCATGTTTGCAAAGAACAAGATAAGCAATTTAAAATCGAGTGCGTGTGATCTCAAAATGATGAAAAATGGCTATGTTATAAAAGTGATAAAATTCTTTTAAAGACATGAAATGAAATGAAATTTAGCATTTTTCCCGCTTATATCATCAATAAAAATTAAAATAAAGATTGCCGATGTCAGAGCGGCCGTACTTGAAATATACCCCAAAAACTAGATGGACACGTTCATTTGAGTTTGAGGATATTGGTAAATATAAGTGACCCTATTAAAAGGCACAGTGTAGTTGACTTTGTCACACAATGAAATTACACAAACCCTTGATGGTTAGGATAATCGTTTCATCCTCTAGGCTAACTTTGTCACTTAACGATATCTTAATCAGGTGATAAGATATCGCTTAAATACGGCCGGCACGGAAATGGTTACATTGTCACACTATAAACATGTGACGGAGTAAATATGGACCCCTTGCTGCCGTTTTAGACCAAATTTTTGAGTGTCCAGTTGATTGGATGGGTACATATATGACCATTACCTACATATTTGACGACTTTTTTCGTTAGATGGTGCACTCAGGTTTACTCTGTCACACATTTAAGAAAACATGTGAAGAATGTTTAGGGCACCCTGATAAGCAATGCTGAGTAGTGTAGGTTTATTTGATGGCCTGGAAGTGCTAGGAATTGTTATTATATCATATAGTCGTAAGGAATTAAAACACAGGAGGCACAAACAAGTTTACTTTGTCACATAATCTTGATGATATCTGAACATGTGTGAAATTAAACAAATAATTATATACCAGCTTAAACCCCTTTAAATATTACATACTATGGATCAAACAACACTGCTAGTACCACGCACCAGTCACATAAATCATTATCGGGTGGCAATATGTTAACAGTGTCACAATTAAACTACCGCAACATGGTCAAAAATAGGGTAATTTCGTCACAAAAAATTATTATAACTCTGTTAGCTCCTTGCTGGCAAAATAACTAGTTCATTGATGATAAAGTTACATAGTATTCTAATAGAAGTATAGCTCTTCAAAATAGGGGCAAGACATGTTTACTTTGTCACATCAGTTATTATAAGAGTTAGGTAATCGTCATCAGATTAACAGATCTTTTTCGTAGTTTGGATCGATTAATATAGGCAATAACGCATCCTATGCCAATTTTAACACACTATCTTGATATTTTTGGGGCAGGGAAAGTTAATTTTGTCACATTTTCAGCGTCTTTGACAAATTAATCTAAAATTGTTAAACTTGAGCCCTGATGTTCTAGACAATATTCTGATGTTCTGGACAATATTCTACCGATTTTTGTCTGAAAGAATGTTGAATACTAATAGAGTCATAGAATATATAGATCTTCAAAATAGGGGCAAGACATGTTTACTTTGTCACATCAGTTATTATAAGAGTTATTATAAGAGACTATTTCATTCTATAATCATTATTTTTAACCTATTTACGATTTCGTATCATTTTTTGTGACAATGTAAACACTGATCTTAACTTGCATCAACTACATTGTCATCAAAGTTTTCCCGCCTTTCAAACCAAAATCAGATATAAATAATTCGCCCAAAATTTACCTCATTTCCCAATAACCAAGTGCCTTTTTAGCTAACTATTCGAAACAACATATTTTAGGGCTATGATTGGTAGATCAACCATCAAATAATGAGTTAAAAGGTTTTTGAGGACGTCTCATAGTAAAGTAAAGTAAAGTCAAGTAAAATTTATGACATCACATCATCACACATGTCTACAAACTATCATCGCACTGTGTGAAAAAATATATAATAAATATTTCCCCACCAACATTAATTAATTATCAAATACAATATTTAAAAACAATTTCATCAAAAACATTATCCTATTTTAAAAACTTCCCAGTGGAATAAAGATTTATAAAACGCTTCTTTGCCACATAAGGATGGAACCAAAGATAATTGTTATGTTTTTTCTTTATTACTGACATAACTGGCTCCCTCAATTCTTACTAAAACTTCATTAGAAACATTCCAAAAAAAGCAATCATTTGTAATACTTTTAGAAATCATATCTATCTTATATCCTTCTAATTTAATTTTAAATCCTAAAACTGTCACAGAGTTCTTGACGTCCGGAGGGAGTTTGTTCCAATATGGAATAACTCGCTCCGGGAGAAAAGACTTCTGGATATTCTTGACCTTTGTCACACTTTTACTACATCTATTGGATGAAACCAGATTAAGACCTGATCTGCTTGGTCTGAACAAGTCTGAACCATAATCAGTCATAGCATTAATAACCTTAAAAGCTTCAATAGAGGTATGGTATTCTGAGTGTGACAAAGTTACCCAAATATTGCCTTGTAACCGTTCGATCCGTGCCCTTTAACCAATGTTGTATCATAATTGTTAGATTGACCTAATCTACTATATTTCAGACCAAGGAATGATAATTAGACAACTGCAGTTAACTAAGTCACACAAAATGTGACATTTGAACCATTATAGTGCCTAACAACAATAGATTTTCTTTCTGAGCAGTGCATATGGGAGTATGGGTTATGTGGCTAATGTTCAGAACTTCTGAACGTGCTAGGTTAATAGATGTCAAAATTAAGCCACTATCGTCGAAAACGCTATCATTTTTGTTTACCAATATCCTCAAACTCAAATGAACGTGTCCAGATACTCAATTTAGGAATACAAAAGTAAAAAAAAAGTAAAAATCTAAGAAACTGAGTACTTTATTAGACAAAGAAATTGTACTATAATTCATTATTATATATCGCTCACACTATCTTGTCCTCACAACAAATTTTACCACTTCTGATTATAATAATGTTTTTTTCGGGTCCTCCGTCCTCTTTGGCTACCTGTTCCATCTCCAAGACCAACCGTTGATGGATAGCTTTATCTATCTTCTTGCTTATATTAATAAATTGTTCAGGAAGAAAAGATCATGGGGATTGAAAATTTTACCATGACATTGGATAATCCTTCTGGGGTGTTCTATGCTGGCCAAGTGGTTTCAGGTAGAATGCAATTTGTAACTACAAAGCCCTATGAGTCAGATGGAGTATTTGTTAAGTTTGTGGGAATGGCTGAAGTTCACTGGAGTGAAAGGCATACAACAGGTTTGCAATTTGCATGTATATTAATTTACAGTAATACTATTTCCTCACTTATAACTGTTTTGGTGTATGAATTAAGCAGCCTGGGGACTCAGTCTTGATTACCAAAACGACCATTCTCAATTAACTTAATCCCAATTCCTCTTTCTTATAAAATAGATTCCCTGTAAGACATTTGAGTTCAAGTTTTTGCAGGAATCGCTTTTTCCATGATATAAAAGGTAAGGTAAATTTTGTTTTACTTAAGTTTTAGTGATCAAAATGAGCCAATAATTATTTAATCATGATGTTTCAGGTACTGGGAAGAATAGAAGATCACACACTGTACACTATAGAAGCCATGAAAAGTATCTTGATAATAAGATTTGCCTGTACAGTCCACCTGGAAAACAGCTGCAGCCTTACAACTACGCATTTCCATTTTCCTTACAACTCCCTCTCACACTTCCTAGCTCTTTCATAGGAACAGTTGGCAAGATTACATATCTTGTAAGAGCTAACGTTCATCGAAGTGGAATGCACATGGCAACAAGGGTTACTATGCCATTTTCTGTTGTTGGCATCAAGGATCTTAATTACCTTCCCCAACTGCAACAACATCTGACTACAGAGAATCACAAGACATTTGGAATGCTCTTCTGGAAATCTAAACCACTTACCGCACAAATCACCATAAACAAGCAAGCATTTGTCTCTGGAGAAAATATCCTTGTATCTGGGTTAATAAGAAACGAAAGTGATACTAAAATCAAAAACTGTGAGCTGAAGCTAATACGATTAGTGAGGTACAATGCAAGAGGGAAAACCAGAACTGATAAGCGAACAGTCTACAAGTGTGATCAACCAGGCATCGACAAAGAATCGGAAGCAAAATGGCAAAATGTTCCTATTTTTGTACCTGCTTTACCTCCATCTGGTCTTGATGGATGTAGCATCATCCACACGGAGTATTTCTTAGAAGTCCGTATCGTTCCACCTGGCATGGCTTTTGCACTTGAACAAATGTTCAACATTACCATAGGTACCATTCCGTTTCGCCAGCAGTATGCTCCTCCTCCACCTACTGCAGGAGCAGGTTATGCAGCCCCACCGGGTGGTTATCATGAACCGGGACCTTCTGGTGGTTATGCTCCTCCGCCACTTCCGAGTGGGTTTCAAGCTGGACCACCTGGACCACCTGGACCACCTGGACCACCTGCTCCATACCCCCAGGCTGGCCCTCTTCCAGAAAAAGGTCCTGTTCCTTCTGCTCCTTATACTGACCCTTCTGCACCACCATCTGCTGCAGTACCGCCACCATATGGAGATATTCAACCAACTTATGGTGCATATCTTGGGGACTCCAACGAGCCACCAGCTTATGATGATCTGTACAAAGGGGGTGATGATAATGAAGAGCACGATGACACTTCAAGGAATTACCAGCCACAATACCCATCATTTAAGATACCTCCTGCGTATTAAGTTATAAAGAATGCAGTGTACTCTCTGGACTAAGGTAACTTAGGAGCAAATACGAATGGCTTTAAAATGCTATTCGTTGTTTGAACCAGTGAAATTAGTATTTCAGCTAAAATAGGCTTGCAAGTGTATAGTTATGACTTGTGTTATGAGATTTTTAAAACAAACATTTAAAAAAAAAAAGATATTTTTAATATGATTGACTTTTTAGTTTTAAAAACTTTTTTTTACAACTACAATTAAATACATTTGTTGAGGCTTATGTCACTATATAATATGCTTAGTGCTTATGCAATCGCGAATGCTCATTGATTAATACAAAGTTAATGAAAACACTCGATAAGAAGTAAACCTCCATGAAGTTAATATAATTATAGAACTGGCAACCAGACAAGAAAACATAATTTGAAGTTTGAAGAGATTAGATCTTCATCATAATAATATATAATATCCGATATTATGAAAATCAGAGGAATTTTCTTCTTCTTTTGAATCAATCAAGCTAGATGATTTGTTGTAAATACTGAGATCAAATTATCAATTTACAGGATATCGTCAAACATGTTGCAAGGCGTCATCTTCAAAACCTATATATTAAAAAATTTCACTTTGTGGCCTTCTTGGGACAGTCCCTGTATTATACAATAGGCAAATTGCTACTGCGATCATTTCTTATCTTCTTAATTATTTTAACATGTCGAGTTTATGTGGCAGTTTAACTATGATTTAGGATATTATACAATAGGCAAACTGCTTCTGTGATTATATGCTAACTTTTTAATTTTTAACATGTCTGGGCTGATTTGGTAGTTTTATTATAATTTAGAATATTGAACCTGCATGAGTGTTTCTTTGTAGTTCTAACTTGTGTGACTTTGTGTAATTTTATGAATTATGACATAAGATATTGATGTACTTCTATATTCTCAGTAGTTTGATAAAATTCTTTTAAAAAATGTGTGTAAATGCTTTGTGTCCTATACCGTTTTCTGATAAAGGAATAAATATTTAAATTTTCGATCATAAGTCTCTATCAAAAATTGTTCACCGATCTTAACTTTTGTACGTGTATAATTCAGATACAAAGCTATTGAATCGTTAATTTATTAAATGGGAGGTATGCTACCCCATATTTATCATGCCATAATTCTTTATTTAACTTACGTTCACACACATGCTCGTGTTCTACCCCAAATTTATCATGCCATAATTCTTTATTGAACTTACGTTTACACACATGCTCCTGTTCTAATATTTTCCTTTATTCCTTTGGTTGAGTTTTGTTTCTTTAGAATTAATAAAGTAATAACATGATGGTTTACCTTGCTATATAACTGTTATTATTGAAGCATGGGAGCCTCGCTATTATTTTCAATCTGTTCAGTTGACAAGTTTAATTGAGACTAAAATACTCATTTACACTACAGCGAAGATTGCTATGACCAAGAATGAAACACAGTACAAGAAATACCTGCGGAATGGGAATGAGATATTTGAAACCTACTGTTCATCTAGAGACAAACATCCCATCATGTTACCCAGAGCTCCTCAACAAAAGTATGTAGACCTTTATCCTGAAGATCAGCCCGGATGTAGTTTTGAAAATGATAGAAACCAGCAACTCAACTATGAGGCTGAGGTAATTGTATACAGAGCTTTAGAGAGACTGAGTGGTGGAGATTTTATTGTTCTTCATAGTTTTGAATATACTCATTTCCAATATTATCTGGGAGATTCAAACCATGTTAAACGAAAATGTATAGAGTGTAAGAAGAGAGCAACTAACCGAGAAGGCGAGTGTGATTTTGTAGTGATAGCACCAAACTGCTTAGTAATTATTGAAGTGAAGAATATGGGTCATATCGGAAATCAATCAGACCCTAGGTGTAACAATAATCAACAGTCGCAAGCATTGGGCAAAACTTTCCAGAAATCACTGGACCAGAGAAACAAGATGGTAGAATTTGTTAAGAGATTTTGTAAACGGTTAACAGTTCTCCAGTTTACCGTTTACCCCAACTTTGAAAAAGCATCCAAGAAAGAATTTCCGATAAGCAGGGATAAACTTTCGTCAATAATTTTCAAAGAAGATTTGGAAGATTTTAGTGATTGGTGGACAGACAATGTAAGTGATCTAGTGTTGGATGAACCTTTACATCCTGAGTTTCGCACCAAACATGAAGATGTCAGGAACTTACTATTAGCGATGTGGTGTACAGACAAGACCATTTGTGATAAGTCCAAATGTAGTTTGGGTAAGTGTATAGTGAATATCAACGAACAACTGCGTTCAGGAAAATTTACCTTTCGAAGCAATAACCCTGACGTCATTCCATCACCCAAGATTGTCAAGGACTATTTAGGAATAGACAACTTGACTAAACAACAGTACGATTTGATAGAATCAAATGAGAAGTTTTTGTGGATCAATGGACCCGCTGGATCTGGCAAAACTGTTGTTCTACTAGCTAAGATACTGCAACTAGCATTGTCAAGTGAAGATAGCAAAATTGTGTTATTCTGTCAAACGCATAACATTGGTGACGCCATGACTTCCCCAGAGTATCTACATAAGCCGCTAGAAAAAGCAGGTGTTAAGCATGTTTCTACTGAGCTTGAGGTTAATGTTGCGTTTGATGAACGAGAACTAAATCGTACAATAAGACGCTATTTCGATAGCAAACAAGTTATCATAATAACGCAAATATTTCCTGGTAATATTAAGACTGAGGGTAAGAAAGATCTTTCTAATAAATCGCTAATGAACTTAATGCATTTATTTCAAGAAAAGGGAGTTCACGTGTTTTTCGACGATATTCAAACAAAGTTACAGTGGGATGGAGATGTAAAGTCAAGAAACAAGTATAAACATTATGCATTATTGAGAATAATGTTCGAACTGTCAAGTTCCTGTCACGTTTGGATCGCATGTGACACGTTACAAATCCCTTCTTATATTGTTCATGAGGAGGAAATGTTAAGACGAGACTCTAGACTAGCCAGATTTTTGAACGACGAAGTATCATCTACACAGCTTGTAAGTCTATCAAAGAACTTGAGAAACACCTCTGATTTGGCGAGAACATTGTCAGTAATTCGACAACATATTATTGACCCGAGACACCTTGTATCAACACTTAAAAATGATTTCGCCATTTTACAAGCCCCCGGGCACTACATACATGGACCAAAAACTATCGTTCATGTTCTGCAAAAGTTTGATAAGAACCTTATAAATGCTATTTTTGTCAAAGAATTTAATGAACTATGTTTTGATGATAATTTGATAAATAATGATGATGTGGGTATTCTTTACACTATACATACATGTAACACTATACAAGATGTAATTAAGACCATTTTGGATGGGATATTATTTTCAAAAGATATTACACCAAGGCAGGTAACATCAGCGAGTTCAAAAGAATGGCCTGCAGTTATAGTACTGCAATCGTTACTTGAGAAAAAAGTTGTAAGTTCAGAGACTGAATGGGCAAAGTTTTCATTTGATTTAGAATTGTTATACCTTGCCATGTCACGAGCACGAGTTAAGTGCACAGTAATAATGTTTCCTTTTGAAGGTACAATACTTGATAATTATCATCGCATGTGTAGTCTACTTTATAAGCTCAAAAATGACGTTACCGTAAGATATCATTAAAACTTAAAACCTTAAAATTGATCAATGAACCAGGTTGTTTTATCAATTACAAATTATTATATTTTGTAATACATTGAAAATTTAGAAGATTTTCTCACGTGTCTGTTAAAATATTAACACATACTTCATGATCAGATTCATTGTTTTGTTCTCAATCTAAATTTCTAAATTTTGCTAATCACCCAATTTGTATTCATGTTAAAATTATTAAAATTAAACCAAAGTATTGGGACCAAAATTCATACACCAAACATTCTTAGATCCTTTTATATAGCTGGATGTGATGGCAATTTATAATTTTGTATCAGTTCTGAAACGTTGGTACTACCACGGTTCAGGAAATGTGCAATTCGAATAAAAACCGTTATTTATTCAAATGGAGTTAGTTTTCAATTATATTGATGTTTGGTAGTCGGAGTAAGCTAAATTTTATAAGATAATTGTAATTTGATTCGAATTAGTTTGCGAAGAATGTAAACTATCTATTCTTCAGTGCAGTGATCCTGATGATTTTGATTCATGTACTTTGATCGAGTGATTGGAATCCTATCACGTGAATAAGGTCACCCTGTTAAATACAGCCACATTAAAATATATGAATGTGTTGAAGGATCATTAATTCTCCTTGTCAACATATATTTGGCAAATTGTAACTGTCGCAATGTGATCTTGTCATTTCTATCCTTTATGTCATGATTCAGATACATATCAACATGAGGATAATCACCCGAAAGTCTCCTGAAAAATTAGCCCTTCAGCATGTGTATTCAAGCATACAATATATTTTCTTTTCATGCGTGTCTAAAATATTCGAATGTTCATTTGACGATGGAATCTCGAACCAGTACAGTTACATGAGTGCGATCGCAAAGCAACAGCTTTACAAAATTAAAGGCGGTAAGGCAACGGATCTAACTACTTTGCCCAGCCTTAGTATTCTATTGAATGAGAAACACCAATTGCTTTTTGAAGTCAAGCTTAATGCGTTAGCATAACACATACCATTGTTTCCGGAAGAATCTTTTTCATTATATATGGAGTGATAGATCAGAATTGATTAACTGTTACAACTCACAAACCTCAATCTGGGTGTTATGACTACCACGCTGAAGAAAACCAATCACATCGGAAGTGAATTCACACTACAACTATAATCGAATGGGTCAAAAGCAATTGGTTTAAAAGAGCTGATGTACATTGGTCGGAGGGAGGAGCTACAGGTATTTTATGAAATATAATATTATATTTGATAATCGTACATCTAGATATTGCAGAGAATGTAAACCATATCTATTTTTTCACGTGGCAGTGATCCTGTGTTTTGATTGGTCAGTGCTTTACTCGGAGCTGATTTGTGAATCGCTGTCACGTGTCACAAATATTTGGTTCAACTCCTGTCCCCAAAATAGCAGTCCACATTTAAAATATATTGTAAATGTCGTTGAATGCGATTCTTGATATTTCTTGAACAGCAGTTATTTGGGACAACTTGTTCCGTTGCATTGTGATCTTAATCATATTCTACTTGTAGGTACTGGATCTGAAGAAGACTATCAAACCGAGGAGGCAGTTGAATTCAACGCTGAAGAAGTCTACCTTGACATGAAAATGAGCCTATACCAACCTCCTGGTGGTAAATTACAGCCATACAACTACTCTTTCCCTTTTTCCATGCAGTTACCCAAACATATACCAAGTTCATTTAAAGGGTCAGATGGAGATATATACTACCAGGTTAGGGCAAATGTACATAGGAGTGGAATGCATACAGCAACAAGCGTTTACAAAACATTTAAAGTTGTCGGTATCAAGGATCTCAACTCTTCTCCCCAGCTTCAGTATCCTATTGCAATGAAGGAACACAAGAAATTTGGGGCCTTTTTCTGGAAGTCAAAGCCCTTAACTGCCGAATTAAGCATAAACAAGCTAGCATTTGTTTCCGGCGAAGAAATTCTGGTCTCTGGTGTCATTAATAATGAGAGTGACATCAAGATCAAAGAATGTGTACTTAAGCTGGTACAAACTACCACATATCGTGCTTCAATCTGTGGTAGTTCAACAAATAGGGAGCACCACAGTTCTGAAAGATATAACAAAACCACAATCCGTGAGTGTGCACAGCCAGCTATCGACAAAGGATCAAAAGCAGATTGGTTAAATGTTCCAATCCCTGTTCCTGATTTGGCTCCTTCTGGATTAGATGGATGCAGAATCATCGATACTCATTATATTTATTGATACGCATAGTGCCACCTGGAATACATTATGCTCTTGAGCTTTCGTTTTCAATTATTATTGGAACTATTCCTTTCCACCAGCAACTAGCTCCTCCTTCAGCAATGCCTGGGATAGTATATACACCAATGCCTGGACCAACTGGGGCAGGATATACACCAATGCCTGGACCAACTGGGACAGGATATTATACACTAATGCCTGGACCAACTGGGGCAGGATATGCACCAATGCCTGGACCAACTGGGGCAGGATATACACCAATGCCTGGACCAACTGGGGCAGGATATACACCAATACCTGGACCAACTGGGGCAGGATATGCTCCAATGACTGGACCAACTGGGGCAGAATATGCACCAATGCCTGGACCAACTGGGGCAGGATATTATGCACCAATGCCTGGACCAACTGGGGCAGAATATGCACCAATGCCTGGACCAACTGGGGCAGAATATGCACCAATGCCTGGACCAACTGGAGCACGATTTGCACCTCCTCCACCTGGACTTCTAAGTGGGCATCCCGCTGGACCAACTATTCCATAAACTGCAGCTTTAGTGATGGGCTGTTACCTTGAGCTTCGAGTGTTCCTTCTTCTTCTTACACTGACCCTGCTGCGCCACCTTCAGTTCCTGTACCACCCCCCCTGTGAGGGTATAGAGCAAGCCTGAAGCCACCAACTTATGATGATATGTGCGATTAGTGGTCGCCAACTAATAAATAACAAAGATAGCTATGATGATGGGGCAAAGGAACTATCAACCCCTTATCGATTAATACTCCTCCTAGAATTATAGTTGTGTTAGTTTATGTCTTTATCCTATTGCACTATCTTTTTATTAACGTTTTCTGACTTGATTAATCCTTCACAGCATAAATACTCAATTTTAAAAGTTTTCATTTTATTCTGTTCTATTTTTTATTCTGAATATTTTTTACTTTGTTCTATTTTGTTCTATTTTGTACTTTTTTTTCTTTTTTGTTCTAAATTCTATTCTGTTTTGTAACAAAATTCTTGTGTTGCCTGGTTGTGATCTAGGTTTTTGATATTCATTTCCCATTAGTTGGAAATCTTTTTCAGAGTAAACTGAATTTATGAACGATTTTGTAGAACTCTTAAATTTGTTAATATGTTGTATGCTGGTCTGAGTTCACCCATTTGTTTTGTTAATTGTGAAACTACCATTTGTTGGACAAGGGTTAATAATATAATGATAACCTTCATAAACCTAGATCTCTAGACTCTAGAATAGTCTAGATAAAGCTTACTCTGATTTGTATCACACAAAAGCAGTTTAAATGCAATCATTGCCGGTAGTACTTGTTCTATTCATTCGAGCAATTATTACTTAGATTGTCCATTTCATCATTCATTTGCTCTATTGTAACCAAATTGCTCTTTTGGGAACCAATTATCAACGCAAAACTTGCCTCCCTTCTCAGTTCTCACTAGATAGCTTGTACAAGTATATAATTGGTGTTTTAATAACTTGTGTACTTCTAATTTTCTTTTTGTGGCTTGTAAAACTCTTACAGTCTCAGTGCCAGCCTGACAGCCTGTAATCTAATTTGTGCTTGTACTTTGCGAATAATGAACATAATTGTATAATTCGAATAATAAACATTTGATTAGCACAGCTATGTAGAAATTTGAACCGTCGCTTTTTGTTTTGTCCTTATATCCGTGTTTTAGACTCCACAATTTCTCCTCAGATCAGTTCAGGAATTTAGATTATGCTCAGTATTTTCTATTATTCTCCCATGGTTTGTCTATGTTATCAGAACGGCATCAAATTGTACCTTCCATTTTGCTCAAAGTACAAGCGAGAGTTAAATGTGTATCCGGGAATCATAATACAATCTGTAACAGATTCTGTAACAGAAACACCCAAACTATATTCATCACATTCTGTACTACAGACTCTGTACCAGATTCTGTAACAGATTCTGTAAAATTCATTTACTCCTCATACTTATTTAAGCTTTGCATTTTTGATGCCCAGTTGGTTTTGAAGTTACTCCCTCTTTTAACGTCATATAACGCTAGGATACAACCTGTATTTTACCATACCCTTATCAATTGTACAATCTAGCGATTCTTAGATTCCTTGTTCTTCAGTTGATGGGAATTGATAACTTTGCTATTCGTCTCAACAAACCCTCTGGAGTCTACTACGCAGGAGAAACACTATCAGGAAATGTGCAATTCATAACTACAAAACCGTATAATTCAGATGGAGTGTTTATCAAATATATTGGTAGAGCTGATGTAAACTGGACGGAGGGCTACAAAGGTAAAGAAATCAGCATAATCTTATGTTGCTAATGTGACAGTAACTGGTAATAATTTAGTTAATCGAGAAGATATTTTTATAATAAATCTGAAGGTAGTTTCTGCTACAAAAAGGACCTGAATCAGATAGTGTTTCCCATAAACAGCACATTACTTGCAGGCAATACTGACAACAGAAGTGGACCTGGTCAGGAAGCTGCCGTTCCTTACGAAGCATATGAAGTCTACATCGACAAATTGGAGTTGCTGTACTCACCTCCGGACGGCAAACTAACAGCCAACAAATACTCCCTGCCTTTCTCCATAAAGCTTCCACCGCACATACCAAGTTCATTTACCGGCTCAGTTGGTAAGATAGTGTACCAGGTTAGGGCAGATGTCCACCTCAGTGGGATACACACAGCAGCAAGTGTAACTCTCCCCTTCACTGTTCTAGGTGTCAAGGATCTCAAGTTTGAGGTCCACCTTCATAACCCTGTTGCAATGAGCAACAACAAGACATTTAGTACGATGTACCACGACAAGTCACTTGGAGCAGTGTCGGTCTGGAGAAAGTCGAAGCCCATTATTGCCCATCTCAGCATTAACAAGCAGGGGTTTGTCTCCGGTGAGGATATCCTAGTGTCTGGTGTTATAAATAATGAGAGTGACGTGGATATCAAAGAGTGTGAACTAAAACTGATAGAAACCGCTCAGTATCGGGTGGGAGGCGGCAAAAAAAGTGAGAAAATCACAGCATATAAATGTACCCAGCCGGCTATAGACAAGGAATCAAAAGCAATTTGGGATAACGTTCCAATTACTGTTCCTTGCATTCCACCATCAGGTCTGGATGGTTGCAGTATCATCACCAATTCTTACTCCGTGTTGATACGCATTATTCCTTGCGGAGTACATTTTGCTCTTGAACTGTCATGTGACATCACCATAGGAACCATTCCTTTCCAAGAGGAAACAGTTTCACTTCCAATACCTCCACCCTCCGAAGCAGGATACGCACATTTAACAACCCCAGAAGCAAGTAAAGATGGGTATGATCCTGCTCCACCAGGCCTCCCAAGTGGTTACCCTGCTCCCCTCTCCAAGTCATTACCGCCACTGCCGGTGCCTGTACCGTCACGACCACTGTCTTTACCACCTCTGCCAGGATCTAAGGTGTTTAAGGTAAATCGTAATGCACAAAGGTCTAGTGAGTCAGCTCAAACGGAAGGTTCTCGAGAGAAAACCCCCATCCCTGGTGCACTGATTGTTCCCTCTGCATATGTGTACCTTAGGGGTGTCAAACTTAGGGGTGTCAACAAACCAAAATCATATCAGTCAATCCACAAAACCTCTACAAATAAACGGGATGAGGACGATGATCAGGCGAGTTATGTCTCTGAATACAACAATTCTCCAAGGTCTATCCGGACTTTTTGTTAACACTGCAGTGTAACAGCATGTTGGTCGTCAGTAAGTGCAGTGTGTGATATCACTGCGTTGCTGTGATATATGTAGCTTGAGATATATCTTGGTGTTATATTGTGTTATCCATCCAGAAGGACAGCAGATCACCAGATGGTCTGCGAGGAAAGACCTGAAATGTTTTTTCAAATGTTGATGGGAGAAACATTGAACTGCGAGGAAATTTAAATCTTTCTGGATGTGGGATTGTGTTACCTCGAGTCTAACTTATATATCGTTGACCCTAACAGAGTGCCCTGCCTTGAATGATGAATTAGTAAATAACTTTAAAAGTTTGACTCGATATCTCAAATCATGGCCCGTTATTACAGTTTCAAGATCTGATGTTCAGATAGATTTAAGAATTCATGTTATTATACCGGCAGTTTATCAACAGAATCTTTACAAAAATGAATTGTGAATTTATTCTTGTTTTTGTCTGACAAATTGTCTTGTTCCTGACTTTATCTTGTTAATGTTTAAAAAATAAAAATGTTGACTCAGATGCACCAGGTTCCCACGTCATCAAAATATTCAATAATCAATAACTACACTGTAGATAATAATGAGTTGTCAGTTGTATTATTGTCAGTTGATGTTTATTTGACTAAAAAATGCGTCTATAATAAAAATTGGTTTTTTCAAACATTAGTCTAATACGGGCTTTTGCGTGCTTTTGTGTGCTTCTGCATGCTTTTGTGTGCTTCTCTATTGTTATTATATATAACAACACAAAAGTTATGTTATCAGATAAAAGTGTAATCTGAGAGGCTCCTAGTCAGAAATGTGCTGCCGTGCTCGTTACTTGGTTTCTATGGGCACTGCTATGGATTTAAATTACACGTTTTGTGTGTTGCGTTAAGTACAATATCTTTAAAACCGTCTGAGCCATTGTTTCTTCAGAGTTAAATCAAACATCCGTCAAAAAAGTATGTAAAGTTAACAATAGTCCGACGTCTGATTCTGAGCCACGATAAAGAACCAATCTTACTCTCTAGTCTAGGAAAGCCATACGAGTCTTACATTTAATGACTCAACAGTTACTTGCTCTGAACTGCAGAATACACCTGCCCCACGTGATCATGTCACGTGATCATGTCACGTGATCATATCACGTGATGTTATACCACTTAAAGGTGCCTCTGTCAGGTACTATTGTATTAGTACATACAGGAATGTGAACATGTCCGCTAATAGGGAGCTTGGGTATGAGGAAAATAATTCCTCTGATGATTATGTTATGGAAACTTCTTTTTATTTTGGTTCCTTTGTTTATATACAATACTAATGAAATGTTCGTGTCGGAGGAAGCTAACCGATATTACTAAACTTTCTTATATTTACAGCTGTTCATCTAAAATTTAAAAAAATCTTCATGTTATGGAGCTAGACTGACGTTTTCACCCCATTACATAATACTCGATAAATGTAATAAATTTGTAGTGTTGTAATTAGTTCATATCTGTCTAGCCTCCTTTTCCAGAGGCTGACAGGTGGGAGGCAGTTAAACTATGTATCAAATACCACAAGTCACTTGTTACGGACTAGACAATGTTACTGTTGTGTAACTTAAGCCAGTAAGTTGATGTGGCTAGACTTGGCTCAGCTTACAGTACATTACATCAGTGCTCCATGAGTCATGCCTGTCATATGAATGGAAGGAATGTTAACACTAAACGTATAACTGTAACTTTAAAATAAACTGATTATACTCTATTGTAACAGTGACACCACTAGATGTAGCTGTGACTCCACTAATACTCACACACTAGATGTAGCTGTGACTCCACTAATACTCACACACTAGATGTAGCTGTGACTCCACTAATACTCACACTAGATATAGCTGTGACTCCACTAATACTCACTCACTAGATATATAGCTGTGACTCCACTAATACTCACTCACTAGATATAGCTGTGACTCCACTAATACTCACACTAGATGTAGCTGTGACTCCACTAATACCCACTCACTAGATGTAGCTGTGACACCACTAATACCTACACACTAGATGTAGCTGTGACACCACTAATACCCACACACTAGATGTAGCTGTGACTCCACTAATACCCACACACTAAATGTAGCTGTGACACCACTAATACCCACACACACTAGATGTAGCTGTGACTCCACTAATACCCACACACTAGATGTAGCTGTGACACCACTAATACCCACTCACTAAATGTAGCTGTGACACCACTAATACCCACTCACTAGATGTAGCTGTGACTCCACTAATACCCACACACTAGATGTAGCTGTGACACCACTAATACCCACACACTAAATGTAGCTGTGACACCACTAATACCCACACACTAGATGTAGCTGTGACACCACTAGATGTAGCTGTGACCCCACTAATACCCACACACTAGATGTAGCTGTGACACCACTGTAGCAATGGCTTACTCGCTCCACCACAATGGAATTTACGGAGCTGATAAAGATAAAACAGATAAAGAATGTGAGGTGTTTGTTAGATGTGTTTAGTGAGGTACCGGAGGGGCCGGGTGTGGTTATTGTATCTGCTCACGTGCTCTGCTATGAGAGCGGCTCACTCAAGGTTTGTTAATTAATAAATTATGTATTTATTTTATTTTATAAATTAATAAATTCATGTTTTTACGGCTCAAAATTGTCGTAAATACTGATTAATTCCTCCAGATACCCAGATATAATTATTTATCACAGCTTTTAGATAATTGTTTTGTCTCTGATTTTAAAAATCAATGTTTGAAATTTGATATCTCTTCTTTAATTTCAAATGACGTGTTGAAGTGTAGTATGTCCTAAATTTCAGACAATAATTTAATCCCTTTATAACTTTATAATGTTGAATGATATTTTGTGCACATATTCTCATTAGAAATCTCTTGTTCAACTATTAAAAATGAGATTTAAACTTCATCATAACTTTTTAACAGGCGGCTTATTTCCGCTCCCTAACGTGCATTTCACCCTAACGACACCAACACTTCACCCCTCTTACTCCCCCAGTTCCAAGTTCTCCACAAAATGATCCAGTCGGTGATCCAGGAAAAGTCAGCAAGTACCCAGGAATGTACACAGTGTACTGTGTACTGTAAAGACTTTCGGTGTATAACCCTCTACATTGAACAGGTGAGGGAACAAAGAACAACATGCTAATAGCTCTTAGTTAAGAGAAGAGCAGAGAGCGTAGCCTCTTTTACATATACGGTATCCATAGAACATTATACTTCTTAATTTGGATAAGGGACATTGCTCATATTATTACGTAAGCTAGATGTTGCATGTTCAGACCCTCTTCCTTAAGCCCCTGTACACACTGCTATTCTGTAGAAATTAGACTATTAGTTATTACGTTATACTATGTAAATTATCCCAGGGGATGTTGGACCGTGTTAAAAGGATGTGTATTGTACCGTGTTGGCTGTGATCCAGGTTTAATTGATGCACTTAAATAATTTCTAATCGGCTAGAATGTACAGGGTGGAGGGGCTCAGGGGGGGGGGGGGGTCTTATAACATAGCCATTAGCCGTGTTTCATATTTGAGATCTGTAACTTTGCAGACGGTATACTGTAACTACTCATTCCAAGATTCCGTCTCTATAATTTGAAAATTCGATCTGTAGAAGCCACACCCAATTGCAATCGACACTGAAAGTTTTATACTCGTGTTTGAGAACATGCTAGAAACTCCATTTTAAAATATTGCAATAGGTTATTAAATGTGGAATATCATCTTACAATCAGAAGTAACAGTGAAATTTCTGAATTAGATGACGCGAAACGAATTTAAAATAACGACGTTATGAAGCAATTTTATTTTCTCGTTAGCAAATTTGATTGGGTAGTCACGACTCATGTGATAGCGTACTACGACCCATCGTATGTATATTGTAAACTGATATTTGACCCTCCCCCTAAATTAAGAAATTAGCCTCACATTAATAACTTAATTAATTAACTGAGTAATAATTCCATCACTTTGTTTCAGAAGTTAGACTGTGATCTGTTGGTTGAAACACTGAACTTGTTATCTAACTTAGATAACATTGAACTTACCCTCCCTTTTTACTGTAAACCTAAATCCAAGGTAGTTATTATTTTCTTTATAATTTTATAATCTAGTAACCAAAACTCACAGAAACTTGTGCTAAATTATTGCGAAGCTTGTACAGTCTTACAGTATAAACTGTTAAAAATATGATGATAAAATTTTAAACATGACAGTTTATTGATAAAAGGTTAAATGACCAACATTCATTAAATTCCAGGAAGAAGTTTATGAGAGTTATGATGAGCATTTGGAGTTGGAATGGTTAGAATTTCCTCCGAGTGGCTGGACAATTTCACGTGCTAATTCTAATTTCCAGGTAATTGATCATCAGGTTATTAATTACAGCAGATACCATTTCCGTTGTAAAGTATTAATAATTTAAGTATGTCCGCATGGATTGCCTAATTGCGTTTAATGTTCGTTAAATGTCAGTTGATTTTGACAAAATGGGTTAGATAAGACGGTTTACCGACAATTCCGCCCACTTCGCACGCATTAACAGGCTATTAATAGCTTCCCAATCAGTGATTTGATTCGTCATGTCAGATTCTCAAAACGACAATTGCGCCTCAAGCATAATTGACATTATGTTGCAAGAGTTACAAAATTAAATTGATCATCGTCGGGGTTTTTGCGATATCCCCAGGAATATTTGGTGGATATTTGGAATATTTGGTGGATATTTCACGTGTAGAGTCATTGTAGAATTATCAGCTTTCAACATTAAACAATATTTATCAGACGTTTACTAAACATCTGATAATTATTCTGATAATTTTCTATCAAGAGCCTCAACTTTTGTTTTCTCCAGACGTGACTAAATCACGGTTAATTTAATTAATATCCTGTATGGCAGTATGGCAGTATGGTCTATTAATACTTCTAGACAAGCAGCGTACTCTATAACTTTATAGGGATGGCACCAGGTATTACAAAACATCTTACATTACACTACATCCAAATTCCAAACCCTGGCCTCATGACATGAAAGCCTTGTTTTAATTTCTATTGTAAAGCACTAATACTTGATATAAAACATCTAACATTATACTATAATAGTAATAAGTAATTCTACATATTATTTGAGATGTGACGGTGGTCATGTTGTGGTCTTATACCGAGACGACCATAATTCGTATACAATAACACTTTCTCAGCAGACAGACCGTGGCATTGACCAGGTGGTTGCACGTGGATTAATCCTACTGGAGGAGAATAATTGTACGTTTTAGAAGTGAGATTGTTTAGAAGGCATTTCTCTGGACCTTTTTAGCTGTACAGCTGCAGAACTATTAGTCAAACAAATATTTAACATATAAATTCGTTTGAAATGTCTGATTTTCATGAAACCTAAGATTATCCCTACTTTTCACGGTTTTCCCAAGGACTTAGGAAGTTAGGAACTTCCGGGCCAGTTTTATGACTAGGACTCAGGAGTCAGGACATGAGTGGTTTATCATTATCTTTCTCGATAAATACTTAATGATTTGAGTGTAGAGAATCCCTAAATAAGGGAAATAACACAGCAATAAATATAAGCAATCTGATAAACATGGAGCAAAGTAAAAGTTTCCACAAATGAAGGGTGTAAATAGCTATATTATGATATAGATAAGGAAATTCCCTTATCAGATATCCACTCGATGTGGCAAACTCATTTATAGACAAAGCTACAAAAGTTGGGAACTTTCTGCCCGGATAATATGTGAATACCAGCTGCAGCTGTACATTTCCAAGATTCTCTGTTGAATCACTCAGTCGGTAGTCTACATGCTGTAACTCCTTATGTTATTCAGTCGGCAGGTCTGCACTCTGCGATATATAAGATTTAATTAACTCTGGTAAACCTCATCAAAGTATCGTAAAATACGAAAGACAAATTATATTATTATATTATTTGGTGTATAACTCTACTTGTAGTAAACGTGTAACTAAGAGTAAGAATCTTCAGAAGTCTTTTCTTCCAGAGCGAATTAATCCTTACTGGAACAAACTCCCTTCTGATGTCAAAATTGAGGAGATTTTGAGTTTTTAGATTAAGTTATTTATTAAAGCTAGAGGAGTTTAAGAAAAGATGTATTGGTAAAACCAGCAACATTAATTACAAGAGGTGGCAGGTGTAATCAGTGGCGTAACGTTGTATGTCCCCCCCCCCCCCTCTAAAAAAGCGCCCCCCTATTGGCGCCCCCTCCCCTTTTAGCGCCCCTCCCTAAAATTAGACAAATAAGGTGATGTTAGAGGATACTGAAAATCTCTAAAAATGTGTTTCTAGAGCAAAACTTGCAGTTTTGGTAGTTCTGTAGTCACGTTTTTCAAAATTGTTCCCCCCCCCCCCCCATTTTTGTGAACTGAATGAAATTTCATGAAGGCATAGTAAAGTGCAAAAAGTGTTAGGACAATTTGTATCGGTGCAGATTTCCGCATTAAGGTATTGAATTATTAATCATTTTTGTATGTGTGAGTGCGATAGCAATAATAAATCACAGATCACTCTTGTTTCAAATAACGAAATTCCGGAATTTAGGAAGTACAATTGCTAAACACTGTAGACTAATTCTTAAAATTCTTTGGCAATAAAATATGTTGTTTAACGCCCTCCGAAATTTAGAGAGGGCCCTATCTTACTGTGTTACTTTAAACTAAGTGTGTTAACAATTGTGTAAATCGTTTTATTTATATCCGTTCTCCGACCACATGGAATTAGAAAACTATCGTATTTACGGGACCCGCATCGCCGGATCGATATTTTGCTAGGTATGTGCACTCTGCGCACGAACTCTTTTCAATCGAACCGCGCGCGTATGTAGAACTCAGTGACGCACATGCTTCTGATAGCATACACGCATTTCACTGCAGTTTACATTTACTTCCGAGTACCACTCTTACTCATGTAAAGGCTATTTTTTTCCCCAACATTAATACTGATTATGATCCTTACTATATCATGCTAAAATTCAACGTGGACAAGTAAGACTGTTTGACCTCACAAAGTCTCTTCTTCTTCCTCGTTTGCCTCCTCGTCTCCCTTGATAGAATTTATTCTATTCAGTAACTGCAAATAAATCTACTAACTAACCACTTAGTTAACAAATAACTACGTCGCTAGTAAGTCAGTTGTTAACTTACAAACTTATAACAGATAGCGATACTTACTAATTAACTAATTAACTAATTAACTAATTAACTAATTAACTAATTAACTAATTAACTAATTAACTAATTAACTAATTAACCAATTAACCAATTAACTAATTACAGATAACGGAGTGGTACAGTGAGATACTAGTGATTCCAGCAGGGTGGGAGGATGTTATGTTGAAGCTTGCGGAATGTCGTGTAGAGGAACGAGTTCCCCGTCCCACCTACATGTACACACATTCCACACGCGGTAAGGTTAGTTAGTCTTCTTATCTTACGTTTTGTTAATTAAATTAGTCTACTTATTATTTTGTTTTCCTTAAATTTTGTTTTCCTTATCTTATGTCTTAGTACACTAATTTAAAACACCATTCAGTCAGGTTACCACATTTTTCTGACTATGAAAATATTAGGCCGTTTTATATTGATATTGCTTAAAGTAACAAACAAACACAACAAATTAGATGATTTAATAAATCAAACAATTTCAGTGTATGGTGATAACAGTAGGTGATCTACAAGTTGCAAACTCGTTACAATATAAGATCACTGATAAGGACTACCGTGATATTGACTGCATGTATATGAAGAGTGTTCTGGATTGTTCGGGAGTCGCGACTATTGTTACCGAGAGTCATTTTAAAGGTAAAATTCATCTCAGCTGTAAAATTTTCTGAGGTGTTTGGATGCTGTTTCATCGTATCTAAACACGAAATTAAATTTGATGATGTACTGTACTAAAATATTTACTGTTGAATTGCAATCAGTACCCACCACAAATGTATTAAAAGAGGTGACCCGGCTTTATTCTTTAAACTGGATTTTAAAGTTAACTGTATTCAGATAAGTTAAAAAAGCGAGACTACGATGGCTGGGATCAGCTCAAGTTGAATGTCCCTACTGAAGATTTGAAATCTTGTATCGGTGAGACATCTTTATTATCAGCTGTAATAACTAATTTCCATAATATACATAAAGATCTTTATATAATATTATTATATAAAGATCTTCGTGTATATTATTGATCGCAAAAGCATTGCGCACGACTGATACTCGTAAAATCTGTGAAAGTTTAAATATTCCGATCTACAGATTTAAACTTTGGACGGTAGAGTATAGTCTTGTTATATTGTTGAAGATAATACATACCACTACTTAAGTAGCATCAACAGTTTATTTAAAAAATCATGTCACCTCCGCAAGCGAAATATCTTATCTTCGGATTGTGGATGGCAACGGTTTGAAGAATCAATTTGGCTTGATTTTAGGTCATGCTTGCAAGTTCGTCTCTCTGACCTCAAAATACCTTTGAGAATGACTCGCTAGTCTTAACTGGACGGCGCAAACTTGTCACTCCGCCAAGCCATATCTTTTTTAATAATGTGCTCAGCAGGAACTCTATAAATCATTTAATAAATCAAATCAATACCAATCTGGCAGAAGATAAACGCGGAGTTTTTGCACTAAAAAGTAACTCCTTTTTCCGATGTACTATTTTCTCTGATGTATTTTCATTTCCCCCATTTTTCTGGATCCTCAAAGGGGACAGCAACCCCCTATGTTGGGGATTCTACTGTGGCCCAGCTGGATGTCACATACTTCTTTGGTATGTGACATTATTGAGTCGCGATGTTAAGCGAGTTAAAGTGTGCTTAGCCTTGTCATGTTCTTGGAGTTTGAAAATACCGACCAACAGAGCAACAGGATTATGAACAAGATTACTGGCCCTATTGTCCGTGTTTCCGACCTTTGGAGTAAAATGCGAAGAATATAAGACGGGAAATATTGCAGGAAAAGAGGACGGTAAAGTCGTTAATAATTCAATAATCACCATTTATCAATTAAGCTTGATCACGGCCGGAAGTATCAAGTCTGGCATCACCTCATATCTCATATCTCATGATGCTCCTGCTTTTATTATAAATAGTCGCCCTATGGCCACACTCTAAGAGTCTACTAAAATTTATTTCCGTATTTCCTCTTTTCAAGTTCCTCCTTTATTTATTTGTATTTTTTTTATCTAGACACTTATTTTACTTCGGAGTATTCCAACAGCCATATTGTTACACAAGTGCAACCAGCCAATTACAGGAAGCCGAAGGATTTGTTTTTAGCCAGTGACGGTTAAGGTAGTGTGTACCATACTTTCTTCGCCCGAGACTTTGCTGCAATGTGCAGCTCCTCATTTAACCCTCACACCCGATTTCTCGAGTATTCGGCTGAGTAGACCGGGGGGCTGCATAGACCACTCACGATCCTTAGCTGAATGTCAACGACACTCACCCCACGACCAGGCAGGCAGTGGGATTTGAACCCGCAATCTCACGATTGCAAAGCTGGCTAACCAACTGCGCTACCTGGCCGTTAATTGAAACAGTTTAAAGTTATCCCTCTATAGAGATTTTTGAGAGTTAAGGAAAAACTGATCGATGAATTTTCACCCTGTTTTAAGCCTTTTTTAAATTTAAGGGACCGTTTGCACATAATGTAAGCCAGATTTTGGATATTATCTCGTATTCAACTAGACGCCCAATATTTGAGACATAATCCGACTCGTTTCTAAAAACAAACTTTTTAATATTTCTCTTGATACTGGCAAAGAATAAATTAAATCGAATCGTGATATCGTGTGTCTCGAAGTATTTATTCAGAGAAAGTCGGCACAGCAGATTTTTATTAACAATATATCTACAGTAGCCTAACGTCGAAACGATGAAGGTAGTAGTACTAGCTATAATAGTGACAATGTTGGCGTACTCCAACGCCCAACAGTATTTAGACTGTTACAAATGCCAAGACAGGAAAGGGGGTGGTGGGCCAGCTGGCTCTGGTTACGACGATCTTACTTGTGACCCAGACCCAACTCAATGCCCAAACTATGGTTACGATAACTGTGAAGCTGTGGTGTTGAGTTACACCTTGACTCCTTCGGGGGGTGACGACGTGAACGTTCATTGGGTGATAAGAGATTGTAGGATGTCCGGGAACACAATGGGTAGGGATTGGTTCTGTAATAAGTATGAAGATCTTGCTGGCACAATCGAAGGAGTCACTTTAAGTGGTTATTCCTGTTCAGTGGAAACATGCAACACCAATGGCTGCAACAATCAAATGAAAGGGTACTTCGATGGCTCCGAGCCAGTCGAGGGAGAAGGAGAGAGTGAAGGTGAAGGAGAGAGTGACGGTGAAGGAGAGGATGAGGGTGAAGGAGAGGGTGAAGGAAGAAAGTGGGCATGACGGAGAGAGCAAGGACGACCACAACGATGAGCAGAGATTTTCATCGGTAACTGGACTGACGCCATCTTTCCTTCTCTCAGCGCTCATCTCCTTCTTTGCAGCTGCTTATTTCTGCTAATTTCTGACAGAATAAAACAATTTTATCGGTACTCCTTCTTCGATTCAGCTAACAACAATTTTCATTAATAGGAAACGACCGAAAGTTAGGTTTTTTCCCGAGAATGATAAAGTGATAACATTCTTGCATGTCCTATAACGTTATTTTATATCTATCTATTCATATTTTAGACTTTACAATGTCATAACCAACAAATTATTACCATTGTTTAACTTGTATTGATTATAATTTGGAACGATCGTATAGGGTAGTTAAAACCGTAAACCACAACATGTAATACATGTCTAATATCGGCTTTTGCAAAAAACAAGCATTTGCATTTAGATAACTTTCCTGGATTCTTTGATTTCAAACTTCTTGATTCTTTGATTTTAAACTTTGATATCCGGGAATCGGGACGATAGACCTTGAGGAGGGGATAAATATTTTCAATATTTGATCTCAAATTAATATTTATTATTTTATCATGTTCTCTAAACGGAGAAAATACCCCATCGGTATAAAACTTGGCATGAATATTACGATCCTGATGGTTGATCGTTTATCATTCCCTAAAATACCAGCACTTTTTTATGGTGTACAATAAAATGAAGTGCAATGATGTCGGATCGGGTGCCCGCCGCTCTAAACGTTAAATCAGTCAAAAAGAATCGTTCATCTTTACATGAACTACAGTTGCGATGCAACAAAGGCAAACCATTCAAAAATGACTGCGAACAGTTTTATAACAAACCGCTAAAAAATATATCATTCTAAATTACGTGACGCTGTGCAGGTGAGATGAACAGAAGAGACAGTTGGACCCACGGTAACAAGAAATGGTTGGATATGGTCTGGTTCATGCTCTGTACCACTAATACTCTACTCTCTAGAATAGTCGAGGTGAGATATTATCTAAACTAATCTGTACTCACGGCAAAAAAACAGGGTTCACGGTATTTCACGGTTAGGTAATAGGTAACCGTGAAATTTACTTTCGATAAGGGGGTTAGACTGCGAGCATCTCCATTCTCCAGGCAGATTATAGGGTTACATCCTTGCACATCCTCTGTTCTTTTTTGAGAAGCCGTCAGGGTCTAGTGGTTGTTAACCTCTCCTCTAACCAGTCAGGATTCAGGAATCAGGATTCAGGAAGGTAAGATGGGATATCATATCTATCTAGTCAGTACCATTTATTTAGCCCTACAACCTTGACAATACACCTGCAATACACCTGCAATACACCTGCAATACACCTGCAATACACCTGCAATACACTTGCAATACACCTGCAATACACCTGCAATACACCTTCAATACACCTACAATACACCTGCAATACACCTGCAATATACCTGCAATACACCTGCAATACACCTGAGCACCTGCAATACACCTGCAATACACCTGCAATACACCTCCAATGCACCTCCAATACACCTGCAATACACCTGCAATACACATGCAATACACTTGCAATACACCTGCAATACACCTGCAATACACCTGCAATACACCTACAATACACCTGCAATACACCTCCAATACACCTGCAATACACCTGCAATACACCTGCAATACACCTGCAATACACCTGCAATACACTTGCAATACACCTACAATACACCTGCAATACACCTGCAATACACCTGCAATACAACTGCAATACACCTCCAATACACCTCCAATACACCTGCAATACACCTGCAATACACCTGCAATACACCTGCAATACACCTGCAATACACCTGCAATACAACTGCAATACACCTGCAATACACCTGCAATACACCTGCAATACACCTGCAATACACCTGCAATACACCTGCTATACACTTGCAATACACCTGCTATACACTTGCAATACACCTGCAATACACCTGCAATACACCTGCAACACCTACAATACACCTACAATATACCTGCAATACACCTCCAATACACCTCCAATACACCTCCAATACACCTCCAATACACCTCCAATACACCTCCAATACACCTCCAATACACCTGCAATACACCTGCAATACACCTGTCCGGTTCACCTACTCCTCGTGTAGCTACTTGCTCTTTACTAAACGGTTTTAATGTGCTAGACTCTAAGTGTCAAAGCATGCTCATGAACCTTTACCATTTCTTGTATATTCGGCTCACCTTTAGTCACTGTCTGTTGGAGTGTTTTCACTGCCTCCAAAGATCCAACACCCTATAACCCGCCTCCCCGTCCCTGCCACTAATCTTTAATCTCTGGCTCCCACACTCATGACACACTATACCAATCGTTAATCTCCGTCTATGGTCTTTGTCTAAAGAAGCTCCGTATTTCTTTGTCCTGCAGGTCGCACATGCATATAACCATAGGCAATCCTGCTAGGAGTTGTTCTCCTTTCAGAACAGAGGTAAAACTTGCTAAACACCTATCAGAACAGGGGTAAAACTTGTTATACTTGGTCTAGAAATTTAGCAAGGATAGGATCCAAGGATTTTTAGACAATGTGCCGTGTTGAATATGTAATTAGGGAGTGAAATTTATAAGAGTTTTGACGGAGAGAGAGAGGGAGACGTTAGTAGTCGTTAGTCACACACTTAGAAATGAAACCAAGTGGGTGTTTACTGTTTAGTGATATGAAGCAGGTGTAACTACCACATCGAAATGATAGCTGGACGAGTGTGACATAAAGAAAAAGAAAGTAAATGAAACTACTGAAATTGATGTAAAAAATAAAATGAGATTTTAACTTTGAAACAAAACTAAACCACAATCTCCCTCAGGACGGCAGCAGTATCCTTCTAGAAGTATACCCCAGAATCCTCTCTTCCCTGCTCCAAATATGCCTGGAATCCCGTTACCGTACAAGCTACGGTTTCATCACGTGTGTCCTCCGCAAAGAATGGCTCCACGCCGGCTACAAATTCCACACGAACTCCCTCGAGAACTCTTGTGCTGAATTCCTCCTCTTCCTCCACTGTGTCCGGCAACTCACCCTCTGGTTTCCCGCACTATTCCAGTTCTCGGAGGACCTCCTGATAACACTCCATGCTGCAGTGAACGCTTCCCGTTACGGTGACTTCCTGTGCGACTCACCACGTGAGAGGGACACATTGCGGATACCTCAGAGAACTGAGTGTTTCTGGGAGGAAGTGTTCGCTAGGATCCCTCCACCTCCCTCTTATATAAACCCAGCTTACAAACCCCTCTCCGGGGTCATTAAACCCCGTGTGGGGGCGCCGGAGAGTGTGCTAGGGTGGGGGAGGGTGTTTTTAAAACATGCTGCCTTGGACAGGGAGGTGGAGGAAGTGGTGAGGAGGAGGGGTGAGTTGTATCTTCAGTGGAAATCAGTTGTTGTCGAGTGAAATGTGAACTGTTTTAGGAGAGTGAAATGTGAAATGTTTTAGGAGAGTGAAATGTGAACTGTTTTAGGAGAGTGAAATGTGAACTGTTTTAGGAGAGTGAAATGTGAACTTTTTTAGGAGAGTGAAGTGTGAAATGTGACCTGTGTTATTATATAATTATATAGGAGAGTGAAATGTAAAATGTGACCTGTGTAGGAGAGTGAAATTGTTCTTCTGTTACTACCACATAACAGAGTCTAGGGATTTTAGATTGGCTCACGTGATATGTGAACTACCCCTTATTAATATTATATTTATATTCATACTATTCATTAATCTGAAGGGAAATTACAGATCATTATTAAATTTTAAAGTTTGTGCTGTTTTGTAACGGTTGATTGTTCGTGCTTGAAAGTAATTTGTGTTTGCGTCAGATATGTTTTTAATTGATTATGTAATAATTAAATAATAATTACTGGTTTTTAGCTGTTTATGGGGCTGATAATTTTGTATGAGTTTAATTGATGTTTAATAGAAAATTGATTGTGGGCATTGCGTTCCTTGTGGATGATTTTATTGTAGCTATTTTTCGTCATGTTTCAGAGTTTTTTGTAATTCTTCGTTTTATTTATCTTCCACAACTCCCTTTTCGCAATAATTCATCAGCAAGAATTTACGTATTCCAAAATCAACTTCATAAAATCAAATTTGCAAAAACAAATCTCGCTAGATTTAAAAATTATTCGTAGTTTTTTCTATTACAGACGATAAAAATATCAACAACAAAAAAATAACAGATTGGTTTGAAACAAAATTCCCACGTGTTTCGGGGGAGCAGATTTTCAATTTCAAATTGGCTCGAAAGGTTTTCGAGCAGTACGAAACTGGTTTTTGCCTTTTTGCAAAAACATACTTTGTGAAACTTGCAGAACAATTGGTTTTGCAATTTTCAAAAAGTAGGTATGTTTTGGCCCTTACAAATTATTCGCCCCGTAACGTTAGTGTTAATGTTATATAAGTAACCAAGCCAGGATGTTGTCAAAGATGTCCGAAGATGCACCAGTTTTACGCAAAAGGAATCGGCCGGGGCCCCCATGTGCCCATCCAATCTCCATCGAAAAAAAAGGTGTGGCAGCTGAGTGTCTGGGATGACTAAAGTTCTTTTCCTATTATACTTAATATAGTGTTACGTAAAACTATATTTGACTTATATTGATACTCACAATATATTAATAAGAAAGGAAATCAATTCCTTTGATGTTGTATGTAATTGCAGTAACAGTATGTTTTCAAGTAATATAGTGGGGGTGGTTTTGAAAATTCGGACACACCCGGACAGGGGGAGGGGTGGTCTGAAAATCTGCGATTTTGGCGAACGTCCTAAGTAGATGGCCCTTAAGGCTAAATTAAATTCTAAACTTGTTGTCCGACTTTTTAATTGATTGAAAGCCCCTCGTGATGAGGGGATTGTCTCTAAGTCTAATGATCTGTATTATCTACATCACAATCAGTTAAAAATAAAAACCCCAATGGGCACTCCTGAAAACCTAACTACTAGTATTAGTAAATGTATCAAAACTAAATAGAAAAGTGAGGTCCAATGAAATAAATCGTAACAAACTGCATGCAAATAATGGAATATAAATTTTGAATTCGTTATTTTAATGCCAATGGCACGCCGCAAATTTATAAAAAATGTAATAAAATTCAAGCAAAAGTTTTGTTCACAATTGACAAATCGCATTTAGAATGGGTTTTGGTTTCAAATTAAATTCACTGTATCATGTATCAGTATGAAAAACAGATTATTATCAAATGCAAAATTACAGATTGTAAACATAGCATTGATTTGGTTTGGTTAAAAGTGTGATAGGATTGGTTAAATAGCTGATACTTATAGGAATGTTTGTTTGTTTGGGGACCGGTTTTTGGTACCCGGCCAATGTTTACAAAATAATATAATACATAACAATATAATTTTATTTAATATGCGTGAATATGAAAATTGAAAATGTTGATTACGTCTATTCATTAAAAACAAAAACAGAAACTTTAAAAATTAAAACTTGTATATCATGATTTATTAAAATATAGTGACAATTAATTTGATTTGATACGACAGATGATTATACACACTGTTTTATAAGCTACTTGAGGTTAAAACAAAAAAGAATAACTGAGCCCACGTCTTATCAGCACCTGCTAGCGCTATCTATATGATGTTATTAATATGACAGTGAATGGGCAGTGAAAAAAGTGGCATATGGTCGATAGTGACTAGTGTGCTAACCGTCTGGTTTTATTTATTCCTTAGTTTATTCTCGGTAGTTGATTTGTTGTGTGCCTGATCTTGTCGATTTACGTAGCCCGGGTAAATTATGTAACAGAAAAGGTGGCCATTCTTCATCGTTTCCTGAGCTTTGTAGTTCTATCATTACACGCTGGAATTGAAAAACAAATTAGAAACTTAACTCTGGACGCTGGATTTAGCCCCAATTTGAACTAGCAGCAAAAACAATTACGAATTTTTATTACTATCGGACCTACGGAGGCCGCTGATTTCGTGGATGAAAAATTTACTCGTGGACCACTCATTTACATTATTTATTTAATTGCCAATTTTTAATTAAATTTACCGCTTTTAATTTTGACAGTCATTTAAAAGTTGGAAAGTAGGCAGGCCTGCAATTCAATTTCAAAGCTTAACAGGTGATCAAATAAATAACCCGTTAATCTCAAGAACTGCTAGTATGAATTTGTCTTGAAATATTTTGAGGAGGCCAGGGAGGAGCAAGAGTAGTAGACAAGTTAAGTAGACAAGAGTAGTAGACAAGTTAATTTAATTTCACACTCCCACCAAATCGCTCGCACTCGCCCACATTAAAAAACTCCTGTAAGTAGTAATAGTATATACTATGTAAAGGCCTTGAGCCTGAGGGTATGAAACTTACCTCATTAATTATATTTTTAACGCTGATTCCGAATCCCCCCATGACGTATGACGTAGGGTAAACATGCATCCCTAATATGAGGAGTTACAGGCTTTTCGGTTGTACAGGCTTACGGTTGTGTTGAGGCTATGGTTAGCTTCCAGGTTATGCCTATGGTTAGGGTTAGGGTTTATGTAAAACCGTTTAGTTCGGCTGAAAAATCGTAGAAACCCGATAACCCATGTCGTATGTCCGGTCCAATGTCATATGATAATTTTTGAACGAGGGAAATAATAAAAGCTTTAATTTCAAGGCAGATTAAGACAAACTGACTTTTTATTGAAATATTAATTAATGATTAATGATGATTTCTTTAAGTTTAACTGTTGATTAAATTTATTTCCCCCTTTTCCTGATTAATCCGCTCATTAAATTAATGATGATTATCCCATAAATAATAAATACTAGCATCATGATGTGGTAATGGTTATATTTAGTTGATTACAATCTTCTCATAACACCACAACTTAAAATGTCATTTGACAATCATGAAAACTTGGCAAAACACTATAAACCATGAGTCAACTTAAATGCGTTAAACTTAAAAGAAAGACAATTAGCCTCTATAATAACAATTTACAATCAGCTGTCACTCCCGTAAAACGTGGGTTAAATTAAACTTGAACTGTGAATTTCCTCACGTGTTCCTGTTAGACTTGAACTATTTTGGCTGCGTTTTGTATCACGTGACCGGCATGGCACGTTTCTCTCTCGACCCCCATGTTAATACGTCAACCATGTATCCTCGCATCTCAATATGTCGCACCAGGATATTAAGCATCAACACCGCCCACGTGACACAAATCAATAAATCCTTTGTAAAGAAATCTATGCTCCTTTATAAACTAATTCATTAAAATGCCCGCTGCTACAGTGGGGGTGGCATGATTTCCCGGGTTACCTTTTGTTTGCTTGTACTGTTGAAAACAACGCTAGTAGTTGCATTGTCTCTCTATTTGTTGCTATGTTACAAGTATGACTAGTGGTGCAGCTGTGGAGGGTGACTGAACGTTGGGTGCAGCTATATTCAGTTAACAATGATCTAGAGTCCCTGATATCTTTATAATAATCTTTATTTCAGCTCACTGTTTGTTTATGAAGTCCGGCTGAGCTCCGTAGTAGAAGTACTTACGGCTACCAGTACCGGACAACTGAACCCAATTTAGACAATTAAGACTAACCCTAACCCTAACCAATTGGTTTCAGTTGTCGGTCTGCACCCGTACCTACACAATACATTTCTGTTTTTGTTGGTGAAAGTTTTTATCGCGGTACCTGAGATTGAGTACTCCATACTCAATGTCCATAATGAAAATCCTTTTTTAACTCCAAGAAATAATGATCAAATTCTGAATTTTCAAGTAGTGTATAATTACACATCTTGCCTCAATGCATTCATAATACTCATCATTTGTACTTATAGGGTCTTATATAACCCTTTCCCTCAATTTTGACCGATGTTTTTCTTAATTAACGAAACCTGATACAACTATACCCATCCCCTCCCCCATATAGCGATTCCTACCAATGCTTGCAGCTTATTAGTTACCTCATTGAATACGATTTGTTTTCCCCTTTCTCCCAATTATCGACCGAGACACGGCCCCAACTCCACATCACATGACTCATCACGTGACTAAAATCCGCCCACGTGATCCGTACTCATCCACCCTCTCGTGACCATACCAACCACCCTCCCAGCCACGTGATGGAATGTTTATTAAACTCAATATATATATGTTTATTAAACCCAATATATTTATATTTGTGAGCCGGTCAGTTCTCCCTAATGTATTTGATATGATTTGGTTGTTTTGTCTACGATCCCATCATGGCGGTACATCTCATTAATTAAAGACGAGGGTGGCTGTAATACTAACATAATCATTGGAGTTCATATCCTGCGAGTCAGCTCTGTATCGTTTCAGATTGTTCAATATTCTAATATTACCGAGCACTTCGGTCATCAGGTACGTCGCTCTCTCGCTCTCTCTCTCTCTCTCTCTCTCTCTCTCTCTCTCTCTCTCTCTCTCTCTCTCTCTCTCTCTAGTCTCTAGCGTTCTATAGAGTCTCTAGCGTTCTCTAGAGTTCTCTATAGTTCTTAACTTTCCATTTGTTTTCCATTTTTCAGGTTGCATGTATTTTTGTTGTCACATTAACTTTTTACCTGCTTTGTGGTGTATTACCTTGATGTTTTATATCTTTGGTGGAATGTTTGGTGGTGGAATGCTTAGTGATTCAGCTCTGTACAATGCGTAGCCATGAGATTGTTTAACAACACCACGCGGTCACTGCGTGTCTTCATATGATATACTTGCTTGCATTTGCAAAGCATCATTGATTTATCCTCTATTTTATCTTCTTTTTATCCTCTATTTTCTCCTTTATTTTCACTTTTATTTTCTCCTTCATTTTGTCTATATTTTCCTGATCAATATTTCAGATTATTCCGTCTATTGTTCGGGTAGTTTTGGCCTTTTCTGTAAGTTGTCATAAAAAGAGAATAAAAACAACTTGCTATTACGAACGACAAACATTCATTCTGGAAACTAATTAATTCCCGAACGGTGTACAATTACGAACTAAACATAAGAGTGTCAACAGTAAAGCGGCAACAAACTGTTC